GCTGGATTCGTTTTTTAAGAAAGTAATTCTTTGGTTCATGTTTGCAGTCTGCTAGACTGGATTCAGAATACAGGATACTTCCAAAATCTTCGTGGCCAATGACATGATGGAGCCTCTTCCTTCTCCTCTGTTCAGGGTGTTGGTGGTAGGATAGGGGAGGTAAAAGTCATATTCTTAATCCGAGTATTGCCTCCTCACGCAAAATAATTGGTATTTGAAATATGATTGGTTCTTTGAATGAGGATTTTGTTCTTCATGAACTCTTGAAAGCGTCAGGCACCGTTTAAAAAAAAGTAAATTCATGGTTTGTGTAAAACACGATGGGTCTAGCGCCAGGAGTGTTTAATGATAATCCCCTTACACACGCTCAGTTCGGCCTGTCAGTCCGTCTGCCCACACAAGGTTTAGTTCTGCCTGAAGGCCGGACTTTAGTTCTCACAGGGGCACTACAGTGCGAGGACAGCCATGGCCACTCCGGTTGCTCCAGAAGACGTTACAATAATATCGTTGAGTATTGCAGGTGTACAGTATGTATGGTGTTGGAAGCGAACAAGAGGCGCTCTCGTGAGAAATGATTTAAAGACTGGCTACTGAAGAGACAAATTTTCTCATACTAGGCTGTTGACAGAACTAAGATTGGACTAAGAACCATACATGAAGTTACTGTCAGTCGTAGAGTCCCTCAGCAAGAATGAGGATGCCTGCATGCGGAAATCAATATCATCTCATGAGAGGCTGACAGCTGCACTGTTATTCCTGGCAACTGGACGATCCTACGAGGATTTGAAGTTTTCCACCGCGATTTCTGCACAAGCATTGGGCAAGATCGTACCTGAAACCTGCTGAGCAATTGGGAAATTATTACGGAAAGAATACTTGAAGGTAAGGCAAATTATATACTCAGTCAAAATGGTTTAATATCCAACTGTAAAAAAGAAACTGAAATCTGTCAGTAAAGAAATTATTATTTAAAATAAGGAAGGTCCTTGGCATTTCCTGATCCTTCAGGAACATCAGCAAGTCGTAATACCATGGGCGTCACAAAATAACTCCCACCATGCTGGTCAGGCCACACCTGAAACAAGGCTTGCGCGCCATCCCACCCATGCTCAAACTGGCCTTCAGGCCACGCGAATTGCAGGCCACTTTTTAAGTAGTCCCTTCAAACTTTCAGTTCAGTTCGTGAGCCTGGCCTTGAGTTCCAACTTGTTCATTTATTTTTTATTATATATATATATATATATATATATATATATATATATATATATATATATATATATATATATATATATATATATATATATATATATATATATATATATATATATATATATATATATATATATATATATATATATATATATATATATATATATTTTTTGGGATTTACCCGGGCACAGGTCACTGACCCACATCGGGGCCTGGGGGGCGAAAATGTTGTAATAATAATAATAATAATAATAATAATAATAATAATAATATTAAAGACATACAAAAAAAAGGATCAATAGTGAGAAACAATACTGTACTGTATATGTATGTTGTGTTGTCAATAGTAAGAGAAACAATTGAGACCCTGCAATTGTGTGTAAATGAGGCAGAAAGTCAGATCAGCAACCTGGGACTTGGTCACAATTTTTGTGGTGCCATATGGCAGCAGGGTCTACCATTAGACAACACATACTACCCCACACATGTACACAAGCTGGACTGCGCAAACCGGTTTGTGCCAATCTGAGCATGTATGGGGGGAAGGCTTTATTATTGTTATGCCGAGGCATAATTTGGTATTGTAGTGTTCATAAACTAGGTGTTTTGATTATTTTCTATTCCAAGCAGCAGTTATTTTGTCGAGTTGAGGGAGATTTTTATGTATATATTGATGTATTTCCTATGTAAGAATTTTCTAGAATGTATTGCATAATTTTTTTTTATGATTTACGAACGCATTGTAAGCCTCGATCAGAGTAGAACGTTTTAGAATCTAGATTCTAGAGCTTCCCAGACGTTTCTTGTTCCGACTTGCAAGTCCTGGATGGTGCTACGGTGTTCTAGGATCGTCTGATGAGGTATACGAGTATAAGCAGCAGCGGGCTCTGTAAAGTGCAAGCCTAGTGACAACTAAAGATAATTGTTGTGCAAGTATTGTGGAATTGTCGTGCGCATTATACTTTTATTTTTATCCTCTTCACCACTGATCGGCTCGTTAGCCGCTTAGGCGATCGGTCACGTCTCTGTCACGCGCTGTTGGCAAGTATTGGGCATGCACCGGCTCCTGAATGTACCTGAACCTGCTCCAGTGTTGGTCAAGTCTGGTCTTGAAAGAGCTCACACTCGGTGCCGTCACAACACTTTCTGGAAGAGTGTTCCAAGAGTTCACAACTCTCATTCCGAAAAAGTTTGCCCTCACAGTTTTCTGGACTTGCCGCTTCTTCAATCTCGACTGAGTAGTGCCCCTTGAGATGTTTATACACCATAATTAGGTCTCCCCTTGCCCGTCTGTAGTATAAGCTAGGCAAGTTCAGGCGCTCCAATCTCTCAGGGTAGTTGAGGTGCCGAAGTGCAGGCACCAGTTTGGTGGCCCTCCTTTGAACATTTTCAACCAACTGACAGTCCCTAGCATATCTCAGGGACCTTCTTAAAAGACCCAATAATTTATTTGCCTGATTTACCTTCTTCTCGCAATGGCCCGAGAACTTCAGCTCATTGTCAACATACACACCTAGGTCCTTCTCACATTCAGTCTCAAATAGTGCAGTTTCTTCATCCCTTTGGGACATATGATACGCCTCCTTACCGTTGGTACGCCCCAGGTGCATACTCTTACACTTCGTGACATTGAATCTCAGCAGCCATTTCTTCGACCATTCTTGGAGCCCACAGAGATCCTTCTGCAGCTCTTCACAGTCAGCTTGGTTCTTGATTTCTCGAAATAACTTGGCGTCATCGGCAGACATTTGTATGGAGGAGTGTACAACGTCAAGCATGTCATTTATGAAACAAACAAACAACAGCGGGCCCAATACACTGCCCTGTGGTACCCCGCTTGTGACAGGTACGTCAGAAGCCTTCAAGGAAGGTTGACGGAGGTCCACCATCAAGTTCGAGGATCTCTGGAGTTCTCGGGTGAAGTGGTGAAGCGCAACTATGATGTCAAAGCAAACCAGGTCTGTTACAAGGACGGTTTAAGGTCTGGCTGTATAACCCTCTGTGGAAGAAGGGTCAGTTACCGAAGTTACAGAGTCCATGGGAAGGACCATACACTGTAGTGGAATGTCTTCCAGATGTGACCTACCGGACCAGGGGAAGAAGGAAGGCTCAGCTGAAGGTAGTCCACGTCAATCGTCTGTGGCAGTATCTTGGGCCAGAGCAGTACACTTGGGAAGACTCTGTGGAGCAGTCACCTACCACTGATGAGGACCAGACTAACGATCCTGGAAGAACTCAGGACCGTATCAATCCGGGGAACCCGACCACGGACCAGGAAGAGGAGCACTGTTCCCTCTTAGCGGAAGAGGACGTGACAGGAGAGGGGAACAATCTGAGGATGCGACTGAGGTTTCTGCGCCAAGGGAAAACTTTGAAGACATCCCAGTACCTCGGCAGTAGCAGGAGACCTACCAAATTTCAGGATTATTATGTATATAATGAATAGTTGTGTCGGGACGACATGAGTATTAGAGAGGGGGTAGCGTTATGCCGAGGCATAATTTGGTATTATAATGTTTATAAACTAGATGTTTTGATTATTTTCTATTCCAAGCAGCAGTTATTTTGATAAGTTTAGGGAGATTTTTGTGTATGCATTGATGTATTACCTATGTAAGAATTCTCTAGACTATTGCATAATTTTTTTTTATGGTTTATTCACGTATTGTAAGCCTCGATCAGAGTAGAACGTTCTAGAGCATTATAGACGTGTCTTGTTCTGACTTGCAAGTCCAGATATCTAGACGGTCCGTCCCTCGTGACGATCTTCAGGAGTGAAGTGCTTCCCCATCTGGAGTACTGTCACCCCATCTGGTCCCCGAGATATGCTAGGGACTGTCAGTTGGTTGAAAATGTTCAAAGGAGGGCCACCAGACTGGTGCCTGCACTTCGGCACCTCAGCTACCCTGAGAGATTGGAACGCCTGAACTTGCTTAGCTTATACTACAGACAGGCAAGGGGGGACCTAGTTGAGGTGTATAAGCATCTCAGGGGGCACTACTCAGTTGAGTGTCCTTACTTGGAGCTGGCGGACGCTCGCCCCACAAGGGGTCACAGCTCAAGATTGAAGAAGCCGCAAGTCCAGAAAACCGTGAGGGCAAACTTTTTCGGAGTGAGAGTTGTGAACTCTTGGAACAATCTACCAGAAAGTGTTGTGACGGCACCGAGTGTGAGCTCTTTCAAGACAAGACTTGACCAACACTGGAGCGGGTTCAGGTACATTCAGGAGCCGGTGCATGCCCAGTACTTGCCAACAGTGTGTGACAGAGACGTGACCGATCGCCCGGGCGGCTAACGAGCTGATCAGTGGTGAAGAGGATAAAAGTAAAAAATGCCATCATATACGTATATATACATATTTATACAGTATATTGTGTTGTCAATGTTTACAGGTCATGTGACTTTATTTCCGTTCACCGGTGAGCCACGCCCCCTCCCGTGTGTTAGTAAAAATCACATGAATGGTTCAAGGATATATTTAATCATTAGTAAGTAAAAACATATAATGCAATGTAGCTTAGAAAATGAAGTACGTATTCAAATTAGTGAAGTATCATAATTTGTCCAAAGAAATGTCTTGACACCAACAGAGGTTGTTTTTAAAGTTAATGTTTACATTCATGACGTAAAACTCAGGTGTGTCTAATTGCCTAACACTGCTCATCTCACCTGCTACATTATCACACATTTCAAATAAGTTAAGCATTTAAAATATGATGAAACTCCAATAGAAAAAGAAATTCTTGTGTTATATAATAGGTTTAATATAATACCACTTTTTCTAGTTATTCCCTGTGGTGGTAACACTGGTGGTGGTTATTTACCCTTGGCAGGTGATCCTCCTTCACTGGGACCCAAGCCATTTAACAATTAAAACCCAGGTAACGTTATTTTAATTCCAGTCCGCTCATAACATACTGAATTATGAACTAACTACCTAATAACACGTAATGCTAGTTCTATTACGTGGTACTTAAAGAATCAAGAGGTAGGTCTAGGAGTGAGGCGTATCTGGGAATGTATATGACAAGTGTATTGAACACAGGTTAAAACTGAAGTAAAGATCTACATGGTAAAGTCTTTTTTATATTGCCACCCTAATTAATTGGGTTTCACAAAGATTTTTATAGTGGGAAGTTATTTATTAAATTGTATTTCGTAAAATTGGAACCTCCTCATACCTAAAATTATTTATTGCCTTCAGAATTATATCCCCAACGGTATGGGTATGTTAGGTCAGGTGTTATTAGGTTCTATGCATTATTAAACACAATACACACTAATATTATATATTATACACAAAAATGGAAATGACAATGCATCGAACATAATAAAACCTGACCTAACATACACTGTAGAACCTAACCTTATATACCCAAGGTTTGTTAGGTCATGTTCAATTAGTTTCTATGCAAAATGTTTAAATGTATTTTTTTAATATAATGCTAATAACATGATATTAAACGGAAATGGAAATCTTAAACAACTTGTCATAATCGTAGAATTGCGTATAACATTGAAAGTTGTTGTTTTTTGTAATATGTAAGTCTCTTCCGCATTTCAAACATTTGCAAGTGTTCTCAATTAACTCAAGGTCACAAATGAAAGATCAAAATCACATTGAAATATTACACGACCATTAGTAGAGGCGGGAAAAATATGAAGTTATTCACAATCATATTTCTCGCCTCTGCTAACGGTCGTGTAATATTTCAATGTGATTCTGATGTTCTAAAATGTTGATTTTGCATAATGCAGTATTACAGTGATACGTAATTTGTCTCTGTATGCCTTATTGTGGGTAAAAATAAGTATAAATTAAATGCATCCTCTGAAAGCGTGAATTTGCTACCAGAGTTTAACAGTTAATTCATGTATAATACTTCTGATAAACTTTCTATGTACTCATGTTTGAAATGATGAATGTATGTATCTTTATATAATTTAGCTAAATATCTTTCTCGTCAGAAACGGTCATCCCAACGATTATGAATAAACTCATTTAGACATTTATCATTGCTTCAGGACCAAATCGGACAGGTTTGCAAGAGCTAATCAGCTGTAACTTTTGTAACAGTTGAAGTACCATACATGGCATTGTTAGGTGGATTGAGTGTATTTTATTTATTTATAACAAGAACTGGGGAAAACAAAATTACAATTCCTTCACTTGTTCTTCGATATTATTGAGGCAAGAAAAACGTGTTTTTCAATAGAAAGAAATCTATAGTTGGTGGTTAACCCACATTATGTGCCTAATTATTATATACTGTTTTAAGGTAATACATTGTAATATGTATTCCCTTGTGCCATGACTACTGTACAGTATTTGGATATTTATGCGAGTGTAATTTTTTTCATTCTGAATATAGAAGTCAGGTACAGTATTGGGAATTTAAAAATTATTATTTCACAATACATCAATTGTTGAACTGTCATTGAAGTTCAGTAGTGAATGTTCCAACATCTAAAGATCTAGACAACAATGAACCATTAAATTGGACAAAATGAATCAATCAGACTCAATCCAAACTTACCTCACTTCATTCAAAAGTATTCTAAGTTTGTTCGGTAAAGTAAGGTAGATTAGGGTATTAGGTTTTGTTGTTTGAATAAGTGGCTTGACTTTGTAGTCTGATAGTTGCCATATAAAAATCTAACCCAACTCACCGGAGCTCAAAGAACCAGAAAACCCAAATCAATCATCACTTCTCTTAATACTTGAATACTGTAAATATTTATAATGTAGTAATATTAATTAATGGTGTAGCCCAGTGTTGTGGTGTAGGTCTGTCCATCCATAAGCTCTTTTGTTATGATAAATATATTGATGAAACTTAACTTGAATATGTATCATTGTAACATAATATGCACTATACAGTAAATCAAATTCAAGTCTGTGTCAAGAGTGAAGTTCACAACCAAAGGTCAGATTTGCCAGTGTATGCATAATGTACTTTGGTAATTTTGTTTCCCTCTCATCCTATACAGTGCATTTTATATAAGAATGATAACCTAGACTAGAATAATGCAGAGGAAATCAATCCACCACTTATGGTAGTACAGGTAAACCTCGATAAATGATGGTCATGAATTAAGACCGACTCTTTATATACGATAAAAAAAAATTTGCTTTAACAATATCCATTGATATCCGTTGGTTGGATTTTTTTTTAGCTCTAGTTCAAACTATGGGGTGTATATAGCTTCTCAAATGAATTGTTGTCTTGCAAGGATTCCAGCAATGCAAATTATATTTTTCTTCGTCAAGTCAGTGACTTTTTATAAGGAAACAGTACGTAACTCTGCACCTTGCATCTCTTGCTGCGCTTGTCAGCTGAGGTATATTTACCCGCGTGTTGCCACACTGCCAACCCTCGCACTACAGTCCTGCGCTTGGTTCTTTGTCAATTATAACCCCGCCATCACGTAGCTCAACGATTTTTGGTCAGCAACGTGGTCTTATCATCTTTTTTTTTCTGACAGTGAGAGGACAGCACTAATATTTAGAATGTTAGATTGAACTGTTATGGTGACTGTGAAGTGATATTTTTTGTTGTTTTGTGACTGTAAGGTGCTTTGCCTCTGTTGCTGTAAAAATACTGCAATGTGACCAGTGTTGGCCGCTATCATTGTATTTATGGTATCATCGTTTGCTCTGTTTTTGTGACTGTGAACTGAGGAGTGTAACTTTGAAAATGTCTGGGAAGGCCAAGGCAACTGTGTCTCTGAGGTAAAGCTTGACATTGTGAAGCTGCATGAGACTCCCCCGGAAGCTGTGTGGGAGTCAGAGTGACGTCTCCACTCCACCTACAAGAGTCCCCTTAGCCTTATAGGGGACATGTGATGATGAGTAGGCTTATTCTTCATGATGTGGTGAGTGATGTTTAATTGTTTTCTATTGATTTTATAAATGTCGGATTTTTTTTTGTCAGTGATACATGTGTGTTTGGGGACTGGCTGGGAATGTATCCCATTGATATTTCACTTAGCAATGGCCTAGGGTTTTTCAGGAACCTAACTCCATCATTTATCGAGGTTTACCTGTACATTACAATATGAAATTATGGTTTAATGAGTTTAAGTGCATGGTGCTTCCTGGAAAGTTCACATTCATTAGACCAAGAGGATTTAATTTTTTTGCTGCAGCCTATGGGATCATACACTCATGATAATACAGTACTGTACTGTAATATGGTTTTTTGCTTTTCAGTAACAGGATGTGGTGCTGTAAAAGTTCATGAAGAAGGACAATTCCGGTTTAAGAATGATTTAAAAGATGAATCGTATAAATGATTCCCCAACAGGTTTGACCGAATTTGGGCCTCTAACTCCTGATGAAAAGCCTCAGGGTTATGGATTCTCCTTTTCAAAGCTCTTTCAGAGAGCTGTTCGAGGTAGGTAAAATTAATTAGAAAAGAGAAAGAAAGAGATTAAGAAAGTACTTGTCTGCTTCTTTGTTCCTTTTGTGTTTGGTAGTTCAAATAAGGTGTTTCATAACCAGTTTACATGAGAGGTTGTACCCATGACTGCTGTACTTTATTCAGAGTGAAAGTAAGAACAGGGAGTAAGTTTCATTATGTATTTAATGGATTTACTACTTCAATTATGTAATACCAGTGATGGCATTTTATTAACTTGTAATGTAAATATCATTTGATTGAAATTCAGGAAATTTAGGCCTCATTAGTTTGAGTTGAGTTATGTTTTGCATGTTACTTAAGTAGATGTGTAAGTGTGGGGTATATACAGAACTTAGTAGAACTCAAAGTGAAAACCATTTGCAAATTGGTTATTTTTAATACAGCTGTTCCCAGTACTTTACTACTGCAGTGGCAGTATCGTAACCAGTGAGTTTTGTCTGAGATGCGTAAAGTTCGACTATCTGCAGTCAACGTTACCCTTTTTCCTAGGAGGTAGGGTAACCCATCCCCCACCTGCTTGGTGTGCATACCATGAGTACACTTTGTGTCTGTTCAAGTGGAACCAATGGGGAGGTACTGTTTAACGTCCAGCAGTTGTTGTTTTTTTCTGGTCTGTCTCTTTCAAATATTTTCATCTGAGTGGTGTTGTGTTTTAGTGCTGCCTGGGACTTCCCATGCAGTTTGTTAGTGTTTCCATGTCTTTGTGTTTGTGCTGCCACGATGTCAAACAATATGGAATGTCCTGGATGTAGGACGACAGTGACCAACACGGCTCAGACTCGAAAGCAATGGTCCCCAACCTTTTGTAGGCTATGGGCCACATTTCTCGTTGTAAATAAAGTGGGGGGGGGGGCACTAAAACTTTGCATCCACATTCAGGAAAAATATTACATATACGGTACAGTTATTAGCAGTTAATTTTGCACATGTCTAACAGTTACATACTTTTCAATTTTCTCTTGGATCATTTATTCTTAAAATGAGCTCCACTGTATATACTACTCCTCGACTTATGACGCGGTTAGGGACCCAAATCCCGGTCGTAAGTGGAAAATGCAAAAAATAATTCATAAAATCTAAAATGAAATACAGTACAGTAAATGTAATCAATAATAAAGAATGGATACAGCATTACTGTGCACTTACCTTTAATGTAGTCAGCTGAATGCACACGGGGCCCCCATAATTTTCTATTTACAGGTATACATGGAGACTATATTAATTGGATGAAACAAAGGAGGAGACAAGGCTGGGTGGGTCATCAATGTCACTTTCTTCAGACAGGTTAATGTACAGGGGAAACTTGCTGGTTGAAGGTATTGGATCATCTTTAGGGAGTGAAGAGGCAGCACTGGTGGGGTGTGAGGAGACAGCAATGGGGGACTTCTTAAAATAGATGTCCAATTTAGACTGCACAGTTTGCTTTTTCTTTTCATTATAAATCTCCCTGGACCATTCTGTCAACTTTGGCAAAACGCTCAACATTTTGATCCATTCCGTCAAACATTTGCATCCCTTTATTAATTGTAGCAAATGCCTCTGCCATTTGCTTCACTGAAAATTTTTTGGGGGTGCAGGTTCTTCTTCTACTTTTTGACTCTCTTCTTCCTCTGCATTTTTATGTGCTTCCAGTTCGATAAGATTCTCGTTACTTAGCTCTTCTGCTACACTTTCAACCAACTGCTCAACATCTTCATTATCAATTTCTAACTCAAGCTGTTTACTCAACTCCGCTATCTTATTACTAATCTCAGAAATTACTTCATCCTCATTAAATCCTCGGAAACTGTTCGCATATCTTTTCAGGACTTTCTTCCATATTCCATTCATGCACTGTCCTGTAACCTCATCCCATGCTGCACTAATGTTCTTTATACATTTCAAAATGTTGTTGTTCTTCCAAAACTCTCTGAGCGTTTTCTCACCTTCAGTAGCAGCAACAGCCTGAGCGAAGGTCGTACGTAAATAATTAGCTTTAAAAGTTGCAATAACACCTTGATCCATGGGTTGGATGACAGAGGTAGTGTTAGGTGGAATGTAGACTACCTTAACATCAGGGTGCAGGTCGTCCAGGTGTGGTGGGTGTCCCGGAGCGAGCATTATCCAAAATTAACAAAATCTTGAATGCAATCCCTTGTTGCAGACAATACTTCTTGGCTCATTGAATGAAACAAGTCATGAACCAATCCTCAAACAGTACTAAGGTCATCCAGGCTTTCTTGTTACTTCGATAAAACACTGGCAGTGTGTGCTTGTTGACATATTTAAAAGCCCTTGGGTTCTCTGAATGATAGATCATTAAGGGCTTTATCTTGAAACCAGCTACATTCCCCTCCAACAGAAGTGTACTTCGGTCCTTGAATGCCTTGAATCCTGGCATTGTTTTCGCCTCTTTGTGGATGTATGTCCGTTCAGGCATGCTCTTCCGTAATATTCCAGTTTCATCCACATTGAATATTTGCTCAGACAAATAATTTCCCTCCATGATGACACGATCTAGCTCCTCCTTAAAAGCTTCGGCACCACCAACATCAGCACTAGCTGCCTATCCACTCGCCTTTACATTATGTAAACTGTAGTGGTTCTTAATTCTGTTAAACCACCTATGACTTGCTGTGAAGGTTTGGTCGCACTCATCTCCTGCCTGCTCCTTTAGGCTTTCGAAAAGGCTTCTTGCTTTAGCCTATATGGTTAGAAGGCTAAAGGGTACACGCTTTTGTATCTGGTCTTCCATCCATATCACAAGTAATTTTTCCATCTCATGAAGAGGACCTTGTCTTTTCTTCGTTATTATAGTTCCTTAATAGGTGCTGATCCTTTCACTACCTCACGAATACGTTCCTTGTCCTTCAAAATAGTAGATATGGTCGAGAGTGAGAAGCGTAGGTCGTGTGAAATGGTTGCTACAGTTTTTCCATTTTCATACTGCATTATTAACTTCATTTTCGTCTCAAAAGTAATTGACTGTCTCCTTTTCTTCTGAGCACCACCAGCACTCTCACTTCTATACTTTCCAGTTATTCTAAAGTGAATTAGATACGAAAATAATGCCAGTACACAGCGCGATCAGTTGCGGAAACAATAACAGCCAAACACCAACTAAGCGCTCTATGGCGTGGGTGCTGTAGCCACGAGGCGACCCAAGCCACGCGACGCTCTCGTACGGGACGGAAATGTTTTGGTCTAGAAAATACGCGCGTCATTTGAAAAATTTTTGGTACCGACTGTGCGGGTGGTCGTACCGACTGCGGCGGTCGTATGTGCAGGTGGTCGTCGGTCGAGTAGGTTGGGGAGTAGTTGTATTGTAGTCTCTTAATTTCATATTGCATATTTGTGCAAAATATAATTGGTTTTAATTGCTGTTTCTACATACTGTAAATCTCAACAAATGCATCAAAGTTTAACAATCACTAATCTATACAGAAATCAGATTTCAGACTACCTTTTATGTGTGATTTTCAGAAACACTGGTAGACTGGTAGTTCATTGGATATATTTTTTTCTGGTATAATTTCATGTAGATTGGCACAGTGAAAATGGTTCTTCTATTGCTCAGGGGTTCTAACTGTGCCCTCACGTTTAAAACTATCATTTGCACATTGATAGTTTCACAGGTTTATCTACAAGTTTAATGTTTATGCAAAGGGGTGCAAGCAGATAAATTTTTAACCCATGGATGATGAGAGAACATTTTACAGAGTAAGACGTATGTGGTGCCATCAGTATTATCCCCTGTGCATGCATTTTATGTACAGTGTTAGTTTTATTTGTTTTCAGCTCTTAAGTATTAGAGAAGTTTTATCATGATCATACCTATCATTCTACTTTTATCATTATATACATCATTACATGTTGTTCAGATCCCAACATACTGTAGGTCATTAATGGGGTGTGAAAACTCACCATGAGAGATACCTGTGTACTGTATGAACCTGTCTCAGCTGGATTAATAAGCAGGAAGATAGAACGAAAGAAGAAAGATTATGCAAAGAAAAGAGTAAAAATTAAAATTGTGAAATAAATTACATATTTGTAATTGTTATAAAAGAGAATTTTAAGTTGAGGGAAGTGTTGCAGGCCACCAAGAGTCTTCTTAGAGTGAGTATGGCCAAGAAAAATAGCATCATTAAGAGGACGGTCAACCCCTTTCACCTATTCCCTGGAAATACCGTACGTTCAATGGTGATTTGAGCCAACTGGCTGTTTTGGGTAGAAACTACATCTCATGTACTTTGTGATACTAAGATATTGTATGGAGAGTATGTGCCTTCTGGCCTCACTAGCCTGATTTACCAGATATCCTCTAAGTATAGTACAGTATACTTTACAGTATTTCTCACATTGTTTTATAAAAATTCTAGAGCTGTAGTTGTTTATCCTGCACTTGTAGTTTATGATTAAATCTTAGCACAGTACAATATTTAGTCAGTTTTCTGTTTGAGGACTAATAAGTGTACTCTCCTTATTTTTTACTTAGAAAAAGTACAGTATATCAGTGACATTGTAGATTATAGAAGAAAAAGCTCTGCTTCTGCCCCTTTCAACTAGCTACAGGTATAGGACTCAGCTGTCACATCCCTTTGAGTTGCTGATGTGTTATTCTAATACTTTATGTTTATAGCTTTCTTATTGCTACTACATGAGTTAGTCTTTTTATTTTGCATTTGATTATTGATACCCATGATTGTCCTCACATTACTGATCCAGTTCTGTGTTAGCTGTTAAGGGATTTTTAAATATAATGAAGAAAATAAAGGTAAGGGAATTTATTAGTTAGATTGGCATGGAAGCAAATTACTTGTTGTTTTATACGTGAAAGTGGTATTAACCAAGTTGGTCAAAAACAGTTAAGCATTTTACAATAATCTCAATTTATCCTACATTTAAGAATAATGAGTATTTTTCAATTAACCTAGTGTATGTGATTTTTACTAAATCCTTTGGGTTTTTCATAGCATTGCTTGCATGATGTTCCCATGTGTGCCTCTTTATACCAAACACAGGAGCAACTGGTACATCGAAGTCAGGCAACTCAGCAGATCAACAGAAGCAGGATCAGCATGACCGAGTTGGAAGTAGCAGAGAATCAGATCACCAAACTGTGTCACGATCAGATTCCCTCATTGACGGAGGGCCGGGTTGGCTTGAAAAGGTGATTATTTTTTTTATAAAGTATTGACAGTAAGATTTGCTTCATGAAATTGCCAACTCGTGCACTGCGATCAGTATCGTGTACAGTGAAGGTGTAGCATCTGATTCTTTTTCTGTATGCTCAGCACCAATGAAAGTACTCGTGTGTTTGACAGTCGTGCTTACTTTTAGTCACATAATACATTTGTGGTGCTTTGAAAGACTAAAGTGTCTAAATTGTAATTACACGTTTTTTGCTGCATTGTGATTTATTTAAAACCTCAAGCTCCTCATCCCACCACAGTCTCTCCCTTACACCACAGTCTCTCCCTTACACCACAGTCTCTCCCTTACACCACAGTCTCTTCCTTACACCACAGTCTCTCCCTTACACCACAGTCTCTCCCTTACACCACAGTCTCTTCCTTACACCACAGTCTCTCCCTTACACCACAGTCTCTCCCTTACACCACAGTCTCTCCCTTACACCACAGTCTCTGTCTACACCACAGTCTCTCCCTTACACCACAGTCTCTTCCCACCACAGTCTCTCCCTTACACCACAGTCTCTCCTTACCCACAGTCTCTCTCACACCACAGTCTCTCCCTTACACAGTCACACAGTCTCACCACAGTCTCTCTTACCACAGTCTCTCCCTTACACCACAGTCTCTCCCTTACACCACAGTCTCTCCCTCACACCACAGTCTCTCCCTTACACCACAGTCTCTCCCTTACACCACAGTCTCTTCCTTACACCACAGTCCCTTCCTTGAACCACATTTGTCTATGTATTCTGATTTCTTCCTTGTGTGTACAGTATCCATCATGCCTCCTCTTCCATCTTTGTGATGCTTAACGTGTCGATTATATATCGGCTCTTATAGACTATCCATTTCCAACATCCTCAATATAATCAGTACAGCCACACCACCTAACAACTTAACCTGCATCATCTTTAAAGGTTATCACTTGTGTACTGTATGTTTGTTTCCACAGCATTAACTCAGTTGTTCCCTTGTCTCCTACATTTAAATTATTATATATTCTTGCACACTTAGTTTACTCCTCTGTTTTAATTTCTTCATTAGTGTTTTTTAGCTATGCTTTTGTACAATGATAAAACAACTGCACCTGTCCATTTGTTTGGCACACCAATTACCCTTATTCCATTTTTTCTTTGTGTATTGCATAAGATAACATGTATAAGCATGTCACTCCTATCTCGTCATGTATTGTAATTGTACTAATGTTATTAATTGCTATAACATCCAGGTCATTCAGCATTGCCCTTCATATATCTCACGGTTACCCGGTCCAGACATAGAACCATATTACTTTTCACTTATATCAACTTCATTATCCCCTTCTGCCTTTCCTGTCTTTCTCTCAAACCCGAGTGCTTTTTCCTATTTTCCCTTCTCATCTATATTTTCTCTATTTTACCCTGAAGTACTTATTGTAGATTCAACTATATTGGAAACCTCAGGAGCTCCTTCTTGTGCATTTTTCTTTTAGTTTTAATAATTATGTACCATCTGTAAAAGTTAAGCATACAGTATTTTCTTCCCTTCCTCCTTCTCATCCACATTTCTCACAAAATAAGTGGTCAGTTAATCGATTTATTATGGTACAGTATTGCGGTGTTGTTAACATCCATTCTTTTATTTTTGTCTAATTCATAATTGGATACCTCTTCCACCTTGGCTTCTCTTACCATTGGTTCTGAGTATATTATACTGTACATAAGTTAGCCATGATTACACATTGTATCTTTGTCTTAACCTAATTTGAAGCCATTCACTCATAACTCATGCTTTAACATAATGACAGCCCAGAGTTGCCTCGTAACAGGTTGCCATTTACGTAACTATTTTGTCTGTTTTTTCACAAAGGTTTTCTACCAATATAAACTCAATATTAAATTTATTTTTCTAAATAAAAACCCCTTATAGTAAATGTTAGTCTACATATGGTACCCATTTCCTTCTCTTAAGCTTCTCTGTCTCTCTGCTAAGTTATAAGAAAAAGTGTATAGGAGATAGACAAATATGATAAGAGAGATTTTAGATAAGAAATGGGGCAATATCATTCTCTTTCAGTGTTAATGTACAGTATTGGTAATTAAGACAGCAAAAAATATGAAGCAATTTACTTAAGAAAATTACTAATTATTTTTTTCTTGTTTCTGATTTATTTATTGGGTGCGTTTACCTTCCTGTGTCACTCACCACTTTCTAGTTTTCTGTTGTTCATTTTATATTATGATAAAGTTATTACTGTATAATGTGCTGTATATCTATTAATAGTTGAAGAAATTAGGATTCTTTTCACACATTGTGCACATAATGTTTTTAATACAAGCATTAGGCATATGCTTATATCCAGAAAATATGAACATGAAACAGCCCTACAAGTACTGATTAGGGGTTATTTGTAGTGTTGCAAACATATGGACAGACTCTGCATGGTCATTTCATAGTGCTGGAAGGAACCAAAGGTTAATTCATGGAAATATAAAGAAATGTTGAAGGTAAGATATAAGAGAGCTATTTGATCATGACAGGAAGATGCCAAGACACTACAGTGTATGGAAGGCAGTACAGTACTGTATTGTATAGTTGGTTATAATATAATTTACCATTTTGATGGGGAAGGAAGCCAGTTGCTTGTTTGGTACCCCATTGTTCCTGAAGAAATTGTCCTTTGTGGTGCAGTGTTAGTACTAGGAGGAAAAGGGAGTAGCTGGAGAAAACCTGCGATGTTTGGTTGGGTCACATTGAACCCGGGAAGCAGTTGCGAGAGGTAAGCACACTACTGCTGTAATAGCAACACCCCCTGCCATACCACCAGTACCCGTAGATAACTTTTGTTGAGGTTTCTAGTTTACTATGCCACGTTATAAAAAAACACTCTGCTATAACACTGGTACTTAATCAGTATACAGTGACAAGTGTTATACTGTATATATAAACAGACATATCACTACAACAAGGAGACTTATGTACAGTAACATCCTGGTTCACGTTGAGGATGTGTTCCTGAAAAGTACGATAGTTATCAAAATTCCATAAATCAAAGCACTTTCCCTCTTAAGTATTAATGGAATAAAGGGGAATCATTCTTTATTGATTATATTCAGCTAATAACATCTAATACCACTTCTAAGCTAACACTTTTATGCTGCCTCTTATTTCCTATTAGCCACAGGTACACCCTTGTCTTTTAAAACGTGATTAGGAGGCATGATGTTAAAGGATGACAAAGATAACTCGCAATAAACTTCAGAAAATGCTAAATAGTCTGTGCAGTAAGGTAGCTTATGGTATAAAAAAGTAGGCAGTTCAGGAGGTGGATGAAAAAAGAATGGATGCTGTCATTAATGTAAGTGTGGGGTAGACACAAGATAGATCAGGTAAAGGTGTAAGTTAAGTGACAACAACTGTGAAGTACAGTGATATATCCGGTAGCTGGAACAATTGGTGCAGAGCGCTTCCGAGAATGAGAGATTTCCAGGTAATGAGACGACTCTCAAAGCCGGAAAAATATCCCCCATCCCTGGAATATTCCGGATAACGGAAAAATGTTCTTGGAAGTTCCGTAAAATGCTCCTCATTTTCATCTCTCAAACCTGGAAAAAACTCCCCCATCCCTGTAATTTTCCGGGTACTGGGATAATTTTCTCGGAATTTTCCAGAAAATTTATCCCTCTGAAAATCATTCCCAAAGCTGTAATTTTTTGGAAAATTCCGGCTTTGGGAACAATTTTCCGAGGAAATTTCAATTGCGGCTATCGGAGAGTTCTAGTTAAGAGGGATTCTGGCTAACGGATATATTACTGTAAATGGGTTGACCTAAACTGGGTGTATTACTGTACATTGTACATTATTGTACAATAATCTACTTTAATAGCAAATACAGTGGTCCCTAAGTTAACGAATGGTTCGATTAACGAAATTTCGGTTAACGACTTAGCTCCCATAAGGATTTTCAGTTCGATTAACGAACAAAACTTCGATTAACGAAATCCTTACGACAAACACGTTTTGTTGTGCGCATCGGCTGATCGGCTAGTCCGCCAATACAGTAATTGGTTCTATGTTTACATTCGTTTCCAGTGAAGTAAATGTCAAGAAAGTTGGTCTCTTGAATATTTCTGCATTTTTTATATTAAAATTATTGGTCATTCTGAAATTTAGTTAACATATTGATAATATAGACAGTACAGGGAATGGTTTTTGCGGGCACATCAGCTGATTGAATCACCCAACAACACTTCTCAGTTTAACTTTGTTTACAGTGGAGTGAACATCCAGTTTGTTGGTCTCTTGAATATTTTTGCATTTTTACATTAAAATTATTGGTCATTCTGAAATTTAGTTAACATATTGATAATATACAGTGCAGAAATTATTATGAAACATGATGAAGGCATTAGAACCAATGCACTCTGTAAAGAATATGGCATGTCATCACCAACTGCCTCTACAATCAGCTGTTTGATATGTAAGCAAAGCTGCCAGGTATACGACATACACACCTCAAAGTAAGTTAAAATACAGTATTCTATTGTTTTTATTTATTATTGTACAGTATACTGTACAGTACAGTACTGTATTTAGTTTATATTTAATGTTTTGTTAATTCTATTACTGGTATACAGTACTTTGTATGTACTTTTTCTGTGAGCTGGAACCAATTACCCAATATCCCATTGAAATAATTGATTCGGTTAATGAACGACTTTGTGGAACGAATTGTGTTCGTTAACCGAGAGACCACTGTATACACTGTATGTAATCAGCTGCTATCAGTCTTCCATTAACTTAGAAGTGTGAATACTATATGATGTATTGTAATTACATATACAGTACTGTATCCTAAATCATAGTGATGCCAAAGTTCAGCAAAGGGCTTATATGCATGACAAGAAATTATGTTTTTAGTGAAAACTTTGTACTGTATAATAAAAAATGTTCTTCAACTTGATAAGAATACTTAAAGTGAATAATTCCATGTGACATTTAATTAAAGTACTTACAAATACTGTAGTTACAAGCAAATTTAGGGTTGCATTTGCAGGATATTTGCACAGTTTCATAATGAAAAATTGCAGCTTAAAGATGTTTTCGTGTACTTTACTGTACAGAACTCTGGTTTCTTTATGCTTGTAGTGGCCATTGTTTCATTTGACAATGTCTCCTGTCAGTGTAACTAATACTGAATGGTATGTTTACATGAAGTAGATAATTGTTATTTGCTTGCTCATACTTAAAGACTAGATTTTTCTTTTCTGTATAAATACAGTTATTGAAAGGTTTTGTAAACTAATATACTGTACATTGTACAGTAGATGGTGTATTTTTATTAATAGACTTTAATGATACAAGAAATTCTGCTTACTTTCTTGGTAGATTAAGTTTATATATTTCTAGGTTGATGCATAACAATAATTGTTACTGGTCTTTAGAATTAAGGTGAGTGTTTGTTTTTTCCTGTCTTAGGGGATGAATGATGGCGGGAGTGTGAGCTCAGAGACATCATCAGTTACATCATCAATTTCTTCATTCATTAACAAGGCTGGACCAGCAGCATCCTCAGGCCATGACCGAACACTACCCAATGTTCTCACCAGGATAAGGAACATCATAGATAATCGGGGATCTGTGAGTATGAGACACTGCTTATGTCACAGGCTGATGTATTAACAACAATATTGAGCTGTTTTGGGGGAAGCTGTATACTGTATGATATTCTTTGTTATTGAACTATAATTGCTTTATAATTGTGTAATTATTTAACTTCAACTGAATTGAAGAGGCTCAGTAAGTCATTTGCACACATTCATGTACATGTTATACTGTACTATATTCCTATGTTTTTAAATGTGAAGTACAACATTATTTCATTACTTCTTATTCTAATATTGTCATTTGAATAGTTGTAAAACATTGATGATGATGATGATAACTATACCAAACAAGTTGAAAACCTATGTTGTTTATGTCTAAAACTTTTGATTCATATGAAACAAGAGTTGACAAATACGTATACCAGTAATCATATGAGTCTTGGAACGGTTCAAGGTATGTGCCATAGGAAAGGCTAATAACAATATCCACCAACACTAAATGATATTTTCTCCTTATATAACTTGGTTGATTGTAGCTGTAAACAATTGTCCAAGCAGGTTTTCTGAGTTAGTAATTTAATTTTTATTTTTTCTTTAATAAACAGGGAATATAAATTTGGTGGACCTAACATGATTACTTAGAAAAATTAGAAGTGGCTCTCTTCAGATGTTTGTGTCAAAAAATTTTCATCTTCATATGTGAAGCCTCATACAGGCAAACTTCGAGATACGATTGGGTTATATTCCTGAAAAATCCATTGCTAGGTGAATTATCGTAGATAGGGAGCATTATAACACGGGGTTCAGTGGGGTACGTTCCCAGCCAGTCCCCAAACACACATGTATCACCGACAAAAGAATTCCTCCAATACTACTATCGGTACAAATCAATTAAACAACACTAACCACATTGTGAAGAATGAGTCTGGTCATCATCACATGTCCCCTTCGAGGCTAAGAGGACTCTTGTTGGTGGAGTGGAGAGGCTGGGGACAGTGTGGGAGTCAGAGTCCCAGAAGGGGTTCCTACAGCTGTAGGCTTCAGCCTGGCTTTAAAGAGGGTGAAGCTCCTGGGTGGGACTGGAGAGGTGTCAGAAGTTGAGGGTTATGGCTCTGACTGTGGCAGGGGTTTGAAAAAGGAGGTGATTATTGTCAGTCCACTCAGCCATCGTAGGTGGGTGCGAATGGCCCATTGTCTTGTTACCCAGAAGTCTCTCAAACCCGGAAAACCTCTACACCAATTATTCAGGCTAATGGGAAGTTTACTGAATTAAGAATATACTACTTATACTCCCAGCCACTCCTCATGTGCTGTTCTGGTATACAGTACTGTACAGTATTCCTTTTGGAAATAAAAATCTGGAATAAAAAAAGGGGATGGTAGCTGGGTTGGGTTTTGCTCATATGCAATTGGTGGTTCTCACTTATTTCAATTTGTGGAGTTTGTCATGTACACATTAAGAGTTGATTGACTAAAAGTCTGATATTAAAATGCAGGTATTGTCAGTTTGTTTGTACAAAGAAAAAAAGAACTCTCAAAGTACTTTATCTGATTTTGTTTAAATGATCTTGTGTAATTGTATCTGACTTTTACATTGTGTGTTTGTGAATTGCACAGTTGATAACTTCATTTATTAATGATCAAATGAATAAGTAAACTACTGTGCTCTATGAGGAACTCCCTTTTCATTTAAGGAAAATAGGTTTAATTGGAGCTCAGGAAAGTACTGTGAATTTCATAATTTTCTTACTCCTGCTTGCAGACTCCACAACAATATAAAGATTCTGACTTCAAGCAGTATTGGCTACCAGACAGTGTAAGTCGGGAGTGTTACGAATGTGAGGAAAAGTTTACCACCTTCCGCCGAAGACATCACTGCAGGGTTTGTGGTCAAATCTTCTGCTCAAGGTGCTGCAATAGTATGATCCCAGGGAAGATTATTGGATACACTGGTACGTAAGCCTGATGTTTGAATATCTATGTTTATTCTTGGGTCTATCACCCTTGCTCTATAACTTGAGAGGGGTTGCATGAGTGAAAAAAATTTCTTTCCCAAGGTGAGCTGCGAGTGTGCACATACTGCTGTAAAGTGGTTTTGTCGTACCTTCAGTCAAGCAACCTAGCTGCTGATGTATTAGCTGATCTGAGGGCTCTCCAGGAGGAGTTACTTCCACCCTTATCAGCTCATGCATTTGGTGCAAACAGTCACGATGCCACATTCTACACTTCCTCTGGATCCAACACTCCTTTGGCGACACCTAGAGGAACACTTCGTCGGCGACCCTCACTTGGTTTCCAGGAAGAGAAATATGCCACCAGAACCAGGTATTTAAGATCACCCATACATCTATATAATCCTAATTTTTGTGTGCGTGCGTGCATATCATAATAATAATAATAATAATAATAATAATAATAATAAGTAAAAGTTTATTGAAAGAACATTGCAGCCAAAAGGGTGGAACTATACAGTTATATAATTGGGGAACGGGTCACTTGAATGACAAATAATATACAAGTAATATAAAGTCATTCAACAGGGAATTTCAGCAGAGTAACAATACAAAAGTACGGTTGGCAAGGAGTGAACACAATGGTTAAATGCAAGTTGTTGATAATTTTTACAATGGTTGAGATTGGATTGTTCTTATAGCGATCATTATGTGGTCATATGGGCTGGATGTGGTTGTAGTGTCGAGCAGCAATTGCGGACATGGGATCTCAGGTGGGAGCAAAAGACGATGTCAAGGATGGTGCAGCAGCTTCTCTCCAAACTTGCAGATAAGGTGATGGTGATGATCAGAGAGAGCCAAGAAGGTCATTGTGTTGACCACTTCTTGATATGTGGAGTAGGAAGGGAGAGAATAATCTGCACATTTTCTAGGTGTTTCCATTGTGTGGCATTTAGAGGAAGACCAGGCAGGAGAAGCATAGGTGGGCTTGGGAAGTATGAATGTTGAGTAAGCACTGAATAGCTTGGGGGTGGGAACTCCAAGGGACTTGAAATGATGGAGGAGGTGGAGACGAAAGATGGAAGATTTGACAATTCCAGTGGTGTGTGTTTTCCAGTTCAGTTTGTCATTTATAGTGACACCGAGGAGCCTAGTGGAGTTCACAACCTGGAGTCTGTTGGGGCCCAATGTAATGGAGGGAGGTGGGTTATGCTAAAAGGAGAGGTTAATGTGCATAACGATTTTTTTTTTATGGGATTAGCCCACCAGGGCTCAGGTCAATGACCCACATCAGGGCCTGGGTTCGAAATTATTATAATAATAATAATAATAATAATACAGTAATAATAATAATAATAATAATAATAATAATAATAATAATAATAATAATAATAAAATGGAATTGATATTAAATAAAAATATAATATAATAATAATAATAATAATAATAATAATAATAATAATAATAATAATAATAATAATAATAATAATAATAAAGGACCATAAATAAATACATAATTAAAAAATTAAAAAGATCAATAGTGAGAAACAATATATGTATGTTGTGTTGTCAAAGTAAGAGAAACAATTGAGACCCTGCAATTGTGTGTAAATGAGGCAGAAAGTCAGATCAGCAACCTGGGACTTGGTCACAATTTTCGTGATGCCATATGGCAGCAGGGTCTACCATTAGACAACACATTATGCTTCCAATATCTCCCCAGGCGGTAGTACCTCTCTGTTTGGTGGTGACATGGTTGTTGGTGGCCCAACATATGCATGACAAGAAATTATGTGTTTAGTGAAAACTTTGTACTGTACAATAAAAAACTTTCTTCAACTTGATAAGAATACTTAAAGTGAATAATTCCATGTAACATTTAATTAAAGTACTTACAAATAATGTAGTTACAAGCAAATTTAGGGTTGCATTTGCAGGATATTTGCACAGTTTCATAATGAAAAAATGCAGTTTAAAGATGTTTTCATGTACTTTACTGTACAGAACTCTGGTTACTTTATGTAAGGGAGAGGTTACATAAGGATTTTTTTTGTGTAGTTTTATGAAATATATATACAGTATATATATACAATATATATATATATATATATATATATATATATATATATATATATATATATATATATATATATATATATATATATATATATATATATATATATATATATATATATATATATATATATATATCCCCTCAGGTACTCAAGTGGAGAATACCAAGCATTTGGAAGTCAACGTGACAATGACCAGATGACAGCAGAACGACAATTGTTGTTGCAAGACTCACAGCAGCTTCACTCCCTGTGGTCTCACATGGCTGGAGGGGCTGGGGGGCTTCCTCTAGGATCCCATCGACATCGTCTGAAATCATTCCACAGCTGTTTTATAGGAAAGGATCTGGTACAGTGGCTTCTTGCAAATGACAAAGCATCCAGTAGGTAAGTTTATATGTCACTTACCTCAGTTATGTTCATAGTTCTCTTTCCTTGTGCACTGTAGACTCCTTAACATTGTTGTTTTTCATTGACACTCCTTATGTTCCTTTCATTTTCCCAATTTTTTCTTCTTCCTTCAAGACAGGAGAAGTGTGTTGTTACATCATCTTGATCAGTAGCTTATTGCTGAGGGAAATGTGTATCACGCTACAATCACTAGATTTATAATTTTGATGAACTAATAACATCTGTGCACCTTTCAGAGAACTAATTCACTATAACCTATTTTGAGGAAAGTACAGTTTATCATTTATGTTGTACAGTATTCTATGTGCAACTTTGATCCTACACTGTTACAACTTAGTACACTTTATCCTTTATTGTCTTCAGACTTCATTTGCATGATCATCTTGTAACACAGTCACTGCATAGAAAACCTTGTCACTGACTTTTTTTGTGGGGAAGTAGAGGTCATGTAAGTGTAATGGTTGGCACAGCTTCTATAATTAATACTGTACAACATGAAATAGCCACCGTATTTCCATTGCATGCTTATCTAAATCACATAGAGTAATTACTGTACTTTGGAAAAATAGGTAAATGTGCCTTTGTTTTTAGGGAGGGATTTAGGACACAGTTTAGTACTGTACAGTCACTGGATGTATTGAACATGATTATATCATGATACGTAGTACCATATCGTAGAAAGTATATCACTTTGCACTCCTTTTTTGGTAGATTTGGGTCATAAAAAATTACAATCATCAGATTTTGCAAACTTGACTATCAAGAAATAATTAATTATTTATCCTGAAAAATATATCAGTGACCTGCAGTCTCTGAAATGCTTACTGTATAGATCATGGACTAAAACCAACCACGGTATTATAGTAATTTAATTTATTATTACAACAGTTGTTATGTTTCACATGAATTATACAGCTAATGAAAAATAATCAACTCCCTTAAAGAAAGCCATTTTTGAAATAATATGTGTGCCGGTTAGTGAAAAGATTTGTATTATTTTAATGTCACAACTTAAATAAGACTAAACAAACAAGCACAATATTTTTTGTTTTTATTGTTCATTATTAATTCTTCAAGTATTACTATTGTCACCATATGCACTGTAGTATGACTTATGTTGCAAAGAAATGCTTTTGTGTCATCTTGCATTATATTATGAGTGCAATATACTTAAGCTTCCTAAAATATTGTCTCACAATTTATTTACTTTATTTCAGAGCCTCAGCAATAGCTATTGGCCAAGCTCTATTAGAAGCAGGTTATTTGGTGTGTATATCACAGCCAGAACAAGTGTTTGTTGATGACTATGTTCTATACCGTCCAATGCGTCCAAGCAGTGACAGCTCAGATAAAGGGGCTCAGGAGGGCCTAAGTCGCACTCAAGATGGAGGGCAGGAACCTCTTTGGGTGAAGCAAATTTCCAATATGGCAGAAGATACTGGTGAGTACTGTATTAGAATTATATTTATATTTAGGTACATTACTTATGACAACTTTTTGTGTATGATTTTTATTTATTTTATTTTTTTAAGAAAGAATACACCTACAGTATTAGGAATTTCTGAAAGATTTTTACTCTAATATATTTAGGCTACATTATATGGTATAGCTTATACATAAAATACACCCATAATATTTGAAGTCTTATAAATTGTGATGATCACCTGTAAGGATGACTGAAATACTATACAGAGACCTCCATTATGCCGTAAACCTTTATTATTTGTGGGGTTTAGGTTCCAAGGAATGGCGCAAATAGGCAAGACCGTGAATAGCAACTTATACTACCTTAGTGCACTACTGTATACCTATACCAAACAACTGACCAGACGTGGCAGCACTCATCCCCTCTTTTAACTTGTCTAATAATTCAACTTTCTTTGTCAGGGTCATCACTGACTTATGCCTTTTACATTTCACTCCACTAGCATCACTAGCACTGACACTAGGCAGTCTTTTGGGGGCCATTTCACACAGAAACACTAAAGTTTTGAGAGTACAGCACAACACAAGGTGCTGCATCACAGGCAATGGTTGAGCGTGAACAGAGGTGGGAAGAGACACTTCTGCCACGGGGGTGACTCGTTGTGCTGCAGGAGAGGCTCGTAAGCTAGCCACCATTGCTACTTTCTGCTTACCGCGAATCTTTGAAATTGCGAATCACAAACCCGCGATGGCAAGAGTCTACTGTACAGTACAGGTATCCCTTGTTTAACGATTGGGTTGCATTCCTGAAACACCTAATGTTAAGTAAAATTATTGCTAAACAAGGGATAATGGCAAAGCTTGAAAGGCAAACAACAGACTCAAACAGCAGGGCAGTAACTACAGGTACTGAGTACAGTACTGTACTGTACTTCCTGATAATAATTGTAATAAACGAGTTTGTTATAAATGGTTTTGAAGTTAAACGATTGAATTTTTAACACCAAACTTCTACGTAAATGATGTGGTTCAGAGTTAAACGATTTAGTGAGCAAAAGGTGAGCCTAATTCAAACAAGTTTCAAATTGCATAAGTAAAAAATGAACAAAGCTTGCAATGATAAACAATAAAATTGATACATAACTTATCATAAAATATATTGGCACAAATTTTTGCACAAAAAATAGCTCCTTCCACACTCAAACCATCCTCTGGGTGACATGATGCAGTTCAGCTGGGCAGTCACCCCGCTGACTCCAAGGCATGAGTATGTATGCCATGACGTGACATCATGGGGGAGGGAGCACGGCTGGGTGGTGAGTCGGTGATGCAGTTACAGCCCATTGCCTCTTCATGCACGTTCACTCCACACTCATACACACCTATGCTGCTCATTTTTATTTTGTATTTTGTCATATTTTTATATTACAGTTGATTACCAAATTTCTGGCAATCACTTGAGGGTAGACTCGACCATTTTAATACTATGAGTACATTTGTTTCTGATTATTTGTGAGAGGATTTTCTCGTTATTATTTATTTGTACAGTATGTGTTTTGTTTGTGTGTGTGTCTACACACACAAACACACACTTATACAATGGCTCCCTGTCCCGGCCGCGAAAATGCCGGCAACTTTAAAACTACCCACAGACATTCTTGGGTACATCCAGGGTGTCAACTGCGAATAATAGAGGACCGCGAAATAAAAATCCGCGAATTATCCGGACGTACTGCATAATGAAACTATAAAAGTTGTGGACAAATCATTTCACTACTCTGATGTGACTCAGAAATAAAGAAAATATAATATAAAACTATAAAATAAGGAAAATGAAGAGCATGGGTGTGTATTTTGAGTGGGAGGTGATCATAAGTGTGGAAGCAGTCAGAAGTTTCTCAATAGCGCATCTGGCAATGGCTGGTTAGGCCTATTTCAGTTTAATTGCCACCACATAACCACCTCTGCTGTAAGTAAATCTGTACACTTACTGTTCATCCTGGATCTTCTTGTTATGATAATGATGATGATTATTAGTACAGTGCCCATATAATGAATATTGAGGTGATGATGGGCGCTGTACACACTCTGATGATTTGTCTTCCTCGTCGCCCAACAACATTATTGGTGGTCATTGAGGCTTGATGTTGATCCAGGAGAAGGAGACGCAGGTGGAAGTACCTCCCCCAGCCATACGCTCCTACACTCGCTGCGTCATTCTTTTTTTTCTAAGCCAAGCACATAAAGTTGAATGCGCGTAAGTTAAATGCACGTAAGATGCGACATGACTGTATGCCATCTCTCAGACGACCTCATCCCTAGTTTTTCCCCTGCCTAGTGAGTCAAGCTATTGCTGAACCAAATTTTGACCAAATGTGAAGTGAGTAGGGGTGTCAAATTTGCTTTATTGCTAAACCGAATTGATGTTAAGTGAATTAATGCTGAACGAGGGATGCCTGTAATTAAAAAAAATACAGTACATGAATTTTGAGGGACTGTTAAAGATATATAAAAGGAAAAAAAAAGAATATTATTAACAGCAAAGTATCTTAAAGATACAGTTTCTACACCAGCATGTCTATCAGAGATATCCACATCTGTGATATTAGGTGAAAAGGTAGTAAATCCTTTCTGTGTAATTTGCCATTGAGTAGAATTAATATAATTACCTAACTATATTTACTCCTCTTTTTTTTCAAATAAAATAGTTTTTTTTTTTAGAAGAAATTATGTAAGAAAAAGGAGAAGATACACTTTATTGATTTTACAGAAAGTGATATGGAGGTGAATGGAAGCAGTGTGGTCTATGATGACCCTGGGCACAGTGTGGAGACTCCTAGTTCTATTACTTCATCCACTTCAAACTACTGCCTGGATTTGAACCTTCAAGATAATGTTGTGTCAATGAGGAAGCCTCACTTATCTAGGTGAGAGTCTGGCAACATTTGGTCATGGGTGTGAGTGTAGGAGAGACTAATTGCTTTTCTATACATACCGGTTCATGCTTGATTATTATAATTTATTGAAACATCAAAGCAGTTGAGTAGTACAATGTCATGAATATAATACACTGTAATACAAATTTGGCAATAAAAGATAACAGTACAGTACATGTACAGTATATATTTTACATAATGTAGTGAATGCAGAATTATTTTACAACAGATATGCATAATGACGAAGAATGATACAGTAAACTGTCTCTAGTTTCCTGAATGGTACTTGACAGAGTGGCTATGATTGTATCAAATTATACTCTAACAGTTAAAATAATGGATGTTTTTGCTCATATTTGGTATGCTGTATTTATTTGTAAATGTAATTATCTCAATTTTAATTCTTTCACCCAAATATTTTTTCTACTGTACAGTAGTGTGGTATGTACTGTACCTGTAGTTTGAAATATATAGGCAGAAGACTGATTTCTTCAAGGTGATAAAAGATTAGATTTAGATACTGTATCTGCTTGTATCTATTACAAACAGTATGAACAATTATTAGAAATAATTCATCAACTTTTTATGGCCATTTTCCCTGGGTTAACCACGATTACCAGAATTGGATGTCCTGCCTTTCTAATTATCTGATTATTAGAGACCAATTTCTTTGTAGAGATAAAATTTTATTATGTTTGAATAATCTTACTTATCATTTTAAAGTACAGAACATGACAATGGCTCATTGTACATGCAACAAGAATTGCTTTAAATGCATTTACAGCAAAGGCAGTAAATATACCAAGTAATATTTTATCAAAGATAAGTTGCTTGGAGTAGCAACAGTAGTATAATGTCATTACTTTATTACTTGCTTTGATTATACCAGAATTCTCAGCTTGTTATTGTAGTAATATATTGATCTTCTAATTATTGCCAGATACTTGACAGACTTTATCTGTTAATTTTGAGTTTAAAACTTTACTGATTATTGCACTCATCATTGCTCTTTTACTTCAAACAGCAGGTTTTTTTTTTAGCTGTGTTTCCAATATTGTTTGAATTATACTTTATTACAGTAGACGGAGCAGCATTAACAGTGACGTGGTTGATAGCAAAAGCTCAACAGTGAGTCCTTCTTTAGGAGAGACACAGTACGCTACAACAGTTTCTGCTGCACTGAGTGCCAGTGCTCAACTGTCACTCTCCAGGGAGGCACTAGGGGGAGCTACTGCTGTTATGGCTGAGGAAGTGCTACAGGTGATGCTATCATTGTTTCATTTGTTTTATAAGGTTTAGTTATTAATTTGTGCATGTTCGTATTATTATGAAGATAATTTTATCGGGAATGTTCAATATTTTCACATCTAAGTATATACCAGTACAGGTATATTTGTTTGCATTTTTCCTGAGAATATAATCCTAATATAGTGTAATGCACGCAATATCAAAGGCATTTCGTCTTATTGACTCTCCTCCTTTAGTTGATAATCTCTCTTCTCTTTCTCTTCGCCGCAATGTTGCTTCACTCTCTCTCATTTACAGGTACTTTAACGGGCAATGTTTGGTGAATTTGGCATCCTGTTTACCGCCGGCAAGGCCGTGGGCTCGTAACACTCGTCTTGCCAGCGGTGCCCACCGTTTCTGTGTGGATGTCAGTCACACTAGAATAACCCGTTATAGTACATCCTTCTTTCCTCACACAGCCAAACTGTGGAATGCTCTGCCATCTTCCGTGTTTCCATACTTATACAATCTGCCTCACTTTAAAAAGCTGGTTTTCCGGCATCTTCGTGGTGTAGATTAATACAGTATTGTATAACCTTTTTCTTTTCTATTTTTAATTTCTTTCTGTTCTTATTTTTATGCCCCTCTGCCCTATTGTGGGGAAGGTATTACATCACAAGTAATGTGGGAATTATTGAAAATATTTTGAGTAAATTGGATACATTTGAATGCTTCCCAGAGATTTTGTAGTGAGAGTGAAGCATACTTTAAAGTTTGTTAAGAAGATGAGCATTGCTTCCCAGTGAAAGTAGAACTGCATTATGGAGGTCATATGTCACCATGATAGCTAGATATTTTCTTGGAAGGGTTATTTTTTTTTTTATTATAGTAGAGGAGACAAAAAGAAGAGTAAAGTAAGTTTGGTGAAGGATAATGCAGGATGTACAGTAAGTGGGCCTTGAGTCAGCTTCTGTTTGCAGATGACATTGTTCTAGTTGGTGATTTGGAAGAAAAGTTAAAGAGTTTAGTGAATGAGTTAGGAAGTGTGTGTGTGTGTTATCTGGTGGAGCTATTCTATAATTTAAAGAAATAAGACAATATTTGAAAGGCAATTGAGAGATCCAATTTTAATTTGTCATTGTAGCTACAGGGTATTAGCAAGGGATGTAGGAAAATTTCTAAAAAATGACACTAACAAATTAACTAAGAATTGAGTGGCTAACAAAAATATATTAATACTGTATGTACTTAGAGATAGGATGAGTATAAGCTGTTAATAACCTAAATGTATGATGATTACAGGGGAAATCACTGAGATAACCGGTTATTTCCTCATCACAGACCTTCATGGTTAAAACATTGAACTGTTATTAATACGACTAATAGAATGACACTAGAAAAAATAGCAATGTACCGTAAGAATGTTTTCCTACTGTATTTATAACATTAGAGTCAAAGTATGTACAGTATGTGTGTGTGTGTGTGTGTGTGTGTGTGTGTGTGTGTGTGTGTGTGTATGGAAAGGTTGACAGGGTTGAAGTGTGAGAAGTCTAAGTCATGCTGGCTGAAACTGTACTGTGTGTTAAAGCATTTTTTCTTTGGGCTCCCCAAGATTTGAACATTTCAGATTGATAGTTCATGTACTGTACTTTATGTAATATATTGTGCATGTGTAACTTTGCTATAAAACAGTATTCTTAGAGTGGTAGGTCTATGTAACAGTCTACCAGCCCAAGTTGTGGAATCATGAACAGTACTGGGCTTCAAAATATCCTTTGACAAAATAAATCAAGAACAATGGAGAGATCCAATACAGGCCACTGGCCTCCTTTCCTCAGTAGGGCCACCTCTAGTGGGTGGCCATTAGGTAAAGAAGGTAAATGATGAATTATTATATTAGTATTTACCCTTTGTGGATCATCGTAGTGTTTACTAGAAAACATTTGACTACAGGTATTATAAATAAATATTAATTTAAAGCGATAGACATTGCTGTTATTTTCATTGGCAACAGTTTACTGAAATATTTTAATTATTTTCATTGCAGGCTCTGCGAGGTCATGGTGGAAGACAATCTCAGGCAAGATCAGGCTGGCAGCAAGAAGGAACCCCTAGTTTGGACAATGAAGATACACTTATTAAACAAAGACTTAAGTAGGTTGTCATGTCACCTGAATTTGTTTATAATAGGATGCAATATGATACAGGGTGTTTTAGTTTGTGATGCATAGAAGGGAAATTTGTAGACACGAGGTTTCTAATGTACTGATTATCTGTGGTTGGTGTAGTGATGTGTTTACTGTACCATAGAGACAATATTTACCTTGAAGACCTTTTTATATGCCTGGGAAGTATATACAGTATAGAACAGTGAACCCTCGAAGATCCGGACTAAAAGACCTGTCCGAAAAAGCCGATTATCCGTATCTTCCGGCGAATGTACTAAATGTATAAAAACTATAAATAATGATATTAAAAAAATAAATAAATACGGTACTGTATTTTACGGTATATAAGACGCACTCCCCATTTTAGCAGGGGGTATTTAGGAAAACTTTTGTGTGTATTTTCCTCCTGTATTGCCAAACCAGTAAATAAAAGCCAAATGAAAGTTTAACACAGTTGCCATTTGCATGCACTCCCTGCTTCATCACAGCAACAAAGACCAGCAGGGATGCTACCTCTGTCGATTCCCTTGCAATGCTCCCCACCCCTATACTCTGCACCCTCCTCCCTGCTCCCTCACTGAGCCAGCTAACTCGTGTGCAAAGAAATGCATATTCCCTTTATGTGTTTGCTCTTAGGACAATTATTCGTTTTACTTTTTTCACAATTTGTATTTAGGATGGTGTGTGCATGTAACTGAGTAAAAATAAATGAAGAAAGTTATGTATGTACAGTATATCTATCCAAAAATACAAGTTAAAAAACAACCATAACACCTCACAGCTTGGCCCAGTAGCCTGGTGGTTATAGTCATGAGTCTAACCTGGATGCGATGTCATGATTAATCATTATTAATCACTGTTATATCAGTAAACACTAATAATAACAGTGACATATGGCAGGGAGCGAGGAGAGTTACAGCAGCAGATGACACACTAACTCGCGGTCACTCACTCCTCTTCTCGTTCCCTTTGCCAGGCGTATGATCGAAATATGTATGGGAGAAATATATATCTTGTAGTTTAATTTGAAAATGGTAATGGACACAGTGATAAACAAATTATATAAACCATGCATTTACCTACTACTGTATAACATAATAAGAAACATTGTATCATCACTAGCGTGAATTAAATAATATTCCCACAAACAACAATTGATAGTTCTGTTTAAGTTTCCTGCCTTCTTGGGCACCTGTGTTCCACACGCTGACATCTTAATTACACGGACCAAATATGATCTTTTGAGAATGCTTCTTAGGGAGGCTTCTTAGCCCCCGGAACCCCCAAATTTTGTCCGAATCTTCCGAAATCCAGATTTGCCGTGTCCAAATCTTTGAGGGTTCGGTGTAATTATTAAATTACAGTGCTTTATATCCATTTGTCCTTTCATTCAACTATTTGTCTGCCCTACAGTTAAATTTAGGTTTTGCTCAAACTATCTTTTATTGTTGTGTTAATTTATATTCATGTAAATATAACTGCCTCCAATTTACAGTCCATTTTAATTTTTGAGAAATGTTTAGAGAAATGTCATGTCAGCTCACAAGTATTCACATAATTTTTTCTTGTTCACTTTTTTTTAAATATTCTTTTAATACTTATTGTGGGTCATGCAAAGATACCTATTGTCATTTTACATTGCACAGTATTCACATATTTATTAAAAAAAAATACCTTTGTGATCTTTGTTATACAGTACTTCATTTTGGAGATAAGAGGGCTTTTTTCTTATAATTTCAGTGCCCTGTGGGGATCCCATGAAACTGCCCTCTTGTGCCAACTCCTTGACTCAGGTGGTTTGTCATCATCTTGGGCAGAAGTGATCCTTCCCATTGTTCACACAGTCACAGACATTATCCGTCCCGACGTCAAGAATGATAGTGACGACATGGATATACGACAGTGAGTTCCTTCCCATTACTGGAAATGTGGACCTGTCGATTATTTGAAGATAGTCCTTCGTTTATTTCAGAAAAAAGAGTTAAAAATGCAGGAAATAAAAAAAGTGTTATGTTTTGTAAAGTTAAAGTAGAATGATTGACCATAAGAATAGTTATTTACTGTGTATCTGTTATCTGTACAGTACCTCTCTCCCTTATTTGCCTGACATAGTTAAAGAAGTACAGTACTTGATGTAGATGATTGTGTTTGTGGTATCTCTTAGTGTTAAATTGTGAATGGAGGGGTTAATGATGTAAATTGTTAATGCAAGCAAGTGTGTTTTAGTATATAGAACTAAATGAAACTACGTATAGCGGAGTTTGTACACAAAACATGTAATACAGTAAAAGAAAGTTTTAATTACTTTTTATATTTTGTGTTAAGATCAGAGTTGTTGTACAGCACTAAGTATTCTTTACATGTAACCATACAAGTTAGCAGCTTTTACATGTACAATGTATTTTATTTTCCAGATATATACAGTTTAAGAAAGTGCCAGGAGGCACCAGGAGTGAATGTGAAATTCTAAATGGAGCCGTTTGCACAAAGAATGTTGCTGACAAATCCATGGCTGTACGACTCACCGATCCACAGATCCTGTTAGTAGCTTCCACCATAGACTATCAACGGGGCAATGACAACAAGCTCTTAGCTCTTGATAATCTTTTACTACAGGTAATGTTTGCCCCATGAACAAGGGTTGTGGGCGTGAGCAGCAGATACTAATAGATAATTGACTTTACTTGGTTGAAATAGTACAGTAGCCATATGAGGCGTTGCCTATAAGACGGGCGACCGTGTGAATTTGTTTTCTGATTCATGTTTTAGGTCTTATTTTGTTGTGCTTGAGTAATATTTCACGAATATGCATGAGTAAAATGTATAATGTTCCATAGTGAAGCCTGAGCACTAATGGTAATAACTACCTGTCCTATTAAGAAATAATAAAATATTTTATGAGATACAGTAATTATGAAACAGTAATCATAATAATAAAACAATATATATAAGTTTATAGACAATTATCATACAAAACTGTGCATGTTATGGTATGTAGCACCCTGCTTGGCTGATGTTTCATTTGGCTTTGCATAGCATTTTTAGAAGAAGCCTTGGTATCACTGGCTAGAAGAGTGCATTCCTATATTTCTCCTCTCCACATGATAGAGCATAGGTTTGGTGACACAAAATCATAGAATTATTTTTTCACTAAAATGGCTCGGTCTCCGTTCTTAGAGGCAATGCCTCGTATTAAAAAGAACACACCATTAGCTGATGAACAGCAGTTTTGAGATTGTCATAGATATTTTGGGGAATTATTTATATAAGCTGACTATAAGATATAAATATGAAGATGTTTCTAGTGAAGAAAATTAGTGTTCAAGGGTTTAAAGGGAAAAATAATGATCAACTTTATTTTATATTACCCTGTAGTTATCTTGTCAGGTAATTGCCTTACTAAAGGTTATTCCATGGCTTTTGATGTTATGTTTTCAGGAAGCAGACTACCTCAAGAATGTCGTAGCAAAGATTGTCTCCTACAAACCAGATATTATCTTGGTTGAGAAGAGTGTTGCTTTCCTGGCCCGAGAATTCCTGCAGGTGAGATTATTCATACAGGTGTCAGGTCAGGCAAACTATATGTGCAAGTAAGATTATTGTTTTATATAAAAAAGAAAACATAACAATATTTAACTTTTTGTTTTAAAACATGAACAAAGATATAGACAGATCGATCATTTTAAATAGATTTGATGTACAGTACTTACCCCTGTACAGTACTTACCCCTGTACAGGAATACCCTGGTTATCACAAAGGATGCATTCCTAAAAGTCATTGTGAATAATATATTTGCAAATATCAGGGCAATTTTTCCTTTAAGAATCATTGTAATGGGGGGAGGGGGGATGCATTCCCAGCCGGCAAGTTTCACCACGTTTTTCGATATACACTCAATATACACAATAAGGGACCAAGGTCACTTGTATACTGTACCAGTAAATGTGATTAATAAATAAAAATAATACTAGTAAATAATAAAAAATGCTGCATTGCCTGGTGGAAATAATTTCTACATTCGGGACACGGGAGACAGGATTGACTGAGACCTCCGACATCATTCCCTTCCTCCCACTCTTGCAATGTTTGTGTAAATCCCGCGGACTCAAGAAATGTTTACTCTCTTTTTTTTTGACCTTATGATGATCATGTTCAGTATTATTTATTTTTTTGCACATTTTGTATGAGCAGTTGTGTGTGCATATAACAAAGTAAAAAAAAAAGATCTAAGAAAATTACATACATCCAACCAAAATTATGAGTTAAAAAATAGCAATGACGCAGCTTGGCCTGCAGGGGGAGAGCTAGGGGGATGTAGCTACAGGCACCGTCTAACATGGCCAAATACCAAATGCACACATACATTCACTTCACACACATACACACCCGTGCTCTTCATTTATCTTTTTTCATAGTAACATGCCACGTCCATAGATGTTATTTTTTCTAATTTGCTTTGTGAATAAGTGGGATATGCTTTGGAAATATCGAAAAAGGTTGTTAAAATATCAATTGCGAAAAAGCGGGGATACAAATAGCAAGGTATTCCTGTACAATTAAGACTGACACTTGTACAAGTACTAATAAGATATGATTACAGTATCCTTTACTGATTCATTAGTCTGTCAAACCAACTCAGATTTTAAGTTATGCTTCTGGAATTCATTTAGTTTCTACTGGTGTCACTTTATATCCTTGAACCTCATAGTATTATTTTAGTGGTTGTTTTGTTATTGTCTTTTTATAACATTAATGGTAATAAAGGTGGAAGTTCTTGTGATTCACATGCAGTCTGCAGTGATCATGATATGTAGGAGACCAGTGTCACTACAGTTTTTTATTCATATACAGTAATATAATATAATACAGTGATATCTCCATTAACCAGAACAATTGGTGCAGATGACTTCCGGGAATGAGAGATTTCCGAGTGATGAGACGACTATCTCCAAGCCGAAAAATCCCTCGTCCCCAGAATTTTTCCGGATACCAGAATTTTCTCAGAATTTTCCAGAATGATGCATTATTTCATCCGGTAAAGCCAGAAAGAAATCCCCCATTCCCAGAATTTTCCGGATACCGGAAACTTTGTCTTGGAATTTCCGGAAAATGACCCTGATTTTCATCTCTCAATCCCGGAATTTTTCGGGCCACGTGAAATTGTTCTCAGAATTTTTCAGTAAATGTGCCCTCGGAATATTGTTCCGAAAGCCTGAATTTTCAAGAAAATTGCGGCTTTGGGAACAATTTTCCTAGAAAATTTCATTTCCGGCTATCGGAGAGCTCCGTTTAAGAGGGATTCTGGCTAACGGAGATAGTGTATTACCGTACTACTCGGAGACATATTACAGTACAATTATTAGATTTTTTAGTTCCATTTAGAGAGAATAAAATCTCACAGTGAGCTAACTATGAATTTTACTTGTGATATTGAACTTGCTTTATTTAATTATTTGTATCAAACCTCACTAAGTCTTTTCCTTTTGATTTCTTGAGGATTATAATAGCATCATTTTAATATCTCTCTATACTACCTCCCACTACCCATTTCAGTGTTTATTTTCAGTCATTAAGAACATGGCAGATGGTTCACAGAAGACAATTATAGAACAGTACTTTTCATGGTGTGGAGCTGAATATCTAGAGGCCTAAATTGTGAATAAAGTGAATGTAGGATGCACTATGGGACAATTGTGTTTGGCCAAGAGAGCTATTGTATTTTTTATATTTAAGGTTAATAATTGTGCAGTAACATCATCTGGCCACACACTAGAGTCAATATAATCTTCTTTCACATCAACACACAGGGTGCCACCTCCTCCACTGACTTATTTCCATTCCTTGACTCAATCCAACTCATGCAAGGTTCTTCTGTCATTACCTTCCTGAGTAAATCATCTTCATCAACCTCCCAGTCATCATACAGGCCATGTTCCTAACCATTATCAGGTGACAGAACACTACTGTACTTAGTGATTCATTCATAGATTATATAATACAAAATATGATATTGAATAGTAATATCTCTGTTAGCCAGAATCCCACTTAACTAGAACTCTCTCATAGCCGGAAGTGAAATTTTCTTGGAAAATCGTACCCGAAGCTGGAAAATTCTGACTTGGAAAAATTTTCTGATGGCCACATTTTCTGGAAAATTCCAAGAAAATTTTCCCGGTACAGTACCTGGAAAATTCCGGGGATTGGAGATTTTTTCCGGCTTTGAGGGATGAAATAATGCATCATCCTGAAAAAGTCTGAGAAAATTCCGGTACCCGGAAACATTCTGGGGATGGGGGATTTCTTCCCGGGATCAAGAGATGATGTACTGTAATGCGCAATTTCTGGAACTTCCGAGAAAATTTTCCCATTACCTGTAACATTCCGGGGATGGGGGATTTTTTCCGGCCTTGAGAGAGTCTTATCATAACTCGGAAATCTCTGATTCCTGGAAGTGCTCTGCATCAACTGTTCCGGCTAACAGAGATATCACTTAAATTTTAGTTTAATGAATTTATGAGGTTGAAAATTCATCACAGATTCATTTAAAATGTGGCTACTTAAATCAGAGCATTTTTATTACGCTTTTGTGTCGTTTTTAGTCTTGTGTATTAATTCTTTTAATTCCATTACTCTGCAGGCTCATGGTATCACACTGGTCATGAATGTGAAGCCTTCTGTAATGGAAAGAGTTGCAAGATGTACACAAGCTGAATTGGTGTCTTCCATAGATGCACAGATAACCAGACCCATGCTGGGAATGTGTCACAACTTTTATGTGAGGTCATATGCTTTTCAAGGGAAAAACAAATTAAAAACCTTAATGTTCTTTGATGGCTGTGCAACTCACTTGGGCTGCACTGTGATCCTCCGAGGTGCCACTAATGCCGAGCTGAAGCGAGTAAAGAAAATTATGTACTTCATGATATATGCTGTATATAACTGGAAACTTGAAAGGTCATTTTTAATGGATGAGTTTATCTTAATACCTCCTCTTCCATCTGAAAGTTTTGACCTAGAGGACCAGGTATTTGAGGATGAACACAGAAGGAATGGTAAAACAGGGAAAATTGACCAGGAACAAACTACAGGAAAAGATTTGATTGAAGTTGGAGATGGAATTAAGAATGATCCTTTTACAAATAATGACTTGGTAATTTCAGCACAGATTCTGGAAAATACCAGAAATCAATCTGTCAAAGAGTGTGTGCAAAAGGATTCTGTAAACTCTTCAGGTGAAACACCCGTGCCAATGACTGGGACTGCAGACAAGGCAAAGTTATCTCAAACAATCAGTGATTTCAGTGACCCATTACACTCGTACCTTAACTCAGGTGTATCTCCTCAAGAAGGTCCCATTGAACCTACGCATCACTCCCTCTCTTTAACAGAGTTACCATTCTCCAATAGTTTCAGAAAATCCCTTGATGAAACTCTTTTCTCATGTTCTCCATATTTGAAGTACAGTGTTCCATATCTTGAATCTGAAGTTGGGAGAAACTGCATATTACGCAGATACTTCCAAAAGAACTTATATTTTTCTGTACAGTTGGAAAAAGATAATTTTATGCGACGTCCACGCTTCTCAGAGATGGAAACAAAAGAACATAAGGATGAGAATCAGAATGTTGAAATAAGGTCTCCTCATGAATTCACTAAACTTAAACTAACTAAAGAAGCCAATGACAAAGATTTCCGAGCAATTTTAGCAGATTTTAGAGCTCGAGGTGGACAGATGAAAAACACATGCAAGTGTGAGGGGTCTGTCGGAGAGTTAAAGGACCAGAGGCTCACACATATGGGCATATCCCTGGAAAGATCAGAATCTCATGGACAAGTAATTGTTGAAGGACTTTACATGGATAGTACAGGTGAGCCTTTAATACTAGACGGACAAGTGTTTGTTGTTTGTTCTATGCATACAAAATAAACTTTATGCTTTTCTTATAAACTTTTATATGATGTTGCATGTCTGTCTGCTAATAAATCAATCTGGTAATCTTATAGTAGCTGTGAAATTTTAGTATTTTAAATAATACTGTATATGAAACAAAAAAATTTCTTATAATTTTGTATGGATATTCTCTATTTATTTGTATTTTTTTATTCAACTTTGAAGGATTTTTTTCTTCTAATATATACAGGGGGCAAATTCAGGGGTCAGGTTCTCAAAATGTCCACGAATTGCCAAATCCGCAGATAACATTTAGAGGGGGGTACATTTATACTTGTGTACAAAGAAATGTATATTCCCTTTATGTGTTTGCCCTTAAGACAATTATTTCCTTTACCTGTATTGTAAATATATGTGTGTGTGTGTAGACACATACACAAAACACATACAAATAAATAATAATGGAAAAATACTCTCACAAATAATCAGAAACAAATTTATTAAAAATGTAACAGTCTACCCTCAAGTCTGTACTTTAATACTTTATTAATAAAGCACAGACTTAAGGGTAGAATGACATTTTTAATAATTTTTTCTAATTATTTGTGAGAGTAATTTTCCGGTATTACAGTATCTATTTGTGTGTGTGTGTCTACACACACACACACACATATTTACAATACAGGTAAAGGAAATCAATGTCTCTAGAACAAATCGCTCTCTGTCCAAGCAGCAAAAATGCTGGCAACTTTAAAATTACCCACAGACATTCTTGGGTACATCCAGGGTGTCATCCCTGAATAATAGAGGACCGCAAACTTTGGGGGGCTGTAAACTGTAGTAGCTTAACTTTCGGGATTTTATTGCTAGTTTCTCTTGTTTCCTATAAAAGTTACTTAGTAATTTACAGCTTGTCACAAAAAATTATACTTTTGGTGAGTTAAGAAAGTCTCAAGTAGAGTTTTAAGATCAACTTCATTTCCAGGATCTGATATGATTTTAATGTAATGTTATATTTTAATGGTCATTTATAAAATACCTTTAGGTCATTGGCACAATCATCTCTGTGGTGTTAGTCAAGTTGGTGCCTTTATTTTTCTCTTCATGGTCCTTTTCATCAACTACCGGTATATCTGCACTAAAACATTACACATGGTGTGATAAATTATCTTGATATTTACACTTTCCTTTTATTGACCACTTCCTTTCTCAACTCTTTAGTTTTTGTTTCACATGTTTGTGCCTTATGCCTTCCCTTCCTTCGTTCCTTCTACTTTCTTTGTTGTGTGCTTATGAAAGCAACCCTCACACCTGTACTGGTTTTTTGGCCTTAGCAACTCTTATCTGTCATATGTTCTTGCTTCTCAGTTCAAACCAGTGGCAGCTTATTTTGTTTGAGCATGTCTCTCAAACCACAACTAACCCTCTAGTGTCATAAATAGCTGTAAAATGTTGATGTTGAAAAAGAGGTTATAAAAAGCCACCACCGTCAACTTCTCCTTTACTAAAGCCAATGGGTTTGGAACCCAGAGAACCCTAAATTAAGATGGCTCGGGCTAACCCAAAGATCAATCAACCCTTCCATAGTAATCCTGGTCCTTGAAAAAAGGTGTGTTAAGTGTAGGGGTGCTCATAAAGTTAGTTCCTGACTACTCTGCCCTGTAGCAGTGAAGTAAACCTCTTGTTGTGGAGGTGTGTCACACTGCTTGGAATTTCTTTCCTCCTCCTACCTTTTTTTTATAGCTGGTTTCTGATGTGAGACACTCTTGTAAGCATCAGGTTGGACATGAAGGATTGATTCTGAAAGTCCATTTTATGAGGACCCTGGAAAGAGTAACTCGGGTCCCACCTGTCTTCTTGGATTGTCTTTATAGGTGAGCATGTGCTATGACCAAGTGACGAGTGGGCTGTGTACTAACTCTCTAACTTTCTGACCCATTACCTTCCAGCTTGTTCTCAGGCCCTGTTGTAAGGGCTGGGGGTGCTGCAGGAGAGTTGGTTGGTCATTGGATTTTTTTTTTTTTCTGGGGATTAGCCCACCTGGGCACAGGTCACTGAGCCACATCGGGCTAGGGGGCGAAAATTTAATAATAATAATAATAATAATAATAATAATAATAATAATAATAATAATAATAATAATAATAATAATAATAATAATAATAAAGAACCATAAAGAAATACAAAAAAAAAGAAATCATGAGTGAAAAACAATATATGTATGTTGTGTTGTCAAAGTAAGAGAAACAATTGAGACCCTGCAATTGTGTTTAAATTAGGCAGAAAGTCAAATCAGCAACCTGGGACTTGGTCACAATTTTTGTGATGCCATATGGCAGCAGGGTCTAGACCCAGCCATCATAGTTCAGTGTTTCTGAGGATTTGGCAGGCACAGAAATTGGTTGCTCTTTATGTTGTATTATAAAATATTGCATTTTGATGTATTTGAGAATTTATGTGCATATTTCTGTATATTCCTCTTTTTTTTGTTCACTGTTACTGTAGGGTTCAACAACAATAAGCAAGCAGCGAATAACCTTTGGAGTGGACAGAGCGGTTTGATGCTTACTTCTGATGGACGAGTTGATGCTCTTCACCCCTTCAACCACCAGCGATTATCACTTCTTTTCTCTAGCTACTCTCAGTCCTCTGAATCACCTCCTGCTTTCTGTGTTAATCCATGGTAAGACATTATTATTACGTATTATTAGTATTATTATTTTTATTATTGTTATTTTTATTATTATTATTATTATTATTATTATTATTATTATTATTATTATTATTATTATTATTATTATTATTATTATTATTATTATTATTATTATTATTTAATTTTTGCATCCTAATATAGAAATCTGAACTTTTATTCTTTCACTCTACACTACTGTACTTGATACGGTTACAGTAAAACTCCCATAATTCAAAATAATAGGGGATCCAGCTCTAGCTATTACAAATTATGAGATTTTACAAAATATTAGGGACACCTTCTCCCAAGGGGGAAAAACAAAGAAAAGACAATGGTACTTTTTGGTTATCTGCCCCAATCTAAATTTAAACCTTTCTAAATACAGTACCTCTGTAGCAGATTTAGGTTGGGATATTTGAATTATGGTGAAATGGCAGAATATTTCAGAAGTTATAAACAAATACTTTTTCCTTTAAGTTTTAACTTAGAGTGTTATTTGTCACACTGTATTAAGGAGTTTTCTTATGGTATGTATCAGCTTGATTAGTGGAAATTTCTACTCTTACATCTGTCATCAGCAAACATTACCCGGCTCTGCTTTGTCTAACTCCTCTTCTAACCCTAAACCAACTAATATATTGTTACTAACTACATTTTGCTGATGTTAGTGAAGATTTTGTAGGACTCTTCTATCTTCAACAGTAATATATATCTATTCCAAGACATCTGTAAGTTTATATATTGTGTATGACCCTTACTTGAGACATTCTTCAGGAAAAATTCCAAGTGTGTAGCATGATTGAGTCTTTGATATACTGTCTAGGGCATGTTAATTATCAGTCTGAAGTATTAGAAAACTTAGCTTGACCCACTTGTCATTGAAAATCAGATGTTGCATTAAAATACAGATAATATATTTAGTAAGGTAGGTAAGATAATTTTATTTATTAATTAACAGTACAGAGTAATCATTACTTTGTATTTCATATTTTGAATAGAGTTTATATTTCTTTTCTTTTTTCAGGGTTTTGACAATGGATTTCTATGGAAGAAATGATATACCTCTCGGGGCCTTCCTAGAGCGTTACTGTTTTAGCCCCACATATACTTGTCCATCTAGTCAGTGTTCCGTGGCAGTGGTGGATCATATCCGAAAGTTTGTTCATGACACTGGATGCGTTGATGTTCTTCTGAGACGTCTTGACACCGTGCTAGATGACACTAACACTGGATCAATACTAATGTGGAGTTGGTGCAAAATTTGCCGTCAGGTAAGAGAATAACGGCAAGGTTTATGACCAGTATAGTTAGCACAATGCCTCTGAGACTGGAATATCTGGAAAGTTACCGGTATATAATTTAATGGGATGCATCTTTTTTTATTATTCTAGTGGCATTCTAACCAACGGCATTAGAACGGATGAGGATGGGTCATGTCCCCATAATTTTGTTCCTTATAAAGCAGAAATATATAGTTCCATGTATTTGAATGTTAAAATTCATTTATTCAAGATAAACAGCTCTATATTAGTCACACAGTATTGTTGTCTGTTTTTCTCCCAAATTCTAAAACATTGTTTGTTTAGGAAAAGATGAGGATAGATGGATCAAGTGTTTGCATGAAAGAATGTGAAGGAGAGTTTTGGGAGAAAATAAAAATTTATCTGATCTGGAGTATCAACCTGTTATCAAAAATTTTATTACGGTACAGTATAAGCAAAGTAAATTATTTTGATTACCTGACCTAGATCTATTCAATCAAAATAAGCATGACATCATGATTGACTGTTGCCACTGAGTTCCACATGGGATATTTTTACAAAACACCACAGAATGAACAGTTGTGGATCCCAGGAGAATACACAATCCATCTTCCCCCTTTTATCTGAATGTAATGTATCCCTAAAAGCAGGGAGATGATGTGCTTCCTGGTGAGGGTTCAACAGAAGTACTGTATCTCTTTGCCTTCCAATAATTTTTCTCTGTAACCAAAAATATCCTTCCAAGATCTCTTGGTCTCCCTCTCATACACAAACTCTTGTGTTTTCAAAATTCTGTAATAATAATGCAGAAATTCCCTGAGAGTTTGAAATGTATTAGAATCTAGATATTTATATTCATTTATACTGAATCATTTAATAGATTTCTGATAATGTTTTTTTTTAATTGTGGTTATTGATGATTTTACCATTCACAACCCCAATTGCTTCATAAATTTGGTGGAAGTCTTAACTTATAATTCATCATTTGGCTCCCTTATTACAGACAGGACAGAATTAATAGCTTAAGTCCTCAGTTGGTAATTTAAACCAATTAAACTATTGTTCATATATGGTAGCTTGTATATAGCTTAGGCAGTGAAAATTAAGCTTCATTTTTTTTTTCAGGTCACACCTGTGGTGCCCATGTCCTTGGAAACTTGGTCACTGTCATTTGCCAAATACCTAGAGCTGCGTTTCTATGGGGGGAGTTTCTCACGGCGTGGGACTCCTGGGTGCTCCCATTCTCTCCACCATGACCACTTCCAGTACTTTGGATTCAAAAATCAAGTAGCAGTGTTCAAGTAAGTCAGAGCAAAATTATTAAGAATTTACTGTACAAACTCACTTTCTTTGAGCACTTATATATTGTATATCAGAATTAGAAAAGAAAATGAAAATGAAAATTATATTTTACTATACACTTTGATTTTTTCATATGGAATGACCAGTGAGCTTTCTTTATTGTAAAAGATTTTATGGAAAATTATAGATTTGTTTTATCCCGGCAGGTATATTGGCATCACACTACGGGAAATTGCCCTACCACCTTCTGAGATGAAGCTTTGTATTCCTCCCATTACTCAGTCATCTGTCGTCGAACTTATCAAAGGCGTGGCAATGCATGTAAGTATTTTGGAAAATAATCTTATATTTATGTTTCATAGGAATAATGAAAAGTTTGCCCAACTTACACATAATAATTGAGAGCTAAGTGAGTAGAAAGGAAGGATTTATATATACTTAGTTAAAAGAATTAACCCTTAGACGGTAGCAGGGTGACTGAGAAGTACCCAATAAAAAACTCATCGATACAGTATAGAGACGCCGATGACCAATGAAGACAACATACAGTATTTTGCACAAAAGATAAAATATTTGCTTTGTGTAAACCAAATTATTACAATAGATCTAAAATTTGTATGTCTAATGCAAAATCCATGATGTTTATATTCAAAATGATCATCATATTGTAAGAATTCCAGCAATGTAAATTATATTCTGGCCGGGTAATTTGTATGAATTTTATGAGCTAAAACATATATCTTCAGTTAATAAACAAAGAAATATTCTTCAAGGACACTATCTGTCAATCAAAATACTCCGCCCTAGCTGGGTCGGTCCCTCCCTCCCTCCCTCCCTACCCACCACCCCCCACCTTCCCTCCCTACCAGAGAAGCTTTGGGAGAAAATAGTATATTTACATTTTTAGTAATATATAATAACTCAGACTAAAGTTAGGATAATATAATTGACATTTCTGGATTCCTTGCAGGTCAGGGAATATTTTGAATGTAAACTTCATATATTCTGCACAAAGGATAAAATATTTGCTTTGTGTAAACCAAATTATTACATAAGATCTAAAATTTGTATGTCTAATGCAAAATCCATGATGTTTACTTTCAAAATGATCATCATATTGTAAGAATTCCAGCAATGTAAATTATATTCTGGCCAGGTAGTTTGTATGAATTTTATGAGCTAAATAAAAAAAAATAAAAAATAAATTATACTTCACCGCGTATATGAGTAGATGCACCACGGAAAGTGAAAGTCCGGTTCTGGTACCTGTACCGCGTAAATGAGAAATCGCGGAAAGTGAAACCGTGTAAAGCGGGGTAATACTGTATATAGTTCCACCACCATCTAAGGGTTATTAGTTTAAAGATTAAAAATGTAAGAGATAGATATAGGGTGATACCCTAAGAAATTGCATGGATGAAAATACTTTAGAATCTCATATGCTAATTTCACACAACTAAATACAGTACCTTAGGTAACTGAAAGATCTGGAAAATATTCATTTAGAAAAAAACAATTGTAAGGTTTGATAAATGTGTGCCACTAAGCCAGGAAAAAGTCAGGTTGAGTGTCTGTTACCTGAGTTACTTGGACCTGAGAAGTAGCTAAACCCAAACAAATTTATAACACTTGACATTGGATTTGAAGGCACACTGCTCTGGTAAGTGGGCACTCATATGTCTTAAAATGACAATTCTTATTTAGTTTAAAAAATTTTCAATGTGATTATTTTGTGATTTATAAATACACACTGCCAGAACCAAATATTTTTTGCTCACCACAGGGTTACTCCGTCTTCTCAACAATTCTTGAACGTGTGACAACACTGTCTTCGGAGTGTGGAAGTCGGTGGGAACCTCTCATTGTAGAAATCAGTGAGCATCAAAACAAACAGCGCTCCATATTTAGAGAGATGATCGAGAGTATACAGGTACCTGTTATTTACTTTATGGGAAGAACAAAGTATTAAAATAACATTATAGACAAATTTTAGTCATTTATGTACTCATGAAGATCAGATGGCATTCAGGCTGTGTGTATGTACCATTGTACTGAGTGTATACTTTAATCAACATATTGCTGTCTTTTTAATTACTATTGATAGTAGTTTTAATAAAGCCTTTGTAAGCAGAGGTTACTGTTTTCTTGGAAGATGGTAACTTACTATAGAAAAAATATAGCCCCCCTCATTCCTCTATCCACTTTCAGCTGCAGCTAACATCACCAACATTAGAAGCCAGGCGATTACATCCTCCCACTCCCAACACTACTCAAGAAGTAACTACAACAATGCTGGCAATTACAGACCAAGTTATACTGATCAAGAAGCATATTGCTCAGGTTGTCAGTGACTGGAATGTCAAGGTCAGAATTAAATAATGTATTATACTGCCTCTTTAATTCATAGTAAACAACCTTTGCATTAAAAGTATAATTATAAAGATTTTAAGCACAGGAGATGATTTGTAGTACTATAGCATTCCTTACTTCCATCCTCATGATTGTAGCATCCAGGAATAGATTGGTGTCTGTGAACTACGGGTATGTGTACAGGTGCTTGCCTGTCTGAGGGTATTTCTGTGTCCCAACAAGGAAGGAAGCAAATTAATTCAGAAGGGGTCAAGTCTGATCTTAAATGCACTTACACTTGGTGCTGTTACAACATTCTGTGGCAGGTTATTCCAAAACTTCACAACTCTTATTCCAAAGAAGAGAGCTCTGACAATTTTCTATACTGATAGCTTCAACTTGAGGATGTGGCCTCTAGTAGGACAGTCATTTGCCAACTCTAAATACTGTATGTATACCAGTACAGTATACAGTTTAATGAGTATTCCCATTTGCTGTGTTTATAAGTTTTTTTTTGGGGGGCAAAGCTGCTGCTTTTTCATCTGGAAATCTCCAAGTTTGGTACTAAACGTGGTTGTTGAATTTTTTTGGTTTTAAACAAACTCATTTAGAAGCATTATGAAAATATACCTTAAGTCAGCAGCTAATGAGCTTTATGTTAATGCTTTGATAGGTACAAGATCTTGTACAGCTTCGTAAGAGAGAAGAGAAATTAGAGAAAGCAAAAGTAATGGCCACCAACAGTGGAGGTGGATTGCCCCGTCAGTCTACCAGTAATTCTATATCAACATCATCGGCAGCATCAGCACATGCAACTACTTCTACTGGGGGTAAATAAATATATATTCACGAAGGTTTTAGAGTTGTGATTTTTATCTCATAATTTTACTGTATATGTTAAGCTTCTACTGGTAGTTGTATCTCTTAAAGTAGTCCTTCTACAGTATCAACTTTTCAGCAAGGAAATTTATGATCTTTATCTTTGAAACTGATTCCCCAATACAGTACTCTTAACCTCTTCAAGACAGTGATTGCAACTTGTGGTCATTACCTACTGGATGGAGGAATATAAAAAAAAAAAAAATCATTAAAGCATTTGAATCTTACCATAAACTCCTGATTTACACCAACAAAGTTGGTAGACAAATAGCTTGTGAAAGTTACCCCACCACTACAACCATATTCTTTATTCTTGCCACCCAAATTCCCCTTAAGATTTTCTAGATTGATTAGTCAAATCTTGAGGAATGTCACCATCTTCATTTATATCACGGTCAAAATGCATGTCTCGGGATCAAATATACAGTACAGTAATGGCATAAATTTTCTCCTGCATGGGGTGCTGCAAACACCTGGATGCGGTATGTCTTGACTTGTCCATGGTCTATCCATTACTAATGTGTGACAGGCTTCCACAATATACTCAGCATATACAAGCATGGGAAAATTAAATTGGATCCATGAAAAATATATTGCAATAGTTGCAGGATATGGCCAAAACAGTATGACATTCCATCCCGCATCTGTTGCAGAATATGGCTGCCATGGGTAACTGTAGACTCATCACACTGTTCCCTAGAATTGAGGGTGTTTAAATTTTTTAGGATTTTCTCTTCCATCTGTTGTTTGAATATATACTGTATTGTACAGTGCTTAGATTTGTGGAGTTTCCAAGCCTTTAAAGAAAATTTTTCATGATGGCTGTAATTATTCTTCTTTTATTTATGTATTTATTTCACAAGGTTATGATCAACATACAGGTTGCTGGCTTAGATTTTATGTTCATTTAAGCCTAGTTACCAAATTTTAGTTAGAGCTTTGGTCGTCATCTCTAGTCACTGGGCTTATTAATCTGTATTTAACATTATTAAACGTGATTGTTGCTTTTTTCATAGACATCGTTGGTATAGGTTCAGTAAAATTGTAAGTTTCTTTTTCTCCAAATTGCTCTTATTAAAATAATGAAGCATAGATTTATCAATAGGAAGGAGTTGGAGGAGAGATACTCCTGTGAAAGAACCTCTGTTGGTGACACTGTTTACTCACTAAGATGTGCCGTTATGGAAGAACCTATACAGTATAAGCATCTAACAACAAACATGTTTTGCAGAAATGTACAGTGCACAATCACATAAGCAAGCCGGTGATACAGCTTCAGTAGCATCCTCAGCAGCTTTGACTGGTCTCTCAACAGATTCCCTCAGCTTGTCAGCCTCCTTCAGTGAACTACCAGGTCAAGAACTTCCCAAAAAGTAAGCTTGCATAATACAGTTGTCATATTTTTCCCTCACAACCAGGAAAATTCAGTTATGAGTACCAGTAAGTCAAAGAAAATTTTTTTTTACTATTCACCACCAATTTTATATGGATTGTTAAGTGATCAAAAAAATATTGTAAGCTATTATGAACTGGAGATAATTGTATGTCATTCATGTACTGGAGAATGATTATCTTACAACATGTAATTTTATGATACCCTGAGAGTTGAGCGTGCCATGTAGATACTGGTACACTAATAGACTACTTATACACTTAAATGGCTTACAGTTTACTGGACTGGGATTTATTGATTTTTTCAGGAACACTGTTAATAGTGCTTCCACTTCCGTCTTTGTGTTTTATTCCTCATTATCCTTCTCTCTACAACCAACCTGATGGCTTACACTATGACATACCGTATATGTAGGCATATAAGATGGAATTTGAACCTTAAAAAAATCAGCCCAAAATTAGGGGTCATCTTAAACGCCGGGTATAAAATCCGAACCTGTACATCCTGTGGTTTATGTCTATATTAAAATAATAACAATGTATTATAAACCTGTCTAACATACCGTAAAATAACAACATAATAAATGCAGTTATCATCACGTGCTGCCCGCCATTTGCAACTGCCGCCGAAGTAAACAAACAGCCAGTCCTACCAATCATCTTGTGAAGCAAGTTTATCAATTAAAGAAAATACCTGCATTGTATTTAATATATTATAAATAAATAAATAAACAAATAAATCGGTAAATTCATTTCAAGTACAGTAAATGGTAAAATTTTACTCGACACCGACATTAGTTCCAGTAAAATACCTGACGCCTAAGTGACATCACTAGTGTTTACACTACACCAGCTGGTAACGTTTGATACCATTACTTGAAGTGAATTGGCCTTATTTTAAATAACCAAGGATGTGTTGCTTAGCAGTGTGTTTAACAGCATCACTCCACTGGTCAGTGGGATGGTTGGTAAAGGACTTCTGGGGCAGTAAGCTCCCAGTGGTAAGTGTCAGATTTGCGGTAGTCTTATACAGCGAGTATAGCTCAAAACCTAAGTTTTAAATGGAAATTTTTGGGGTCGTCTTATACACCCCGTGGCCTTGTACGCCGACATAAAGGGAATTTTGGTTGATGTCGTTATATAAATGTAATTTTTCCAAGAAATAGAGTGTAAAGGTAAAGTTTTACCCTTGTTAACTTTCTCGTGCATGCAGTAAGTTTTTATGTTTTTGTGACCACTACAAAAGTCATAATGGGACTTGTCATCACCACTCATGTGCAGTCTGGGCATCTTCGTTTTGTGACCAATTTATCTCAATATTTTATTTTATTTTTTCCATAATTTATACATCATTGACTTTTTTATTTTATTGCTTTCAATATTTTTGCTACCTATGAGGTTTATTGTATAAAATTTTAGTACATTGTACTAATGTTAATGTTAAGATAAAGCTTGTAATGTTAAGAAGATAAAGGGTGTTCTTAAATAACCTGTAGCACTTATGACTATCATATACCGGGTAACTGATTTTTGAAGTTGTTGGGCTGGCATTTTTCCAAGAGTCAAGCTCCTAGCCACTTTCTCTATACATTTTTTATGTTTCTTATGTATATAATCATATTGTATGAATTACACATGTATTCAGATGCATACATAAATTTAATTAGATATTTATAGGTACCTTATACAGTATATAAACATACTGTACTGTACAGTGGTCCCTCGGTTAACGAGCACTATCCGTTCCAGCAGGTTGCTCGTTAACCGAAAAACTCGTTAACCGAAACCATTGTTTCAATGGGTTTTTGGGTAATTGGTTCCAGCTCACCAAAAATTGCCTAAATTCAACAAAAAAGGTAGAAAAGTACACTTACTTTGAGGTGTGTATGTAGAAGGCTCCTGGATGATGATGATGATGATGGGAATTAGAATGGGGGTGGAGGAGAAGGGGGAAGAGAAGGCATTGGGGTGGAAGAGAAGTCACCCCATGGCACCATTTCACCCATAAAATTTTAGTTCTCTTGGTGTAATTCAAGATTATTTTCTTTAAATCAACACTGCACTGCATTATATATTGTCAATATGTAAAATAAATTTCAAAATGACCAATAATTTAAATGGAAACACAGAAAAAAGCGTTTAGTTGAAGAGAGTCTCAAGCAAGATGTTACCTCCACTGAAAACAGAGACACTAACGCCTGTCTGGTGTGTTAACAGGCTGGATGGCACGCCAGAAACTAGTTTCTTTACCTTCAATTATGTTCAATAATTGTTAAAATAACTAAAAAAGTTAATATTAAACTTTTAAAATTATTGAATAGTATAAACTTCTTGATATTTACTAAAATAGTAAGGAATTTAAGCCCTAAAACCGATTACTGTATTGGCGGACTAATACTACAGCTGGTGGACCGCCAAATGCAAGCGAAAACATGTTGAAGTCGGCTCGTAAAAAACTTGTTAATCGAGGGATTGCTCGTTAACCGAAGTTAAGAATCTTATGGAAGGTAAATCGTTAACTGAAATATCGTTAACCGCGGCGCTCGTTAACCGAGGGATCACTGTATAGACCATACAAGTGATTGCAAGCACCTTCGTGCCCAGTGAAAGTTTGAACGCTCGTGCTTGGCTAGCGTACAGCGAATGAGGGTGCGCCAAGTCCGTAGACTTGCATCGTTTTCCATCGTAAATAAAATGGTTAATTAATGCCTTCCTAAAGAAACCATCGACATGGGACCAGGTTTGTTCCACTCTACGAATTTTTTGCAATTTTTCCACCAAGTTTGATGAAAAACGATTGTGCCGTTTCGGCTGCCCAGAACAGACAGACAGACACACGCCTAGTCCTATATTATATTAGGTATATGTTCTATATATGGTGGTACTGTAGTGACAAAGTGCTTGCCATTTTTGCTCTATTTCCTAATTTTGTTTCCTTGCCACCATCACTATAACTGCTTGAGAATCCTTTGTGGTAGGAAGCAGTTTTATCATCTCCCAGATATTTCCCATGATAATGAACCTTGTGAGGCATGTTTCATTATTTGTTAATGAATTTGAAATTTTCAAATATTTTCTCTGTGAATATAACAAAAATCACATTACAAACACTTAAAATCACTTGAGAAACTATTTCACTATAAAACATCATTGTGTTCCAAACGTGTACAGCGGGTGTAATGGGTAGGGTTTGAGAGGAGTTAAAGAGACAGAAATGTAACCCACCAGCTTGGCTGATGGGAGAAGACTGCTAAACAATTGACCCACGCTTATTGTCACCCACGCAGTGGTAATTTTTGGAAACTTGCTCCATGAGATCATGCAGTCATCTGTGGCGCATGAAAATTTGACACGATTATTTTCAATTTATTTTATTTTATTTTTATTTTTAAAATTTTTATGATGCGATTCGCATCATCGATGTAGTCAGTGCTACCCAATAATATGACGTGAGTCACATCATGGTGTGCGAGAGGGTTATTATTGTAGTTTTTCAGTATGTATGTCATTTGATTTTTTCTCACATTTCCTTCTTTGCTATTCTCTCTGAGGCAAGATGAATCTCTTGAGTCTTATACTATTATGGTCTAATGCTCGGACAAAAGTTTTCCCAGAACTAAATTTTCTCTGGATTGTGTAGTGGTTTACAGGGATGTTGTAAATGCATTGTTCAAGATTTTGTAGACTTGTGTAACTTCCGTCTTATGAAGGATGTTTGTGGATCTAGTTCTTAATGGGAAGGTTATCCTCCCTTCCACTGCAATAATATTTTTTCTATCATTGTTGTCCCCTACTGCAGCTAATCTCCATAAATTACATTTGCTAAGGCAATTTCTCTTACACGGTCATTGTATATGTTGAGGCAGGCATGGATTCTTAAATTATTTGGCAAACAAACTTTTAAAATTCTCCTGCAAATCTTTCACACGCATCTCATACCTGTTGGACATTTGTGTGCTGCAGTGGTTGGTGACTGAACTGTTTCAAGAAAAGTTATGGAAATGAAACCTGACTTTTAAGTTTAGGGAAAGGCAACATGATAGTGATAGGAGAAGTAAACTAATCATTGTTTAGCTTTAAATAAAAGAGCAATCATTATTTATGGCATCTCTGTTTTTAGTGCTTCAAATGATGCTGGTGAGGATGTGGTAGAAGAAGGACCTGCAGTTAGTGGTGAGTCATCACCTGTCCCTCAGTCAAATGGTAAGTTGATACATCATTGTTTTCTTTTTAAATATATTCATTCATTATGTGTTAGTATAACAATGGAGTGTCTTTATACCAGTCCAAAGAAAACTATTGTGAAAATAATACCTCGTACAATATCCTCCTTATGCACATTGTTAATTGGATACCTAATACACAAATCCAGTGAAGGAAAAAAAAATGTTCATTAGCTATGATTTTCTGGGGGGGGGAGGGCAAAATAATTTATCTGAAAGTTTGGTTAATTAAATACAGGTTGTACCTCTCTAGTCCGGCATTCTGTGGTCCGGAAACTCCCGTGGTCCGGAACGATTTTAGCTTGTCCAATAGGTAGATAGGCAGCTTTTTTTTTTTTTGCCCCTCAGGCCCCAATGTGGGTCAGTGACCTATGCCCGGGTGGGCTATCCCCATAAAAAAAAACAACAACAAAGCCGCGGGAAATTAAGGTTTGTTTACATTCGGCAGTTCGGCTGCTCTCTCTCTCTCTCTCTGCTTGTCTATACAGAGTACAACACTTAACCCTTCAATATATATGAGCAGTAAATAAGTGTTGCTTTCATATTCTTATGTAGAGTAATGACGATATGTTTTCACATGTGCACACTTACATATGCGCAGTCTCACTTTTTTTTTACCATTAATGGTTAGCTACTTATATTGTTCCATTTATTAACATTAAATAACATTACAGGTACTTCAAACAACCATATTAATTTTTTTACATTAATTTTACTACAGCTACAATCAGGGTCTTATTTTCTTCAGTTTTATATGTAGAACCAATCGGTCTTTGGTTTTGTAAGCTTTAACATAAACAATGCTGGCAGCCGTCTCGTCTCCTCTAATATTCCACGTATTATTAATAAATTGTGCTGTTAATTTTGCACACACAAACATTAATTCAATAAAAACAAATTCAGAAACATTAATTAAAATATATATGAACAGTAAATAAGTGTTGCTTTCATATTCTTATGTAAAGTAATGACGATATGTTTTCACGTGTGTGCATGCGCACTTACATACGCGATCTCTCTTTTTCTGGGTAATGGGAGGTTACTTAACTTAATTACAATCTTCCTTGTGCATAGTAAGCTATTTGGTTACCATAAGTTGCGGCGTATAAGTCGACCTCAAGATTTTTTGTTCAAAATTCAGGTTTAGGCATATACCCGCCGTATAAGTCGACCCCCCAAGGCCCAAACATAGGCTAGGCTAGATCTGAAATGTGGATATAGCCTATGGCGCAAGTGATGCACAGCGAGTGTTAGGCAGGCTGTTCCACTTGTTTACCACTCTGGTAAAGCTTCACATTTTATACTCGGTGTATGAGTCGACCTCTGGTTTTGGAGAGATTTTTTCAAGCCTAAAATGTCTACTTATACGCCACAACTTACGGCAGGTGTCGTTAAAGTCATGAATTAGATTTACATTAGATGAACTCGGCATTAATTTTTTCTCATCACTAATCTTATACTTCAGTTCATATAAAGTCTTAGTAGTAAATAATGATAGCTAATGAGGTGACTTTTTTATGACTAAGAAAGTAGATGTTTACATTCATTTTTAAGATTTAGTCCATAGTTACAGTCGAACAAGATATGTCTTGTTAGCTAATGTGCACACAGAGTTGTAAGGTGAAGAAATAAATTTACTTGAGTACAGCTCCTCCCCGACTTACGACGGGTTAGGGACCCAAATCCAGGTTGCAAGTCGAAATGGTCGTAAGTCGAAAATGCTTAAATAATACATAGAAAATCTAAAATGGGTGTCTCTTTTTCTCTCAGCACCACAAAACTCTCACTTTTAAGCTTGCCAGCCATTTTAAAGTGAATTACAAACGAAAATTTTGTCAGTACACAGCGCAATCACTGACTTTGGGACTCGAAAATACGTAATTTGCCAAATTTTTGTATGACTGAGGTGGTCGTATGTCCGGGTGGTCGTAAGTTGAGTAGGTCATAAGTCGGGGAGGAGCTGTACTGTACTGTACTCAAGTAACATTTTTGGGTACAGCATTTACTTTTTAAAAAGTAAAAAAAAAATTTAGTGCTTTTACTTAGGTATAGTTTTCTAATACTTCTACTCAAATACAATTGAAAAAACAAAAATCACTGCTCATTACATGCAGACTAATACCTGGTAATATATATTTTAACTAATTAATTATTAACCGTAGTAAAAGAGTTGTGTGGGTGGAGGGTTTGGTGTGGGTGGAGCCATGAGGGGTACGGTGTGGGTGTGGGGAGACACCATGCGGCCACATGCCTAGAGGTCTCGTGAGGTGAGGTGATGTCAGGTCAGGTCAGGTGGCAATGACAGTGGTCTTTCCCTTTGATCTTCTTGTGTCCATTAGCACCTTGACCACCCACCTCACCTCACCCAGCCTACCCTCTTATCCCCCTCCCCCCCATCAAATCCCCTCTCTTCTCCTCCACCTTTCCTTCAGAGTCTTGGTCCTCCTGTTAGACATCAGTTGCTCTTTGCATATACCTGTACCTAATATGAATTTCAAAGAGGCTGTAATTCTATAGCGCTTTACATAATTTCATCTTAGATATAAAGCCTGTATCTAAACAAAAGTGTGAGACTGAGTGCATTTAAAATTCTGATTAAATAACTAAATACAGTGATATCTCCGTTAGCCGGAATAATTGGTGCAGAATGTGTTAAAAAAAATATATACTGTACAGTATAAGAAATAATTTCATAAGGTCAAAAACATACAGGTAATAAACTTTTCTAACGTGCGCGGGAGTTAGCACACAGATCAGAGTGGGGGCAGTGGCAAGAGGCATGTCTCGGCTGTTTGCCGTCTCGAGTCCCATGTGTAGTGAAACGATTGTCAAATGGTACAGTAATGCAATATATTTTCTCTTATTTTTTTTTTATTATTTGTACAGGTATTTATTTTTCACATTTACTGGTACATACTGTATACACATGACACAGTTCATCCGGGCAGTCACCAAGCTGACTCAAGAAATGTGTGTGACTGCTGGCTGTGTACTCTGTGATGTCTCATAGGGGGGAGGGAGAGAGTGTGGCTGGCTGTAGTCACAGCTCAATGCCTCAATACGCACATTCACTTCCCACACAGCATATTGGTAGTGTAAGCTGCACCTGCCTCATAATTAAACTAAAAAAAATTGTGGTATGAAAAAAACTCTCACTTTCAACCATAATCTCTATGTGACACTACCAAGTCTACACACACACACACACACACACACACACTCCCACCTTCCCACCCTCCCACCCTCCCTCCCTCTCTCCCTCTCTCCCTCCCTGATGAATTATTTTTGTCCACAACTGTACATTTTATTTCACAAAAAAGTGCTTAGAGCATTGTCATACAAAGCTCCATTGTTCTTCACCTTTCACTCAGGCAAAACCTTAATCATGTGCTTACCTTATAAAAATGATGGTAGATAACCAAGTGAGGATGCTGCTGCTAACAGGTCAGGTGAATAATGCTCAGTAGAAAAAGTTGATCAGTAAAAGAATAAGAGAAAATAACTACAGCACAGTACAATATTGTGAAATTGTACAGAATGTTGAGATGATATAACTAGCATTGGAGAATGGTATAGTTGGAGTACTGTACAAACATTATTGATGAGAGAGGTAAACTTTACTCCTAGACCATATCAAAACTGCCACACCATTTAGTGTTCTAACAAACACACATTGTAGTCTATAGACAGTATATAGTACTGTCTGTAGGTTCATAACCGTATGTGTAGAGACAGGGCATAGCTATGTATGTGATCATCCATAGTTGTGCTTGGACCATTTCTTGCACAGAGTGGTTGGAAGTATCATAGATGATAATACAGGTAGTGAAGTTATTTTATAATAAACAACTTGAATGTTATATGCTGCTTAATTCTTAGAATGGCTGTATTGATTCTTCAGAAGTGCAGGACACCAGAAAACTTCCAGAAGAGGCAAAAGAAAGTGAGTACCTGGTACAGTAATTGCTATAGGCAGGTTTTTCCTCTCAGAGAAGGTCTTAGCAAAGAGGTTTTCAATTTTTAAATCTTAATAAGGACCGAGTATATTTAATACAAACAACTCCAAAGATTATGTACAGCTAAAAATTTTCTTTGCATATATTTTCTTCATAAATAAATTTTTCATTGTTTTTAATGTACAGTACAGTATTACAAATGAAATCCTGTTAATTATATCCTGTATAGAATTGATTATACCTAGTGAAGGATGTCACCATTTGTTGCTGAATGGCTCATACAGAATCTTCTCCTACAGGTCCTACATATCTTGCCGCATTAATTTATTCAAGCACTTGCTTCAAACCAGCACTCATTCTAGCTCCATCCTTACTCATAGTGTCTCTCTTGCACATACTGTATGCTCTCACTGTGTGTCTAGTCCATTCTCTCTTCTCTTACTCTACCTGCCTTCTTTAGTATTTGTAGTACCTGAGGTTCACACATGTTTACTCTTTTTTTTATTGTCTGTTTGTTCGGTCTATTCTAGTGTTTCTCTTAGCCGTGTATTCTCTCTCTCTTTGTGCTCATCTGCCTCATCCATTCTATTACCTACCTTACCTGCTCTCACATGTACCTCATTATGTGAAAGAGAAAAGGCTGTCATATTCAAGGAACTGTAGTGATTTTGGTGTATGGAGAAGGTTATGTCTCAGCCACCCTGCTCTGTAATGGAAAAGTACAGTTAAACCTTGATATTTTGGACTTAAGTATAGTACTTTGTTAGATAATTTTTGTATAATTCAGAAAATCTGAATATAGTATTCTGAATTTTTTGAAAATTTATTCTGATATAATGGTCACCTCATGTCACTGGAGTAGTCTGGAGATCTGTGCTAAAAAATAGATGTTATGAAGAATAATAATATTACAGGACCAGAAAATTTGCTTTAACAGGAAAGTGGTACTGTACTTCCTCTGTTTGGAATATTCAGGGAAGATCACAACTTTAGCCCAAATTTCAACAAGTAAACCTTAGTTCATAAATGTGTTACATTGATCCCACATTTTCACCTGTATTTTCATGTGTTTTTGCTGTTTAACTATTTAGTACACTAGTATATTTAAGTTTTTATCATCTTAAATGTTTATTACATTTAACTAAGAAAGGTTTAGATACAACAGAGTGCTGTTCATAAAACATTAAAACCACACATTTCATCCCTGTTAGGAATATAGGTGCTCCTCTACTAAAGAACATTTGACTCACTAACTTTCAGAGGTATGAACAAACCTGTCCATATGTCCAGTTGACATATAATTGTCTACAATATGTATAAATATAAGCTATTTATACATTAAAATACTGTTAAAGGCTGCTAAGATGTACTCTACTATAGAGTAATGTGCTGTATTTATTATTTGGGTATAGCTGTACTGTACAGCCTTTTTTTTCCTTTTTTTGCACTATGCTTGGTATCTACAAGTGTAAAGTTGCATTTAGAAACAAATGGTCTTGCGAACAAGCCTCGGGAATGAAAAAGAAAAGAACACCTGTACACAGATTTGGAAATATCAGTTTTCAGATCCATCCCCCCAATTAGTCCAAATTATAAAGGTTTTATTGTAAGTACAGTTTTAATATGTTTGATGAATAGAAATAAAATATATATACCTAATGCACTACAGTATTATGTGATCACTGTTCTTGATGTATATGACATTTATTTAGCATTTTATTTTATTTTTAATAGTATTCCATAAAGAATTACAGTTTTTACATTAATGGGTATTATCAAAATCTTTCTTGCATCTGAACCACTGAATGCTGTCAGTGTGTGTTGAAATTGATGTACTGTGTTTTAATATGTCTTACAGCTTTTAAATTTAAAATCCCAGGGTTTTTTAGGACATACATATAGACACCTTATACAGTTTGTTTCAAAGGAAGAGATTGTTAAAACTTAGACTGATATGGCATTGCCTGGTTTCATTTTTCAAGGATTATACTTTGCAATGTGCTTAATAAAGTACTCTGCTTATTTTTCCAGTATGTTATATTATTATTGCATGTGTGTGTATGTCTCTCATGGTTAATATAATTTTAGAAAGCTTATGGTACATGTTTAAGTTCTCAGTCTTTGGTATTCTTTTTAAACTGCATCATTGTTGTGTGAAGGACTGTCTTATGTGCACCAGCAAGCCATTTGTGTACCCAGCACTCTTAACACACCTAATTACAATACAGTGGCAAGTCCCTTCCTTGAAGTCTTCTTAGTTATTTTTTTGCATAATAAAGACATACAACATGATGGTGTCTGGCATGGTGGTCAATCATAGATACTGGTTGATCATTTGATTATGCTGTTCACATTATATTTTCTAATGTGTTTTGGGAGGGAGGGGAAGGGGTTGGCACACTCAATATTCTATTAATCAGTGCATGCTTATAATACTTCTATGATTTTCTTTTTCAATATTTTTGTTAGTGGAATGCTTTTTATCAATTGCCTTTTTAAAAGTTAGTTTTTACTATAAAAAATGAAATTAAAGGAAGGGTATTTCAGCCATTGGATTTTTCCTAGATATACAAAATGCACTAGGACTAGTGTATGTGATGCCTACTGCTGTGTGCCTAGCGGAGGAGATGGATCGCATCCTACGGGCTTTAGCTGCCCTTACTACCACCACCCAATCATCACCTGATCCAGGTATCACCCTATTGGCAAGCTGCTACTGCTTACAGTATTACCACTAACAACTGTATTTCACACCTCCCAATAAACTGTTAATGATATAATTATTGTAGTGTGCCTAATTAGTTTAAGCTAGACTTTATTTTATTACAAATTTTAAGCAAAATTAACAGTATAAACTTAGTTACTAATTATTCCTAAAAAGATAAGCCCTTAGTTAATGCTTTTTATGGCTGACCAGGAATTCATATGTGACTTGTGAAAATGTTGTCACTTCTCTCAATGGAGCTTGTACATTGTAGCTGCTTTCTTGTAAGTTATGTCTTTATTCCATCCCAACCATGAAGAGTCAGTGAGATATCTTTCTCTTGTAACTCGCTACCTTAAATTAATCTTCATAACTTATCATCTTACTAGCTGTTTGGACAGTGATTCAGTTCTTGTACATTTCCCTCTTTCTTATCATTTAGTATAGAGGTTTAGCACAATGAGAACAATTTCAATATTCTTATGTTTGTTTCTGTGAATGTTGGAATGAATATATGTGTGTGTGTGTGTGTGTGTGTGTTTAGGTCAGTGGGAGGGAATGGGCTACCAGTAATTGGGATGGATGGATGAAGAGTGTGGTGCTGATGGACATGAGAGGACTTTGGATATAAAAATGCAACTCTTAGTAGATACTGAAAGATGTTAATTGGTAGTGTATTTTGAAGGGTTTAATAACAGGCAGTGCTTAATATGAGAAATAATACTGATAGATTTTGCAAATGTCTATACCTATATTTTATAACATTATTTGTGTGGTAGGGGTTGAAGAATAATTGATTTAAGAGATGTTTTTATAAATTGATGGATTGTACTCATGATGTCCTGGTGCATGTGGAAATTGTTTAAATACGTACAGTAAATGAATTAATTGCATGGATGTCTATAATTAAGATTTCATTATATTTATTGAATTTAGAAAGGAAAATTCATTATAATGTTCATTCTTGTATTCACTTGGAAGTTTTAAAAAAGGTGGAGGAGATGCAATAAGCAGATAGATATCTCAAGATGATGAATACGAGTAAAAATAATAGAACGTGATTTCCCTTTTTGATCCATATGAGTACATTTCCCTGTGATGTAATAGCATTCACTTTTTGGTTGATATTAAGTACAGAATGATTTTTACACATAAACAGTTTAGATAAGACTAAACAAAGACAGGGCCCTGATATTAATGTCAGTCAGTTAGTTTATAATAAGCCATCCACACAGTAATAACCACACTGTTAATACCTAGCATCTTGTGTTTTTGCTATTCTTATTGCAGCATTTTAAGATATGCTTTTTGAAACACTGCATGTTGTATGGATTTTCTTTATAGATATTTGGTGCACAGTATATACTTTGCTTCATTTTTTTATTATAATTTAATTTCAACTTCATATTACAGCTTACTCTGTGCAGCACTTTTCTGTTTGAATCAGTGCTTGCTTGTTATTCTGATTTGTCTGTGACTCTTGTGGAACTGCAAACTTTGCCCCGTGAGAGACATTGTTTAGGGCTCCTTCGGGAGGTTAGCTTGTGACGTACCAGGCGAGATTGACAGTGGGTATTGGCCTCTTCCTATGTCTTATTGAGGAGTGAATTGAATTCTAGTCTGTACAGTATAGTACTGTAGATCTCACAAGGGATCTTTGAAATTGTAAGGTTGAGTCTTCCTTTTATTTGTGAACCCTCTCAGTCAGAATTAGAGTTTAGTGAGACAGACTCATTCAGCTGTTGTTGGTTGTCACTGACCCACATCGGGACCTTGGAAGGCGAAAATGTGATGATAATAATAATAATAAGAATAAGAATAATAATAATAATAATAATTCATAGTAAATTACACATAAACAATAATTCAATAAAAAAGACATTCAGTAATAAACAATAATGAATCTTTTGTACATAAGAGAAATGACGCTGTTTACACGATTATGCACGTCGTCTGCACGTTGGCGGGCTGTTCAAACCCGTCGAAATTCAAGTTTCCGCCGTCAAAATTTTTATTTATTTATTTTTTGTGTGTTCCAATAAAATACGTTAAGAATTAAAAACTCGCGAAATTTGAGAAGCTACTATACGACATTTAACCTTTCAATATGTCTTCAAAGAGACTATGATGCAGAGAAAGTGGTGCTAGTGCTTCCAAGCATAAGCACAAGTCACTATCTATCCAGGAAAAGGGTGAATTTCCATGGTCCGGCACCGGTCCGGTCCCGAGGTTGCCGGACTAGAGAGGTACAACCTGTATTAGCTCTCCCATTTTTTGTTGGGTGTCCTGCTGCCATACTGTATTGAAGGTAGGGATGGAGGAGTGTCACATTCCTTACGCTGTGTTCATACTGGATGGAGTAATTTATAAGTGATGAGCTGATTCCCATTATTTACCCATGCAGCTTTACAACTAAAGGATGCGTCACACTAGCGTTTCTATTGTCAACTTTTTCATTACTGTCGACTTTTTTCATGAATCGTTGGAGTTGGCTGTTTGTCAAACGGTACAGACCATCTGCACTGACAACCTGTACGACAACTTGCCTGAGTTAACTCAAGATCTGTTATTGATACTACAAGTAGCTACAAAAAATAAACAAATTTTTACTTAAAATATAACTTCTTCTTCCCAAGATTACTCATTATTATGTTTAATTTCATGATTTTAAAAAGGGTAAAAAAATGTCATTTGTTGTTTACATTTTGACCACACGGGAATAACATCATCATGACAGAGCCAACAGGTAAAATAATTTCCCAAGTCTGGACACGCCTCTCCAAGGAGTTCTTGGTGGACCAGATAAGGCAGTGCCACTGTCTCTGGGATCACCAGGACTCTTCATACACCAAAAAAGGTATAGAATTGCTGCACTTTCTTTGTCAGTTGGATCCATCTTGTTTGTTGACAGTTGTCAAATGAGGGAAACTGGTGAGTTGGTTCTAAATGCTTGTGTGACGGTGTACAAGAAAAAGTTTTACGTTTTTCTGAAAGTTGATAAAAAAATCGACGAAAGAATGCCAATGTGACGCTGCCTTAAGTACAGTACAGTATACAGCTCCTCCCCGACTTTCGACAAGGGTTAGGGACCCAAATCCAGGTCGTAAGTCGAAAATGCTTAAATAATGCACAGAAAATCTAAAATGGGTGTCTCTTTTTCTTCTCAGCACCACAAAACTCTCACTTTTAAGCTTGCCAGCCATTTTAAAGTGAATTACAAACGAAAATTTTGTCAGTACCAGTAATAGGGTCTAAGGGGGTCTCATGGCTATGGGTCAATGCAGAAGAAGAAATTAAGGATTAATTCACTGTTTAATTTGTTTCTCATTCTCTGTTAGTTTTACCAGCAACAAAACTTCACACTATATACAGTGTACGGTACAATAAAATCACCTGTTAAAATTTTGGCTGAACATAAATCAGAGCTCATAAATGAAAATGTATGAAAGAACATGAGTAAGGTATTTGTATTAGTCTAAAATTGATTTATGATTTTCTTTATGGTAAAATGGTTAGAACTTGTCTTTTTGAGGTGTTTCTAAAAATCACTAACTGCTGTTACTCATCTTTTGTAGCATTTTTAATAAAGGTTTGTAATATTGCTAATTTTCAGGTACAGGGGGTCTTCATTTATACATTGGGGATGTGGTCCAGAGAAATGTGACTCATAGTGAAACATTTTATAATGAGGAATTTTTACCTATAAGAATTAATGTAATTAGGGGTATAGGCAGTAGGCAACTAGTAGGTAGTAGGCAACTAGTAGGTAGTAGGCAACTAGTAGGTAGTAGGCAACTAGTAGGTAGTATGCAACTAGTAGGTAGTATGCAACTATTTGGTAGTAGGCAGCTATCAAACAGGGAGGTACTACCGCCTGGGAAGATATAGGAAGCATAATGTATTGTCTAATGGTAGACCCTGCTGCCATATGGCATCACGAAAATTGTGACCAAGTCCCAGGTTGTTGATCTGCCTCATTTACACACAATTGCAGGGTCTCAATTGTTTCTCTTACTTTGACAACACAACATACATACCTGTATATTGTTCCTCACTATTGATCTTTTTAATTTTTGCTTTTATTTGTGGTTCTTTATTATTATTATTATTATTATTATTATTATTATTATTATTATTATTATTATTATTATTATTATTATTATTATTATTATTATTATTATTATTATTATTATTATTATTATTATTATTATTATTATTAGGCCCTGATGTGGGTCAGTGACCTGTGCTCGGGTGGGCTAATCCCTGTAAAAAAAATAAATAAAAAATATAAATAAAATACTTGCATTCCACCATGTACACTAATGCCCCTTGAAAGCTAAGGAAGTGTTCCTAGAGAGAGAGATTTAAGCAAGTCACCTTACAAAGGGGTCATTATAACATAACATTATAGTATTTGATATGGAGATACATTCATAACAACATTATTTGTTACCTTTGAGTGATACATGATGGCTCCATTTGGCTACTTGTACAATAAGCCAACTGATTAATAAATAAACCTGGGTACATACAGGTGCATCTTAAGTGCTAATAAATACACTGCATTATTATTTATTAAGTGCTGATAGATACTCTACTATTATATTTAATAAATGCTGAAAACAGACCTTGTGGAAAGCATGACGACATGGTGAGGGATAGTGCGGGCAATCGACTATTTGCGCTAGGTAAACAAAGCCGCTGGGAATTTAATATGAAGCAATAACTCATTTAGGGTTGACTGTGGGGATTTTTGGGGAAGGGAATAGATTATTTTACGATAATGTTTTATTAACCCGGCACTAAATGAACCTGAATAATATAGGAATTATGGCGAAATTGCATATTCTCGTTATAAAGGAATCCTGGGCTGATGAGTGCAGTAGATGAGTTGTCCTCTCTGTCCAGCCAACACTCCCTCACTCCTTCCTGGCTAAGCACCCAGATGTAGTTTTGTATTTTTTTCACTCCATTTCTTTACATGCAAACCTTCCATTGTTTAAGAATTGAATACGGTTTTCTATAGTTTAATTTTTCTGGTTTTGGAACACTTGTATAATTTTTTTAATGTCCGCAGCGAGATATACAGTAGTCTAGAGAGTCATGTGTTGCCAAACTGCCTGATACTCTCAGGTACGTGTCATCTCCCACACAATATATACCCCGACTCTCATAACTTTTCTTGTATATTTTGATATTATTGTACAGTACAGGGGGGTATATAGTATTTTCTTTATTCATAAAACACACTAGCACATTGAGATGACTTTTCTGCAAATTCAGTGGTTATTTACATATAACAATGGCATAGCACGCAGTCGTGTGAGAGGTGACTGATGTATTTAAGCATGGTGGAAGCTTAACACTTGTAGGGCAGTTTTATTACTTGTTATAGTTATTTTTTACATTATAGTATTAGATGTTTTTAACACTATTTATGCTTCATACACACAGACTTAGTACAAGATAGTGGCTGTATGTGAAATGACATATCAGTACAGTACAATGTATAGTGAGGACCCCCTGTATCATGGCTGCAGAAATATATAGTTTTCTTTAAATATTAATGATCTGTAGAAACCTTGAAGGGGAATGGGGATTCTTTGTGACAACGAGGGTGGATAGTGAAAGGAAGGAAACTGAAGAAAAAAAAATATACATATATATAGAGAGTTCATCTGTAACGAGTAGATGAGTATACTGTTGAGCTCTGATGATCCAAAATATGACTAAAGCTACAGTATTTTTGTTAGTGTATTCTGGTTTCACTGCAGTTGTTAAATCACGTAATCAAGAATTGTTTTTATAATTCAATCTGTATTACGGCAGTTTTCCTTTCACTGTCATTCAGTAGAAAAACAATGTACAGTTGTACTTTTCAGATCATTGAATGTATTTTAAAATGCTGTATAGTTCTCAAATTATATTTTGCATGAAAAGTTTCAAGAATTTCTTATTGTAGTACACTGTAAGCTCATCTATTTTATTTTAAGCACATTTTCTTCATAAATTACTGTAAGAGGCTTCACATCTCTGTCATGCAGTATATTATGTTAAAACTAAATATGTCACTTATGGTCCACTAGTATTTTCATACACAATCTATACCTTACTTTTGGATAACATTTAGATGAAAGATATGTAATTTTTATATTTTTAATCTATCATTTCCACCACTTGCCAGCTTACTGACCATGTGGATGGTCGGTCTGTTCTTATGTTACACACGACCTTCATTGTTCAGTGTTAATACAGGAGAAAACCAGATTACCTGGAGAAAATCTGCAATGTTTAGTAGGGTCACATTGGATAACACATCTCACCTCCAACCTGGGACTCAAACCCACAATCCAGTGGTGAGAGGCAAGCTCACTAATACTGTACAGTACCACCATTTTATGGTATGAAGTTTGAAAAACAATTACTGTAATTTATTAATAAATACTGTACAGTATACTGTACTGTACTTTCTAATTAATGACTAGAGTGAAATGGTATACATTAGTAAGTACTGTGCACTTAATGTATACAGTAGTACAGTGATATCTCTGTTAGCCATAACAATTGGTGCAAAGCTCTTATGGGAATGAGAGATTTCTGGGTAACGAGACGACTCTCTTAAAGCCGGAAAAAATCCCTCATCCCCGGAATTTTTTACAATTTTCTGGGTGACGGAAAAATTTTCTTGGAAGTTCCAGAAATTGCCCAATACATTATCTCTCGAAAACGGAAAAAGTTCCCTCATCCCCGGAATTTTCCGGGTACCGGAAAATTGTTCTTGAAATTTCTGAAAAACGTGTTTGATTTTCAGTTTTCAAACCTGGAAAAACTCCCCTATCCTCGGAATTTTCCAGGAATCGGAAAAATTTTCACTGAATTTTCCGGAAAATGTGCCCCTCAGAAAATTGGTCCCACAGCTGGAATTTTCCGGAAAATTCCGGCTTTGGGAATGATTTTCCGAGAAAATTTAAATTCCGGGTTTGAGGGATTCCGGCTAACGGAGATATTACTGTAAACTGCCATGATGACATGCGGGGTTATATTCTGCTACCATTGATTTTGAAATACAGTACAGTATAATAATACTGTACAGTACAGGTATTATACAATATAGTACTGTACTTAAATAATTGGTAGCCGCATGTACTTGTGTCAGTACCGTAGTGATGAACAGTTTATGATTTATGACAGGAGTAATGTACAGATATTAGTCTTTATTATCACATTTCATTATAATTTATGTACACTTACATTTTGATACACTTGTTTTCTCTGATTATTAGTCGGTTAATTACTGTATATTGAATAAAACATTAGATGTACAGTATATATTAAGCACCTACCTAGCTGTATAACCTTTCATTACTTACTGTATTCACATTCTTGATATCAAAATTGTTAACTACTGTACTGTACATTTGTACAGTAGCTAAACCAATTTTGAATTTTTAGTAGTAAAAGTTTCAAGCATTGCCAACTGGTTAGTAAAGCTTAGAAGAATGTTTCTACATTCAACCTCCACCTTTAAATATGGCCAGTGACACATATGGTTGAATTAGATATCTGTATATCTTGGTTATAAATGGTATGATAATTATTTCAAACCTGGTAGTACAGTACAGGTATAGTATATTTAGCTTTCCTCCAAATCTTTCAGTTATCACTTGCATCCAACCTTTATGTTTGCAGTATTTCCCAAAAATGGCCTAAAAATCATATACTGTTTGATGATATGGTTACCTTACTCTCTGTAAAATTAGTGTCTGAAGATATTTGTGGTTGCTTCAGTTATTTTAAAGCTTGAGAAAAGTCTGAAGATAGGGAAACAAACCAAAAGTTGTAAAATTAATGCAGTATGTAGAAGGATTGGAAAGGAGTGTAAATTAGGTAATTTCTGGTAGGCCATCATATGATGTAGTATAAATATAATCAGAAAGAGAGGGCACTTGTCCATTCTCCCTCATTAGTTTGCCCAGGAATGACTTAAGGCATCTGATCTGCTAGTGTAGGTAATTATAAAATTTAGAATATAAATTGACTTTAGGTATCAAGCTAGTAATATCTCATCTGTATCACGGCATTTAGGGAGGTTCTCATTAGTTTTATGCATTTATAATCTACAGGCAACAGTGTTTTGTCACTGTCATCAGCATCCAGTGATGTACTGAATAGTTGGGAGAATGAGAGTGATGTTAGTGGTGGGCTGCAGGCTGTTCTACCTCACCAGATTGTAGACGTCTCTTCACTACTTCACCGTAGACAAGGTAACAAAATAAATGGCTTCTGTATCCTGAGATTACCTGCGTCTTAGCATCCTCAAACATATCAAACTAACCAGATAAACCATTGAGTATTTTCTGGTGGGGATATACGGTAATTCTAGATCATAAATTTCCAATTGATGTTAACTTAATGTAATTATTGATTGCAAACTGCATATTATAACTGTACTTGACCAATATATATGTAAGACTATAAAAAAATTTCTTGAGTGTAGGACAACAAATAATTCATGTTACTAATATAATATCTTAATTTTTGTTTTTTATTTTGTCAAAAAATCTGTCATATCAGTTTGCTAAATGAAATTTGGAAAATACCTATGGATTCTATTAAAGTGTTTGTTATTAATAGGGTTTAATATTCTTATATGAAAAAAATTTAGAGCAAAAAATCTCCTGCTGATGGGATATTAAACATTCTTTTTCTACAGCATCAGATTCATGTGAAGGGCTGATAGGTGGATGCTCTTCTACATCTGGCTCACCTGGCCGAGGTCACGAAAGGTCTTTATCAGATGGAGGTCAGACTGGCTTACCTAGAGAGACTGGAGACCGAATTGGAGAGAGAAGACTTGCTGCCACTGCTGTCAAGAACATTATATCAACTTTTTGGTCATCTTCTGCCAATTTACTGGTTGAGGTTTGTTTAGTTTTAGTAAAGGGAAAAGGCTTCCCAACTCTTCTACAACATTTTATATACAGGGATGTGCTGTTTGGCGATCTGGATGTGTTCCTAAAAAAAAACCAGATCGTTAAGTGATTTGATCGCTGAGGGAACAGAGACGAGAAATAATATCTTATACGTACAAGGTATAATATCCATGGAGATGGCACGTAAATGTGTAGTGGATTCACCGACTGACTGACTCGTCACCCAGTAGCACTCAGAGTGGTTGAGGTCAAGTTGTGAGAGAAGTTATTCTTCATCTTGTGATTTTGGGTAGATGTATGTAATTTTATTCATTTTCTTGTTCACTGTTGCAGAGTATACAAACAAATTAAGAACAAATAATTATCATGAAGTAAAAAAACATAAAGGGAATACAGTAAACAGTTCTTACCGGGTCTGCTTGTTAGCGGACAAGAACAGAGGGGAGGAAGAAGCAATCATTTTAGTACACAATATCAAATAGTAATGGGTAATAAACAGTCAGTACAATATTCAATGACACACCAAAGGCACAACAATAACAGTGAAGCACAGGAATGGGAACGATGTACAGCGATTGATAATATACAGGGCAGTATAGTAAAGCACACCTCACAATGTTCAAAGGCAGGGTAAACACTGTGTAGTAACGGCCTTGTTCATAGGTGGCACGCCGGTAGCATACCCCTACAATACGTGATTTCTGTATAATAAACCTAGATATGTACCTCGCTCTGGTTACCAAAAAAAATTTTATTTAATTTTTTTTTTTGCTGGAAAACTAGATGATAATGAATTCTAAAATCATTTCTAAAATTCAGGTTGGATGATTTATAGGTAATATCTAAAATAATGGCTCCTTTTCCAAGAAGTTTAGTGTCAGGCTTGAAAATACTGTACAATGGTGCCACAATCTCTGAGTGGTCCAGGAGACATACAATATCACACTAAGCATTTAGTTTGCACCACTTAGTTTTGTTATTTCCACCTTATTTTAGCATTAGACTTGTGGTTATATAATACTGGGTAGGCAGATGAATAGAAAATGGAATTTAACATAATTTTAAATTTTTTAATTACATGTGGCAATTCTAAATGGAATGTGATTAGCCCACCCAACCACAGGTCAATGACCCACATTAGGGCCTGGGGTCCAAACTATAATAATAATAATAATAATTATAATTAAAAATAATTAATAATAAAAAAATAAAAAAATAATAATAATAATAATAACAACCATAAATAAATACAAAAACAAAAATTTAAATCATGAGTGAGAAACGATATACAGTATGTATGTTGTGTTGTCAATAGTAAGAGAAACAATTGAGACCCTGCAACTGTGTGTAAATGAGGCAGAAAGTCAGATCAACAACCTGGGACTTGGTCACAACTTTCGTGATGCCATATGGCAGCAGGGTCTACCATTAGACAACACATTATGCTTCCTATATATTCCCAGGCGGTAGTACCTCCCTGTTCGGTAGATGCCTACTATCTACTACCTACTAGTTGCATACTACCTACACCCACAATGCCCACCCAATAGAAATGCCCACTTGGAGCACAGAATCTCTATCTTCATTTTTTCTGACTTCCCTCCTGTATTTTTCCCAGTGAGTTGAAGATCACATAAACAAACAATTGCAGATCGTTAAATAACCAAGGGTGTTAGAAATTTTAAATCACAAAATTGAATTATGACTAAGTGGACAATCGCTAAACAGTGCATCCCCGTAATAGAATTTCTGCACTTACGGTATAGAATGAAACTTTATACAGTATATGATATTAAAAGAGAATTTACGAGAAACACATGAATGTTATTGTGATTGTATAGTATACAAATTATATTTTTGAGAAGTTTTACAAATCCATGACTCATGGCTTCAAAATAACTGTGTCCATTATCAGTAAGGACCTTTCCTTTCATAGGAACCATTGAATTTAAGCTTTGACTGTAAGTGTAACTTTTACAAATATAATTTTTGTACAATTTTTGTGTAGTGACACTTTAAGATTTACTGTGCATAGTGTGTCATACTATGTATAGGACAGATCCTGTTAACATATAAGTCTTCTTCCAACAGTCACCATTTGGAGCTAATGAACACTACCTGTTGCTGCCAGAGGTAAAGATCCCAATAGTAGTATATGGTGAAGAACCTTCCTCTATTATTGCCCATGCTTTAGCCTCACAAGAATATTTTAAACAATTGACAACACTTAAGAAGAGGTTAAAAGAAATGCAGAAAGAAGGAATAAGTTCCCGGTAAGAATTGTAGTTTTAACAAAGCCTTCTTAATTTTTATACAAATGCATCAGTTACAGTATCTTTTTCCAAAGCATGTCCTCTCTTTGTTGTGATTACCTACTTTGTTAATGCTCACAGTTCATAAGAAAAATGAAGGGAAAACCCTAGTCATATCTGGGGTGGCTCTTCTTCTTTCTAACTGTTAGATAGGGTGGAATCAAAGGCATTTCACCTTCATAACTCTCCTTTAGTCAATATTTCTTCCCTTTCTCTTAGCTACAATGTTGCTTCATTCTCCCTATTACAGGTACTTTAATGGGCAATGTTCAGTGGCTTTGGCATCCTGTGTACTGCCAGCAACGCCATGGGCTCGTAACATTCTTCTTGCCCGCGGTGCCCACAGTTTCTCTGTGGATGTCGGTCACACTAGTATAACCCGTTATAGTACATCCTTCTTTCCTCACACAGCCAAACTGTGGAATGCTCTGCCTTCTTCTGTGTTTCCATACTTATACAACGTCTCACTTTAAAAAGCTGGTTTACTGGTATCTTCGTGGCATAGATTAAAAGTTATATCTCCATTAGCCTGAACAATTGGTGCAGAGCACTTCCAGGAATGAGAGATTTCCAGGTAACGAGACGACTCTCAAAGCCGGAAAAAATCCCTCAACCCTGGAACTTTCCGGGTAATGGAAAAAATGTTCTCTGAAGTTCCAGAAATTACCCATTGCATCTTCTCTCGAACCTGTAAAAATATCCCTCATCCCCGGAATTTTCCAGAATTTTCCAGGTAATAGAAAAATTTTCTCAGACGTTCCAGAAATTGCCCATTACATCATCTCTCGAATCCCCAAAAATATCCCCCATCCCCAGAATTTTCGAGAATTTTCCGGGTACTGGAAAAATTATCTCAGAATTTACAGAAAGTGTGCCTGATTTTCATCTCTCAAACCCGGAAGAAAACTCCCCCATCCCCGGAATTTTCTGGGTATCGGGAAAATTTTCTCCGAATTTTTCGGAAAAATTTGCCCCTCGAAAAATCGTTCCCAAAGCCGAAATTTTCTAGAAAATTCGGACTTTGGGATAAATTTTCCGAAAAAATTTAAATTCCGGCTATCGGAGAGTTCCGGGTTTGAGGGATTCCGGCTAACAGAGATATTACTGTATACAGTATATATACATACATGCATACAGTAAAACCTCGATAAATTGGTCTTCAAGTTATTGAAATTTGTTTCTTCCGGACTCTGAGGTGCTCTGGTCACCAGAAATAATAATAAAAAAAAGAGTACTGTACATTTTTTAAGAAATGGGGAAGATTAATAAAATCAAATCTGCGTATCCATGGATAATTAGATTTCCCAGTACACCATTTGTGTACATTTCTGCTGCCACACCATATTATATGGCCATATTCCCCAAAGAGTTGGGGTTTATTATAGCAAGTTCATGTTTTGTTAATTCACTAAGAAGAAATGTGGTGTAGAGAAAGCATTCTGAAAGTTATTCTGTATTATTTATTATTGTGATACAGTGGTCCCTAGGTTAACGAACGCCTCGGTTAACGAAATTTCGGTTAACGAATTACCTTCCATAAGAATATTCAATTCGGTTAACGAAAAAAATTCAGTTAACGAATTCCTTACGAATTCTTCTCAACATGTTTTTGCTTGCTCACCAGCTGGAATATTAGTCCGCCAATACAATAATCGGTTCTAGGGCTTAAATTCATTCCCATTTGAGTAAATATCAAGAAGGTTGTACTATTCAATAATTTTCCAAGTTTTATATTAAAATTTTAGTAATTTTAACAATTATTTAACATAATTGAAGTACAGGAAACTATTTTTTGGTGCGCCAAACAGCCACTCAACTCACCAAACAGGCGTCAGCTTGTATCTCTGGTCAGTAGAGGTAACATCTTGCTTGTGGCTCTCTTGAACATAAACTATTTTTACATTTTTACATTACAATTATTGGTCATTCTGAAATTTATTTAACATATTGACAATATATAGTGCAGTGCAGTGTTGATTTAAAGAAAATATATCTTGAATTACACCTAGTGAACTTAAAATTTTATGAGTGAAATGACGGCATGAAGCATGGGGTGATTTCTCTTCGACCCCCACTTCCTTCTCTTCTCCCTTCTCCTCCACCCCCACTTCTAATTCCCATCATCATCATCAACCAGGAGCCTTCTACATACATGCCTCAAAGTAAGTGTACTTTACTGCATTTATTTTTACTTTGTATGTAATTTTCAGTGAGCTGGAACCAATTACCCAAAATCCCATTGAAACAATGGTTTCGGTTAACGAAATTTTCGGTTAACGAACGACCTTCTGGAACGAATTGTGTTCGTTAACCTAGGGACCACTGTATATTTAGGGGCTTTCCAGTATTACTACTAAACCATTTTATTCTTTACTATTGCTTGTGATGATGAAGATAATTCATATTAATAATATTTATGTGGCATGTAATAATCACTAGGTCCAGCGATAAGGAATCTCTGCCTTCAGTAGATGGTGCTGACAGCTCTAGTATTGAAGATTCAGAATTCTGTATCTCAGCTGCTACTACAGACTCTGAGAAAAATAAATTAACCAAAGATTTGCATATAGAACTTCAATGGAATGATCAGCATGCAAAGTTCTATTGTAAGGTAAGAATTATTTTCAATTGGTTGGATGCTTTAATACACAGGTTCTCAATTATGGGTTTGGCATATTTGGAGGTAATGCAGTTGAGTAAATGATTACATATATAAGTAGATGATTATAGAGAATACTCGATCCAATCCAACCTGTCCGCCAATATGGTGCACATTTTATGGTTCCTAGTTTTTCCGTTTCAAGTGCCACCATCAGCCACTCAGAGTTAGTCAGGATTATGGAAGACTACAGTTAACAAGTGTACCAATAAATTTTTTGGGGGAGTAATGAGTATTTTTGTCATGTCTGTATCGGGGTAACGGTCAAATCTAACTGAGAGGAAAAACACAACACAAGTGAAAAAAATGAATAAAAAGGAGAACACTATTTGATAATATTTTGCATTAATCAATTCTTGTAAACAGAATTCCTATCATGGCTAGGTATAAGGACTTTACCCAAAAATATTTCCATATTTCCACTCTTGGGATTTGGTAATACAGTAGCTGTAATAGTTGCTTGGTTGTTTATTTTGGAACGATTGACAGTGTGATGCCCTATAGGGAAATGTTATTAATATAACTTAGAATGCGTTCCATTTTGTATTGCAGATATTCTTTGCTGAACACTTTCGGCAACTCCGTAAAATGGTTTTTCCTCGTGGGGAAGAATTTTACTTACGCTCTCTGTCTCGATGTATCCTCTGGGAAGCTCGTGGTGGTAAATCTGGGTCAGTCTTCTGTAAATCACATGGTACGTCAAACTTGTTGTTTTAAAACCTTTTTAAGCTTGTTAGGAAGTGTAGTATGATTTCCCTACTTAAAGTATGAACCTTATCACATCCTTTCTTATCACCAGAGGAAGGCAAGCTATATTCCATGGAAACATGTTAATGGTTTTAAATGAATATTGAAACTGAGCTAAATTGGTTCAGGTTTTTTATTTTAATCCTTTTATTAACTGAAACTCATTGTTTCGTGAATATAAAGTTCATTGTTTTATGAACTGCAATGAAAAAATTATAAAAATAAAAAAATCCGTAAAAATGGGGTTTCTGAAATCGAAGCACTCCTGTGTTAATAAAACTGACACTAATTTCTTGAAGGTGTAAAGGTGTATTTAGTAAAGTTTCATAGATAAAAAAGTTATGCAAACCTTTAAGCCGTATAAAAGGACAACAATTTTTTCTTTTCAGATGATCGATTTATACTGAAGGAGATGTCACGCTTTGAGATGAGCTCTTTTCTTGACTTTGGTCCAGCATATGTACAATATGTAGTGAATTGTGAAAAGGAGCAGCAGCCAACTATCCTGACAAGGATTGTTGGTAAGTTGTGGAGCATTAAAATTATAATCAGTTATGTTATAATGTTATTTACTAAATATTCTAGAACATTCTTCAGATATAAGTGAGGTTGTATATATTTGGGTGGGGGAGATAAACTAATTTCCTTGAGGAAACTAATCAAACTTAAGAAGAAGAGCTTCTTAAAAAAGAATTGTAGTGATGAGAACATCTATCCATATTGGGTTAGATACAATAAACTGGCCAGCTGTTGATAAGATACCTGTCAGGGGAACTGTTGAAAGCCTGCAACCAAACCCCATTTTTTCCATGGACCCCAAGGTATTTTTTTACTTAAATTCAATTTGCATGATAATTTCCAGGAACCTATCCTCGGTATAAATTGATGGTATAGTGTCCTGTGTGTGTAGGGCCGAGAAAGCCTATGCCTTGTCAAGGAAAGGGACCTAACTTCACATTACAGGTAGGCAGTTTAGTCTGTCTTTTGAGTTCATATTTTCCTTCAAGTTATGGGGTTAATCCTCTGGGTGATAGGAAACACCCAAAGTGATCTGGAATAAAATTACCTTGAATTCTATTATGGATGATGGTAGGGCACACTGCATTTCCACCTTAGGGATTATTGAGTTTGCTCATAATATCCTCTTGTAGGGGTAAGTGTTCTTGCTTATGGTCTGCCATACTATAATATCACAGGAGAAGCTGTCAGGGATTCCTAACCCATAGACTCTGGCAGGCATACTGTATACTGTACTGTATATGAGTCACTCTTCCTGGACTTGGTCATAAATTGGGATTTCAGGGAACAGAACATCTATTCATTTGTTTCATATTTTAAATTACAATGAAAATATAGAAACTTGTGTTTGTAAGTTTAGTCAGATAGTGTAGAGTAACATTGTACAGTACTTCAGCGGGTCTCCACAGCATTCAGTAGGTGGTTACATTTTTCTATTTTTTTATGTTGGATTAATAATTTTTATGAAAATGAAGAAGCTAAAATAAGAGCTGCATAGATTTTTAAATTTTCATTCATACTTGTATATATATATGCCTGTACAGCACTCCTCAACTTAAAACGGGATTATGGACCCAAATCCAGGTCGTAAGTCGAAAATGCAAAAATAATACATAGAAAATCTAAAATGGGTGTCTCTTTTTCTTCTCAGCACCACAAAACTCTCACTTTTAAGCTTGCCAGCCATCTTAAAGGGAATTACAAACGAAAATTTTGTCAGTACACAGTGCAGTCACTAGCGTCGGGACTCGAAAATACGTAATTTGACAAAATTTGGTACGACTGGGGCGGTCATATGTCCTGGTGGTCGTAAGTCGAGTAGTGGCTGTATACTGTAGGAATTAAAAGTGTATCAATATTATTGGAAGAAATTTGCAATCTTTTAAATAGTGAATATAATTTTTAATAGGTGTGTATCGAATTGGCTACAAGAACACGACCACCAATAAGGCCCAGCGTATGGATGTTTTGGTGATGGAAAATTTGTTTTATCAACGGAACATCACTCATAAATTTGACCTTAAAGGGTCAATCAGAAATAGACTGGTGAATACATCTGGGAAAGAGGTAAGGGTGATATTAAAGTGTTTTAGTACATTGAATATGGATCATGACACAAATGGTATCTTGCATTGTAATATATTAATCAGTGAAGAAACTTATCAAGATGTTAACATATACACATTTTATAGGAGTCAGAATTGGTACTTCTGGATGAGAATCTTCTACGTATGGCATGTTCTTCTCCTCTGTATGTAAGACCTCACAGTAAGACTGTTCTAAGCAGGGCCATTGCAGCAGATACAGCATTTCTCTCACAGCAGCTCATCATGGATTATTCACTTCTTGTTGGCATTGACAGTACTGCTAATGAGCTCATTATTGGTATAATAGGTATGTAAGGAGTGTCTACACTTATTTATGTATTTGCTGTTCAGTATTCTAATATTAGATATGATGAAACAAAATTTAAGTAGTCTTCCTTTAATCAGAAATGTTAATGAAGGTTTATAGAGTTTATGCTTCTTAAGATTAGCAAAGGGTAAGTCTCAGTCAAATATGATTACTGTAGTATTGTAAGGAAATATTACTGAAGATGTTTTAGAGTACATGGTTGGAGGTCAAGTGAAGGATTTGCTGGAAGCCTAGGTACATGAAGGAGACCTTGTTCCAGCCTTCCTCTTTTTATATGAGGAGCTGTAAGTTTCCACAATAAATTTGATTCAAGAGCAACATAAATGGTTAACTAAGGCAATATTGGTAGAGTTATGAAATTTGTATAAAATAAGATATTGGAAATGTATGTTAGATAAAGTTCTTAGGAAAATGCATGGATGCAAATATATTGAGATTCTGTGACCATGGAGCATAAGATAAACAAAGGGTTGATGAATTAAGTGTTATTGGTAAAGTGGAAGGAAGGAGAGTGATAGATCATGTAAGATGCTCAGAGTTTGTAACTGGGTTGTCATGTTCTAGGAATATGTCATTGGATTATGTCAGGTGAGTGACACGAGACGACACACTTGGAGAGGACTTGTGTGTGAAGAAGAAGCAAAATAGATTATATATCAATATGCAGGCAATCTGGAATTATTGATTCATTCTCTATTTCAATATGGCTGAAGAAGAATCTACAGTAATGATTTCAACTTTTGTATTATTTATTTTTGTAAGATACAATACTACACTCTCCTTTTTTATGGTGCATAATATCACCCCATTCAGTTTGTATTAGAATACAGGAGGTAGAAATATTAAATTAAATTTCCTTCTCATTTAGAATGAAAAGAAATTTGGTTGATACTCATGGACAGAACAAATTAATTTCACTTTGTTTCTCTGTGCAGATTATATCCGGACCTTCACCTGGGACAAAAAACTGGAGACAATAATCAAAGGCAGTGTGTTGGGTGGTGGAGCAGGCAAACTGCCTACTGTAGTGTCACCTGAAGTGTACCGCACTCGCTTTTGTCATGCCATGGATCGCTATTTCCTTCTTACTCCAGATAGGTGGACAGGCTTAGGACTAGGTATAGATCCCTAGCTACCTGGTAAGTGTTTCCATTGTAGAACATTTACAGGACATACCATTTTTAATAACTTATTATTGCCATTATATTGAAAGCTACATCTTACAAGTTATACTATCTGAATTTGATACTGTGCTTTAGGTAATAAAAATTTTGCATATCAAATTACAGCTGTATTATAATTTATTTATTTATTTTATTTATTTTTTTTTTTTCCATGTTTGTGAAATATTGAAAGGTACTTCCTCAAGTCATATCTCTTAATTTAAAGTATAGTTACAGCTGTATACAGTACCTAGATATGTAAGTATGTAAATACACTTTTCCATTGCAAAAACAAAATTGTGCCTCTGTAAACATTGATTGTAATATTTTTTCTTTGATATGGGTGCATAAACAGTTTTCATTTCTGCCTTGAAAAGTTGATTAATATTTTAATAACTTGGGAAAATTTTTAGCACATAGAGGCTACATAATTACCTGGAAATATCTTTAATGTTTTACTTAAGCATCCCAAGTTATGTCTTTTTGTAATATATATATAGTATGTATATTTTTGTCTTCAATTTGTAAAGCTAGAGTTTTTAATAACAATTCATTTTAATATATTTCACATTAATAGTGCAAATGTTTTCAAAGTAATCTGAGTGAATCATGAGTATGTGTACACAAAGGATTGTGATCTGACTATTGACAACAAAACTAGATGAACCTCTTTCCCTTAGAAGTAATGGCACGTGTGAGATGAAAACTTTAAGTGTGATTCACATTTTGCTCACTAATTCCCTTATTTATAATGTTTCTCAAATGTACAGTTTTAGTTACCAGCAGCAATGCTTTAGAGAATTTCTTACTAACCAAAAAAATTCAGTCTACAGAAAAGTTCCTGAACATAAGCCTTATTTATGCAATACATCTAATAATTTGGTTTCATTGTTACCAGGTACAGTACCTCACTAATCATTAAAATACTCACTGTAACTTCTGGCAGGATGCTGGAGAGCTGTGTGTAAGCAGTTGATATTGATATTTTTTAAAAGATGATTTAGTTATCAGGAGAATGGGCACAATAATGGACAAGTCACATCCCAGGAGGTCGTATCAGTGCATGTCTCTATTAATCTATGTTATATTTATTATTTATTTCAAATGTCAGTGATAACCAGATTGGGCTTCAGGAGTGGTGTGGTCAGTAGAGCCTCGCTTATTGGAACTGTGTAGTGGTGAGATTAGGTCAAATTAGCTGGTAATTGAAATCATTGGAGTAAAAACATGACTTTCAGCATATCCATATTGTTGGTGTGATTTTTTTTATGTGGTAATTTAGCATAATGATGTATATAACCAAGACTTATTACCTACTTGTATGTATATTGTTTGCCTTCAAATACCTCACATATTTGTTCTATAGTACTTAAAAAAAGTTACCTTAATTGGGAGATCAAAGTAACCAAACAATTGAAAGAATTGAACAATTGTTCTCCACCCATCACAGTCTTACTGTATTACACACAATCCATTTTCCCATGGCAGTTCATGGCACAATAAACACACACAGTGTGACTATAAAAACCCAAATTCATGATCATACACAAGTACTGTACAGTATGTAAAAAAATATAAAGTCCTAATAATAAATTTTGTACAAACAGTAGTACAATGTAATAAGAATGGGAGGGTTGTACAGTCAATGTTTAACTCTTACCTAATATAAGTACAGGTACTGATGACACATGGCACCCTCCTTCCCTTAATATATAAAGACCTGTGTGATTATATGCTGTCCATATAAATTGTCATAATTAAGTTTCTAGCCAGTACAGTATTTCACAGCTGAGTAGCTTACATTAAATAATGCTATCTCCTCTTTCACACTCATTCTGCACTTGAGTTATTTAAGCACTCCTATTTCTTACTAGTAGACACAATTAGGCTTTCTTTCTCCTAGCAGGAGAAACTAAAGCACTAAGTAAACATGGCAGACACTGCATGCAAAATAATAAATAACTAGCTGACTGCCACATTAAATATGATGTACAATACAGTAAGATCTCATGTTTCGCGACTAATTGGTACCGGTTTTAGCATCGCGAAAGTTAAAATCGCGAAACGAGTGACATTGAAATACATATAAATAAGCCTAATCAGTTCCGCTGTGTCACCCTTACCCCCTATAATGACCTACAACTCACCAAGCAAATGACATTCCAGGAATGTATTCATACATATTATATTGTACATATTGTTGATGATAATATTTATATACAGTCATACTGTAGAATAACTTACCTGGATGGAATCAGTGAAATGCTTGACGGGGCTGTTTGATGGGTTCTGAGGCAGGGAGGGCTGGTTACTGCTGCCTCCCTGCTCCCTCCTCTAACCTCAGCATCAAATCCCTCAAGTCTTGAGGCAGCTCTTCCACCAGCAAGTCACCCAACACCTCAATATCATCATCGGTGGTGCTGTCATCATCTCCTAAAGCGATGTTTGCCAAGGCATTAACAGGCAGGGCCTTGCACAGGTACCGAGTATCAAGGGCCTGCTGACGAGCATTAACACGGGACATGTACAAGGCCTTATATTCCTCCATACCCTTCTCAAGGGCAGGGCATATATGGTTCTGAGCATGAGGCCTGGTATCGTATTCTTCTAGCTGTTCACTGAGACGTGCGATGGTTGTGAGAAACTCGGTCAGCTGGCATGTTGAAGGTTCACCAGGCTTAACGTCATCCTCTTGTGTTGGCTGCTGTTCTTCTTGTTCTTCATCCTCCTCCAATATTTCCTGATGTTAACCAACGATTTCTTGCAAATCTTCAACCTGAACATCTGAAAATCCTGGTGCTGGGACTGAGCGCGCTGCCTCCACTGTGTCCATTAGTGTTGCCGCCACGGACTGCCTCTCCCCGCTTGCCTCGGTCTGCTCTGCCCCACTTATCTCAGAGTTAGCGAACAAAGGCTTCCATGTGTGTAGCACTGTTGTGACATTAATCTTATGCCATGCCTCAACAAATCTGTCCACTACATTTTTAATATTATATTTCTTCCAAAATTCACAAACTGATAACACTTCACGGTTGTGGGGTGGTGAGGTGCTCGGAGTCTGATCGTCTACCATCTCCTCCTGGTTAGCTGGTAGAGCCTGGTCACTGTCAGAGAGTTTTGCCTCGATTTGTTGTAACTCAACTAATGAGTCTGTCTGCTGACAAAAGTCTTTATAGAGTAACTGATAGTAGAACAGTTTAACATTACTGATGAATTCATGGTCAAGTGGCTGCAGAAGTGATGTATTAGGAGGAAGGAAGATAACTTGTACATTAAGGTGACATCCAATTAGAAACTTAGAGTGTCCAGGAGCATTAACCATCACCAGGATCACTTTGAAGTCAATGTTCTTCCTCCAGCAGTACTGTTGGGCGTCAGGAACAAAGTGCTTGCAAACCAATCAGTGCATAAAGATGTTGTAACCCAAGCTTTCTTAATAGACGTCCAATAAACATTGAGCTGCGACATATTGGCATGCCGGTAGGCTCTAGGACAGGCAGCACGGTTAACAACCAGGGGTTTCATCAAGAAATCTCCACTTGCATTAGCTGTGAATAAAACTGTAATTCTGTCTTTTGAAGTCTTTATACCCTTTGCCTGTTTTTCATCCTTGGCAATGAAAGTGGTCTTCGGCGAGCAATTCTAGAAAATGCCAGTTTCTTCACAATTGAAGATCTGGTCTCGGCAATAACCACCCTCTTTCACAAGAGCTTGAAAGACAGTTAGATATTTTTACTGCTGCTATGACATCAGCCGATGCACTCTCCCCATGGTAGTGGGTAAACTTGACTTCATAACGCTTCTTAAAGGCAGCCAACCAACCAACAGTAGCATTGAACGGTGGTGGCGTAATAAACATGTGCCTGATGCCTTATCTGTGGCCCAGACAGGTCGCCTTGCTCACGGTTTCTTCTTTCCACCCACTTGTGAAGGTAATGTTCTGTGATAACTAACAGTAGGTTTCGTTGTGAAATATCGGAAAACATCCTGTTACTAGAAAATCTTGAGAATACATTCACAGAAGCAGTTAAGGTTTCCTTGTTCTTCTTGAGGGATTGTATGGTTGATTCGGGGCAGTTGAACCTTCACATGTTTACAAGCACCACTTTTGATCATCTCAAGCATCTCTCGTTTCATTTCAAAGGTGTATTCCCTCTTCTTGACCCCCTTACGGTAGTCACGCTTGGCTTGGGGCTTTCCTTGTTGACCTTCTCTACGACCATCACTACCACCAGAACCGCTCTCGACATTTACATTACTCACTTCACTCATCGTTATTACACAAGAATCGCTAATACACAAGAATCTTTAATAGTTAAAACAAGAATGTCTCGAAACGTAAACACAATGGGTTATATAATCCAAGGTCACTGCACCGCTTGCTCTTTCAAACTAGCTGCCATTACTCTGTATACAAAAAACATTCGGCGGGTCGACGGATAACAGAAGACCGTGACATGCGTGACAATGCATGCTGTCCACTCAACAATGACTTGCGAAACTGGTAATGAAAATCTCTATTCTTGAGAGGCTGGAAATTTTAAACGTGACACGGAACATATGAATCGCGAATCTAAAACTTAATAAACTTGAGATCCTACTGTATAATTATAGTGAACAAGGAGTACAGTAATAACAGGTGGGTAGAAAAGTGGGTGGCATTATTAATTTGTACCCACTCTGGCAAGCTGAAGTGCTTAGCCAGGGGGATGCAGGAACAACCCATGAAGGCATGCCTAGATCTGAGTGACTGATTCTACCTATGTTTGTACACACACCATCCACACACCTTATCTTGACCTTTCTAGTCAGTCCCATTCTTTATATTATGACAAATATTTATATTCACATTCCATACATTTTCTTGGCGATGACAAGCTTTTCTCACACCAAACAATCTGACCAATCTTGACATGATTTGAGCCACAGTAACACACAAAGGAGAACTTCCCATAAGAAAACTATTTACTGTACAGTTACTCAAAAAACTACCTGCACATTGGGGAGATGGATGAATTTCAGAATGAACACCGAGACCCCTGTTGTCTTGGTAGGGTTGTAAAATTCCTTTGTCCGTTGTGTCATGTTTTCTCAACATTCAATTTTTTGAGTAACTGTACATATCTTTTGTTTAGCTTTCATTTCTACTCCACATACAAAATTGTTAAACATAAACTTATCTTTCTTTATTACATCAAATATTTGTTTTGTTTATGTTGGCTCCTTTTTCACAGTCAGACAATTTCTATGTGCAGAAAATGTAATATAGTTTAGGGAAGAACATTTGATATAACCTAATTAATATAAATGTAAAAAAAGAGTAGAACACTGGAGCAGGGATTCAAGTTTTAATAACTACTGTACTGGTATTAAGATGTCATGAGTGCACATTTGCCTCATTGATTATTAGGAATTGGCCTTTTAAAGATTTTAAAAACAAATTTAAAGAAAGAAAATCGACTATGAATGCAAATATTTGTGCAGTACTGTACTGTAATTTCGAGTGGAGATGTTTGACATTAGAAAAGGGAATGAAAGCTGTAGTTAAACACAAAACGGAAGCCTGATGCAGAATTTATATACAGTACTGTATCTGGGTAGCTTGTTTAGCATTGAATGGATGCTTAGTAGTCAAGAAGAATTTTTAAAGGAGGGTATAGTAGAACGTCAATTTAAAGTGAATCAATTTAAATTTATTGATTTAAAGCGACACCCACAATTAAGGACACCGTATCAATTTAGAGCAAATCTTTTCTATTTTATGTGAGTCAAATCTTGCGCGTCATATGGAAATACACGCTATTTTAAGTTTCACGCCTACCGGTAATGGTTCCCGCCAGATGCCTCTCTGGGCACTCTACAAGGCTGCCCGCCACCCTCCCACACCCTCCCGCAACCTCAGTTCTCGCACTGACGCTCTTGTGAACTGACATACTTCATCTTCAGAGGATGACTTGCCTAACTAAAGGTGGGTGAAAATCTATTTTTGTTAGCATAAAGTAATGAGCTAATAAATTATTCCAAATAAACCATTTTTTACTAAGAAAATAAAAAGTAATAACAAAAACAAAATAATAGCATCACTAATTGAATGGTAAGCTCAGCGTGAATGTACAGAAAAATATTAATTATCTCATATTTCAACAATACCTTGGTATGTTTAGTTCATATTCCAACCCCCGCCCACCCTGACCTTATCAAATTTCTGGGTATGCCACCGTGTATTTTGTAATATTTCTTATCATTTGATTTGGGTTTGCAAGCAAGAAATACAATTCTTAAGGAACTAAGATTCAGGTGTGTTTCATACTGTTGGTCTGTGTTTGTGTTGACAGTTTGATTGTGTCTCGTTCTGTATTAACATAATTAGAAGCTTGATGTAACAGCATTTATGTCTCGGTTGTGTTCAGTGGTCCAGTAAATATTTGTTTTCCAGTAAAACTTCAGTAGTAATGGACATAGAAAGTACAGTACCGGGTATGTGGTAATAAGTTAATTTTATTTACAGTATCTTATAAAATCTGCCTTTACTGCATTTATGTGTGTCTGAGTGTGGTGTTATATTGAGATTCTTAATGTTTTTCTAATTTACTCATCCATCACAAAACCAATAGTAAGACTTAGATCCAGAGTGCTGACCAGAATTAATGTGTTGACTTCTGTGATACAGACGTTAATGACTTGGCACCCCTTGCTATGTAATTCTTGTATTACAGCCCAGAAGCCTAAATAGTTATATCTTACTGTCATAAACAAGTCCCCGAAGGAAATCTTTAGAAGAAATGAAAATGAAAGTGGGTCTCATGGGCATAACTGCCTGTTAAGGACAGTGTGGGTACAGCATGTTTTATACTATGCAAGGAGGTAATGAGGCCTGCACTATACTTAACCACTTTCAATTCCTCACCTGCAAAGTTAGTTACTGATTTGTAACTGGGTAACCCAGGATTGTTCTGGGGTCAAACCTGGAATAGGAGGCAAGCAGTGTAGCCACTTAGCTGCCACACTCTTTTAAAAGTATTGTACATGTACTGTACTGTAATAGTAAACCCCTTTTTATTGCCTGGCCCAGAGTGAGGCAACTCGGTTATCCTTCCTTTCCCCATAGGATGGCATGGAAATTTCCTGGGACTGAACTGGATTATTGCCTTGAATTCAATATGTCAAATGTTGATGAAGAGTAAGATGTATACATGCCAACATAACTGCATGACTTATTACCTTAAACTTTAAATTTTGAGTGACGCTTTTATAAAAATCTACTTCAGGGAATTGGTTGTGACGGTAAGGCATAATTACCGGGGTAATTAAGGAATTTTCCACCTCCTGATGTCTTGAGGTTCACCTTGGTTTCCTACCCTGGACTCAGGGTTACAATACATGAGTCACCTAACACTGAGCTCTTGCTATAAAATAGAATTTTAGGGGTATCCTCCTTACTGTGGAGCAGTGTGTATGTAATGAGGATCTTGCAGTGGTCCTACTTAATGTTTTGCTCATTAGTGAAACACGTCCACGCTTGATACCAGAGAATAGTTTACTTAACACTTCCATACATTTCTTGTTATACACTGCCCTTGCTACATAAAAATATTTTCAGTTCTTTTGCTTTATTCACGTCCGTAACTCTTAATTACTACTGAACTCGTGGGGCCACTTCATCTGTTGTTAATAGTTTCATACCCTTTAGTATACACACACAGGCAGGTGCCTCACTTAAATGAGTGTAATATATGAATAATATTTTTTAGTAAATAAATCTAGTGCTATTGTGTAGTATCTCAGAACAAACAGACTGCATAGAGTTGTGCTATATATTAGAGACTATATATTAGAAAATGAAAAATGTTCCAGTTAACATGATACAACTATTGTACAAGTAAAGTTATTCATAAAGGAAAATCACATTAATTAAATAGAATAAAAATATGATTTCCTCTTCTTAAGTGACTGATAACCTTAAGTTGATTCATGAGAAAGTTTGATTCTTGGTTCTGATGAATGATTGGATTATGAACTTTTTTGATGTCTTCCATGAATATAGGTTGCCTTTATTTATACTGGCTTCGCAACAACCCGATTCACATGTGTACACAGTTTACCTTACACCACCCAAATTTTGTTTACACCAAGATAAGGTTTGCTCATATACAGCTGCACATCACACAAAATGCATCATGGGAACACAATTTTTTTTTTGCGCTACACACCACAAGGATGCCACCAGAACACAAGCCATTACTCACATACCATTAACAGAATTCCTTCCATAAAGGATCATTGGATAACAGCACTGTTTTTTTATTACTGGTTTGTGAACTGTTTTTGTGTGGAAGTGGAGCACTGGCTGTTGTGACTAACCTCAGTTTCAAGTTCTATACTACTATTCCATTCTGTTCTGGGTCACCCATGTATCTAAATGATCACCTACACCTTATTATTGGTTATGTTTTTGACACCCATTACCATTTCCTTACTTTAACCAGTGAATCGGAGAGTGATAGCAATATTTTGTGTACTCTATTACGTGAGGTGAACATTATATCGGTTGCTTGAAGCTACTGATGGGCTTTGTACCGGTAGTTGTCTACACTCAGTGAAAGCCGGACTCTCCTCATATACAGAGTGTTTCCAAAATATGTTTCATAATTCTGGGGGTGTTGACACTATAGTCATGAAGTCATTTATCCTTATGTATGTACAAGGATAAATGACTCCATGACCGTAGTGTCAATACCCCATAGTTTCAGAGTTATAACACATGACAATTGGGGTTGTAATGTGATAAAATCTACAGATTATAAATGAAATATCCAGTTGATTCTGGTACAATTTACAGTGTCTACGATCACATGCAATCTGATGTTGATTTTACAGTAAATGTTCAAAGTTCCGATCCTCTTCCTGAATGTTACCATTTACAGGGTATACTTTAAATAGATCTTGATATTTTATGTATTATGTCCATAGAGTTGTTGCAGTCCTCCCCAACTAAATTTTGTGGTATAACTCTGAAAATATGCGGCATTGATATTATGGTCATGGAATCATTTAGTCTTATAAATATCAAGGGAATACACCCTGTAGAAAACAATGGAATGTATTGGTGAGTTGTGTATGCTTATTTATAATGTTCAGGAATATTTATTTCAGTACAGTACAAAGTTATTGTCTACAGTAAAGGGAAAACTTTGGCTGTTAATGGAGACCGCCTTTACTATGAATATCTACCTTCATATTTTGTTTATTCCAGTAGGAACACAACACCAATATAAATGAGAGCAACCTGTTATCCAGGTTGTGTTGTTGATCATACTACAGAGTGTCTGAAAAGAATCTATAAACACTATCTTCCAAATTTTTTAGATTGCCTGAATGATTGTTTTACAACAGCAACATTGTCCTCATTGTCGAAGATGTCGCACATCAACAAGTGAGAACAATGTTGCATACATGCAATCTTCACAAAAACCTGCGAAGTAGTGGGTATACATTTTTTTCTGAGAAACCCTGTGCAGTATATGTATACCTGTATGCAGGCTGTCCCCGGGTTACGAACGTCCGCCAATGCAAACAAGGTTTATCTTTAAATTTTCAATATTTTATTTTCCTGATGACTTATTTTATACTTTCATTTACTGTATTTTGTTAAAATACTTCTTCTTTTCTTTTAAATTAAGTGATTTTAGATATATAAGGGACTTAGGCTATGATATAGTGGGAGTTTAGACATAGTTCTGTAAGCATGGTATGCACATAGCATGGTGTTCCGACTTACATACATTTTTTACTTAAAAAAGTCCCCAGGAACGGAACTCGTTTGTAACCCTGGGGCTACTTGTACAGTATGTTGTTTATTTTTTTATAATTCATCCTGTCTTTCATTCAGTTTATAGGTATATTGTTTTGTAAGACATTAAACACTGGTGTAATGTTTTATATACTACTGTGTCTTACCATGATCTCTTAGGTGTTGCATTAACCCCATCTACAGTGTTGATGATGATGATGTACACCCACCAAGAAAAATACATGGACCCTCACAGCATCAAACAATGACATAATATGACAAACTAGATGAAATATTATTAAAAGGAGTGGTTCATAGTGGTAGCCCTGCTTGCCTAATACAGTATGGCAGTAATTGAATTATCAGTTTTTTCTCTCATTATAAGTTTGTATATTCACAATATTTTTATCTTGGAAAGTAAAACATTTAAAAAACTTCTTTCATTACATTTGCTTCATTAAAAATTAATATAAAGACCCCTAGCCCCTATTGAGCTGCTAAGTCTCCTGGGCATGGAGTCCACTAACTCAGTAGTGAGGAGATTTCACAACTCTTCCCACGCCTGTAGTGCACTCATGACGACACTTTAGCGCCTTTTGGGGTGGTTCACCGGCATCTGTTGCGTCACGGCATATCATACCTTCCTGATGGGGTTAAAGTCCAGGGATTGTGGTGGATGTGGCAGTAGGGTTATTTCTGGGTGTTGGGCAAACCACTCTTTGACCACATGACAGGTGTGGATGGGGCTGTTGTCTTAAATAAGGTAAAAAGGCTCAGGCTCGGAAAACAATAACTCCGCCACTGACAGCAATAGAATGACTTCTAATATGTTGATATACTCGAGACCGGTAAATCGGCCCAGCCCAACATCGGCCAGCTCCCCCACACCTCCTACGTGCATTCACCCAAACAAAGCCGCAGTGACTCAGTCACTTCTGAATTGTATCTACAAACAATATTTAAATAAATCAATACTGTATCGATGGAACTCTTCATAAAGAAAACATGAATTAAAATATGAATTAACAGACGTAATTATGAGACAGAGAGAGAGATTTATTACACCTAGTGTTTCATATCCGCCACACTTTAGTATTTCTGTGATTGTCTGAGCTGAATGTCTTCTCATCACAAAAGACTACGTGGTCCCAGAAACTATCGTCTTTGTAACAGTATTGTAGCGAACACTCCATTCTGTTCTCCCTGTTCAGCTCAGAGAGGTGCAGCTTCTTTGCTGGTGTGTAACTATGCAGATCCATGGAGTGAAGTCTGCTTCGGATAGTCTGAGGAGGACATTGTAGCCCAAGGTCATCCTGAATGCTGACAGCTGTGGCAAGTGGATCGGTGTCAATGATCGACAGTATTGCCTGATCCAGAGATGGAGGAAAACATATTAATGTCTTAAAAGATGAAGGCCTTTTGCTCGTCATGCCAGCCTCCTCGCAACACTGATTAATACACTTCGTTACAGTTGACTTGGACATGCCAAACTACCGCACAATTCAACAGTTGCTGAGGCCATGGTTGTGTAGCGCGATGATAGACGAACGTGTTGAGTTTGACGTCTCCATGATGAGTGACAAGAACGTAGCATGGATATAGCATGTCGACTATGGAAGCTTCCCAAACCCTTGCCTGACTTTATAACTAAATCACTATAATCAACTTTTTTTATTTGGTAGACAAGGGCGAGGTTTGCTAGATTTCAAAGGTTGAGTTCGTACTGTTTTGAGGTATATCGAAACCAACTCATTCCTGCTTGCCAACCCTAACGAGAGGAGTTGTGTGTTCAAATTGAATACTGTCGTAGCCAGGGGTTGAAAGGTTCACGTACTTTTCTTGCCGGGTGTACTTAGAGCATATTATTCATCATAGACATAGCCTCCTAGCAATAAAAGTGTCCTCTTGTATAGTATGGGTGGATGATACAAGTGGATGTAGGTCTGAAGTTACTTATGTTTTGCAGTACAGTACTGCACTTTGGCTAACATCAGGCATGCTTATGACATTGTTATCATATTGAATGTGGATGGATCACACCAAGTACAGTACCTTAACTCAAAAGACTTCTTTGAAAGTATGAGTAAAGCTTGACCTTTTATTGTCTTGTATTTAGTCATTTTTGAAATATGTTAACCTCTAAAATGTGGCAATAGTTTCCCCTGATACCCACCATAATTGCAAAAAGTGAAGAAAAACTCTTATACTGTATAACTAAAAAAAAAAAAAATCAGAAAATTAAAGATATGGACACATATGTAGAGAAAAAGCCTTTTTTTTTCTAAAAAAAAAAAAAATTTGCGATAAAGTCCAGAATGCGACGTCTAGCTTTATACCTAGGTATACTGTGGGATAAGTGTTATGAACTTGACTTACTCATTTGGACAATTTGCATTAGAATATGTGAGAGGGCCCTTAGTCTTCAGTGAATTGATTGGGGGAATAGAATGTCTTGCATTCCTCTATTTCATCTTGATTTATTTATTTACTGTATTTATTTTTTATTTTCATAAAAATCATATTTATTGTTGCAGAAAATTTATTTTAAGACAAGAATATTCTATACACATCAGTACATATTACAGTGGAGCTTCACTGCTAACAATGTTTAGTGAAGTAAACGTCTTAAAGGCATTTCTTAATGTATTTTGTGAGTCTTTCTCTGGTCCCATACCTCATTTTCCCCATTGTTATTTATAGAACAAAATACTGTATCATGAAAACAACATTTTGCTGTAATTATCGGTCTCAAACTCATGAAATACCGGGCGTTTACTGTATATAAACTCTTTAAATTGTAAACATAAAATTTTTACAATTACTGGTCTGCATATATATATATATATATATATATATATATATATATATATATATATATATATATATATATATATATATATATATATATATATATATATATATATATATATATATATATACAGTATATATATCCAAAGATTCAATATCCAAATAGGTTTCATAGAAGTTAACCCATTTAGGAAACGAGGGATTCCTGGACACATATTAAGTTACTGAACACCACTTATGACACACAGACCATTGTTTAATGTTAAATATAGTTTTTACACAAATTACAGGTGGTTCATGTATACAGTTCATATTTCCTGTTTTATGAGTTCTTTGTATATCTGTTTCATAAAATTATGTATAAGCTTTAGTTTTCATAGTAGTGGGTTAAGCACTAATAATAGGAGAAGGAAGCTTGAAGTCTTATTGAAAATATGGATTTTTTTTTTTAAGAAATAGAGAGCATTGTTAGCAAGATTATGCACAAAGCACAATTAATGGATTACCGGTAAATTTTGTTTGAGTATTCTTACATTTTTTTAAAAATTAATACATAGTGAAAGACAAAAATTTTCAGTTTTCAGAAATGGAAGCCTATGATAACTATATTAGTCCAAAGAGTTACAGAGCCATTGACTCTCTTTTGTTTTGTATTTATTTAGTACAGTACTTCATAATTATTTCCGATAATAATACATCTTGTATATTTCATTGTGTTATTTTAAGGAGAGTACAGTATATCCATTCTACAAGTTTAAATATTTAAACAAACTCCATTTTAAGCACGTTATGTGATGCTGTCATGCAAATGGTGGAAGGAAGTACATATGTGTGCAACTTCACATATACTATAACAAGACGTACAGTATTTTCCCTCACCGGTGACAGTCTCACCCTATAAGTGATGATGCAAGTTCCACGGTTTCTCTCTACTGTGATAGGTAATACCAAAGTGTTTCTTTGAATTAGTCTACCTTTGTAACCATTATTGTTAATAATACAGTATCAATATATACTTGAATATGTTTTATCCTGGTCTTTGTCATCAAATGAACAAGAACAAAAATGCATTTTTATATCATAATTTTCTTTATTGGTATGAAAAAGTACATAATAGTAAGAGGTAATCCAAGGCATTAAGGGAATGGTTGGTGTAAACATGTTAACACAGAAACAGGTTACAAGGAAATGTATCTTCAAGCTTCATCTAGCTTTGGTAAATTAACACTGTTTTCAGGTATACATAAATACAGCCTTGGAATTTAGTATTACAAAAACACCAATTTGATTCAGTCTTGTGGATTACGCAGAAGTAAAGAATAAATCAGTGTTTACTTCCCGTTACACCAGATGAAGCTTTATATAACAAAGAGGAATAATATTCCATAGAACAGAAGGAATTCCTCAGAATTCCTGACAAGGAGTGGCCCATTGTTTGAACAAAGGGTCACTTAGCAAGTTCAAGATGGAAACTTTGACTGAATAAAAATCCAAGTTGTACTTCCAGTTACCTACATTATGCATATCTATTCCAAATTTAAATAGAAAATTAGTTAAAAATAAATTACTACTATTTTCAAGCTACTTTTTCTTTTACCTATAAATATGGTCAGTAGCTTGTACAGTATTATACAAATTGAAAATACTTTTGTATTAATTTAAATTGACAAAAGATGTGCATATTGTATGTTAGGTGGAGTATCTTTTCCTCAAAAGAATGACATAACCACATGGTATTTATCATTCAATCAGTACAGTATATTTTATACCAACTATAAATAATGGAAGGGAGAATCATGACTTCTTATAATACAAGATGAGTTACAGAATATGACGACTTATTTCAATACAGGATTATATTTGAAACTTTCGATGTTACATCCCGCATGAGTGTGAGCGTTGTCGTATAAGTTATTAATACCTTGCTAATTGGGCTATGTTCACGTGTGATAAAATGCAGATTAATGTGTTAGTCTAAATTCAAAGAATTTTCTTTTTCTATAATATTTTATCCACAATAAGACCAGCAAATGTTAATACAGCATATTAATTCTTTGTATTTGTTGTTCTTTGTTTACGAACTTTAATTTATGACTACAGTACTGTACTTTACGTTCATTATTTAAAAATAACCCAAACATCTATCCAACAGTGAACTTTGCCCATTTCACTACATAGGCTACAAGGTGACTCCAGGTACCATTTTTGCATCACTGAGATTTTCTTCTAGATGAAAATTCTGCAATGTGCTTAATATCCCCAGCATGACAGAGGAGGAAGCTTAATACTACATCATATTAGGTATGGTAATTTAATTAAAGAACAATATTTTCTTTAATTTCATTAAAATTTTACAATAAAAAAATTTCAAGCATCATCCTCTGCATAATTTGCATTGCTTAGGTAATCAAAAATCATTCACAACTGCAATCCTGAGCTGTGTTTGGAAAGAAGAATCATTATTTGCACAATCACAAAATGTTATTTACAAGGCTGATAACAAAATGGCTTTAGGCACGATACCTGTTGGTTTGAGCACATATTTTGTTTCTCACTGAGTTACTTGAAACCCGATACGCTATTCTGACTGAAACATTTTGATTTAGGATTTAGTCAAATAGAGAAATATTACAATTTTCTTTAAAGAATATTGAATAAAATCTAAATATTCATTATCACTGAAGGTTTTATGTAAATGGAAAGGGTACAGGATGTATTAAATAAATAACTACAATGGACAATTTGCTCATTAGCACCAAAGACATTTGGTCAGTATTCATTACATTCTGGCTGGGCATATCATAGCTCATTGGGTTTTTAAATATTTATACTTTGGCAACAGTCTGACTAGAAGGCCAAGTCTACAACTGTTCAACAAAAATCACAAAATAATAAAAAGCACACTTTCCTTGGTATACTAATCCAAGAAATTATTATAGAAGGGAGGTTAAGTACGCTTAGTAGACATAGACCATAGCCGAACCTGACCTGTGAGATAAGGTCAAATCAGTAGACATTCCATTCATAACAATAATCACAGAAATCCATTAGGTTGCAACATAACAACAAAGCACAACAGAGTCACAATTCTAGAATAAATCAACAAAATCTTTGGTTTGAATTGGACTTGTAAACATGACTTGGAGTTCCAAATCCAACAATGAGAACTTTATCCCTTCCCCACTTACCCACCTCCCATAGGATGCCCTGGCATCAACTTGTTCATGTTCTGTTAGTTCAATTTTCATTGTCAAAAAATTATCATAAAATCATTTCCTTTTCATGACCTCTAAAACACTAATCCTATACATGTAAAATGTATACTATATGATTTGCAGTTATGTTGCTTATAAATTATGAAGTAAATAGTAAAAATAATATTACTAATAGAAGCAAGCATTAACTTCAGTGAGGTCCTACCAACGTGATACCAGGGATGCTGAGCACCCATTGGGAACATCACTAACCAGTGTCTTCCAAGTTTCCTTACAACTCAGTAGAATGGCCACTTGTGAGTACTACAGTATTTATTAATTGTTTCACAACCTTTGGGAGAGTTACTTTACTATTTCACAACCAGGTCTCAAAATTCACACAATCACAAAAGAGACACTTGCAAATTTCTCATGTACATTCAGTTACCAAGAATCTCTTGACTAATCCAACCCATGGAAGTCTGTCAAGCACACTCCAATCACTCGTAAAACACACTAGAATAAGTGAGCTTAAGTCTTGCCCCCACACACCCAAACAATGGTTACTTCATTTGCAAGTTAAAATACATCCTTATTAATGAAACAAACACTGTTGTGAGGTAATTGTACTTAAAAGCTCCAAACCAATGACTCTGGGGCATGCTTAGTGGATATGCCTCTTGGGACAAGAAAATGGAATTGTAACTGGAGGGATAAAGGTGAGATTGAATACAACCACTTGGACAGGAATCAAAGGGATATATGAATTACCTTAATAAATTATGAGTCGCTGTAACTTTCCAGAACACATGCAAAATGGATTATCATGTACTACACTGTGGTAACTAAGCACAGAGTACATAAATCAACATAACAGCAGACTCGGGTTTCTCTGCACACATTAGCAGATAATGAGCTGTATGTTTTATGCAATTTTTAAAAACTGTCTATAATGTATAGACAGATTATGGCAGCAAAGCTACCAACACTGCAGAAAATACACGTCGTTGGTTACCCGTTGTGATAATTGAGGAAATGTCTTGCTAATGGACCGTGGCAGGCACAGGCAAGGGATGGTCCCTGTGTGGCTGGCATCGACGGCCAGCATTATGACGGCCATGACTCCACTTAACATGCAATTGTAGGCGGGCACGAGAAGCAAAGACCGGACGGCGAGGGCATCTATGACACTGACGACTTGTAAACCCCGGACGATTGAGCACTGCCCTACATCGTGTCCTAAGTGAGCTACGCCTGCGCAATGAATTTGAGGAAGACCCACTGTTTGATCCTGCCTGTTCCACCGTAATTACTTTCTTTGGACAACTCTGCTTCCTTGACCTTTTGTTAAATCTTTCACTGTCAGTGTCTTGTTGGTCAGAGTCTGGGGATGGAGAATCTCTTTGTGGGATAGAAGATGGTGATATAAGAGCAAGAGGAGTTATCACTGATGGCACAATAGGTCCAATATCAGTAGCTGTACGTTTACGATTGAGACCGGTGACAATAGCATCTAAGGGACTCTCAAGGGAGGCAGGGCGGACATGTACTTTCTTCCAAAGTTGTGGTCCATACACAGCAGTGAAGACATGGACACATGCAGCACATACTTCGTTGTGGTGTGTGAGCCAATGGTCCCTAGATAATTCATCGTGGGTCAGTTGGTAGCCACAGTGGGGACAGCAGGAGCCACCAGCGCCTCCATGTTCACCCCGCACATGTTCTGCAAGAGCCCCACCACTGCCTACAGTGTGGCCACAGCCATCCACAGGACATACAAGAGGTGATGAGGCTTGAGGAGATGTACAGTTTATTTCACTTCGAACTGACAAATCATGTGCAACATCTTGCACAGCTGGAATGGGAGGAACTGCAGTGGTGGAGTTGGTGAGACGAGGATGGCTAAGGTGCTGATGGGTTTCCAGAGCTGGGCGGGTATCAAAGGTGAGACCACACGATGAGCAGATGTACCGCCTTGAATATGGGTTGTTGTGACTGTGGAAGAACGTTGCACATTAATTAATATATATTCACAGTTATGTTAATTACATACTGTATACAAAAATTCATACAGTATATTATTTTCCTCATTTGAGAAATATGGCACAATAACCAAGGAAAAACATATGAACAAGCAATTAATCAATTAAAAGGATTGAAAACTATCAATACTATAGTACAGTACATTTCTTTTTCATCACGAATGAAGCTGCCACTGATACTCACTGTTCCTCACGTGTGTGTTCCAGTAGCCGCTCCTGTGTCTCAGCCAGGAAGTTGCACTTGTTGCAGATTCTTTTGTTATGGACCTTCCACACGTGAGTTGACAAACGCTCAGCTCTTGCAGCTTTGTAGTCACACATGACACAGGCAAAAGGCTTTATGTGGGTGTTCATGTGTCGCTTAAGACACCAATTATCACTGCCAGACCAGTGGCAATACGGACAAGTGTAAGCCCGTTCCCCACGCCTCCGACCACGCCCAGGTTCAGGGCTTTCCACACCCGACATCATGCTCAAACCCATGCCCATCATAGTTCCTGGAGAGGCTGGACTGCAGTCACCAGGAGTGGAAGGAGCACTTAAGGGAGCCAAGTCTGCCACAGATACTGCAGGAGTAGCAGTGGGTGGGGACGGCACTGGAGGAGTCACAACAGGTGGTGAAGAAGCAATGGGTGTCACCACACGGGTTGGTGGGATCTCCAGAGGTATTGGTGCTATTGATGCTACTGGTGCTATTGGTGAAGGGGGAGAATGACCACCACCACCACGTCCGCTTCCTGGTTGTTTGCGGATTTTAGAAATATCATACTCTGTTTCTGGATGCATCCGGACAAAGTGTTTTTTTACATGATCTGCTCTATTGAACTGTTTGAAACAAAGGTAACAATGGAAGGGTTTGTCATCCTTATGGATGTTCTCGTGTCTTGTGTAGAGGTCACGACGATCAGTGGCATAAGGACAGTGAGGGCAATAAAAACGTTTATCAGCTAAAGTACTGTTAGAATCTATCCTGTTTTCCACTTTATTCCGCAATTCTTGCATGAGACGAGTAACTTCTATCAACGTTGCATTTTCCTTCCACATGTTAGTGTCAGCAAATTGTTCATTGTGCTGTCTTGTTAGATGCATTTTGACACAACGGGACCAAGCTGATGTGTAAGGGCATCGAGGACAAGCAAACACCCTGAGATTAGCATGGGCTCCAAGCCAGTGTTCCGCCACACGTGACAAGAACCCGACACACTCACAATCGACACACATGAAGAGTTTCTGTGCTGGGTTGTATGCGGCTATTCTGGAATCTGTCCATGATAGTCGTAAGTCATTTTCAATCCAGATGTCGTCAACCACCTTTGGTTTAATGTCATCCAATGTTGCTCGGCTGAATGATGAATAGAGAGACTTTAAGCCTTGAGTTCTTAGGTCGAGGGCAGATTCGCCATCTTCAACTTTTATTTTTATATCAGACTTTTCACTTGGTTGCCAGGCAATCTTGATGTCACTATCGGGTAATGAACAAGCAGAAGTCATGGTGGTTTTGTCAACATTGGTAGTAGTCTTCCTGGTAGTGAGGGAGAGTGCATGGGGTGCTGTGAGAGCCAATGGCAAATGGGAAGCTGGACTGAGAGCCGCTAGAGAGGCTGCCACAGATGCTGGATCATAAGGAAACACTTTTGCGGCCATTTGAAATAGCTGAGTGTATGCCGTTAGGTCAAATGCATGAGAGGGAGACACTCCAGCCAAAGTTGATCCTTTAGCAGTGGCAGCAGTGATGGCACCCCCGAGAGCCAGGAGGCTTGTGCCCATGCCTGCTGTGGCCGCAGCCGTCTGGTTCATCACGTCGTTTGTCCGCATCTTTACTACTGCACCATCTGTAACAAAACAACATTGGTTACCATAATGTGCTGAAGATAAGAATAGCATTCACATAATACAGTATATCTAATTATCCCCAAGTTATTAATAAATATTAAAACATTTGGTAATTGAATTATTAAAAATAGTGAACAGAGACTGAACTCAAACTGATGAACTGTAAACTTGTCCAAAACTGAATATTTATACCGTAATGTAACTGAAGGTCACCTGTCCTTAATCATTCATTTATGCATAGCTAAGAAGAATTACTCCACACACCTCTATATTAGAAGCAGTCTGAAGAAAAAAGAATCACAAAGCCTTTATGTCTCCAAACACATCTTGTACAAATCTTGTTTATATTAACCCACAATTGTAAACATATAGCAGGAAGCTCAAGTAAGTTCGTTCTTGCTTGAGCTTTCTGCTATGTACAAATACTATATACTATTCCTAAAGGGGAAAACATACACTACAGGCAGTGTCAAGGAGAGGAGGAGTTATGGGATGTGGGACTCAAGAAGGTGCGGGGGGTTGCTGTGGGATATGGGGCTCAAGGGGTTCAGGGAGGGGGTGGCACTGGGTAAGGGTTCGACTAAGGTCCAATGTGAACACAGGACGACACTATCTCACATCCGGTGGCAGCCCGGTTGCTCCTCTGCTTGGGAAATGACACGTACACCAGCCCTCACCCCCACCCAACCACGTACACCAGCCCTCACCCCCATCCACCCTACCTACACCAGCCCTCACCCCCATCCACCCTACCTACACCAGCCCTCACCCCCATCCACCCTACCTCCCCCCACCCTACACACAGCCCTCACCCCCATCCACCCTACCCACACCAGCCCTCACCCCCACCCACCACACCAGCCCTCACCCCATCCACCCTACCTACAGCCTCACCCCATCCACCCTATCTACACCAGCCCTCACCCCCATCCACCCTACCTACACCAGCCCTCACCCCCATCCACCCTACCTACACCAGCCCTCACCCCTTCCTACACTATCACATAACATGCGTAATAATGCCCCTGACCATTCAACACTTACCGCATATTATTCAACTAATAACGCCCTCAATCTCTCCTTCATTTGATATCTCACATCATTATTTCACAGCTTGCCTTGTCTTTCGTGCATTTTCACTGTTTTGTCTGTCTGTAAGTTTGTCTGTTTGTTTGTCACTTTCACTCTCCTAGCTTGAGGTTCACCAGCTCAAGGTAGGCGAGGGGGAAGGTTCCGCTCAGCCCTGGGCAGCTCCCAACGCCGCGGTATATTGTTATTTCTGTCTTGTTATTTCAGGTATGTGGATATTTCTTTGTGGAAATTTTTTTGCGCGGCAAGCAGCTGTCCCGAGAGTATGGTTGGCAAAGCTTAGTTTTGGTCAGAAGACAAGTTTATGTGTATCTAACAACTTGGTAGTGAGCGAGGAAGAAAGTTTGTCTTGATGACGTTAAAATAATGATAATTCTTGCTGGTTCCACGCGGGAAAGTTGTTTATGTTGTGAGAGGAGCCCACGACACTGCTGGCCACCTCTACTGTCGCCAGGTTGGCAGGAGAAGGAGGAGAGATGATTGTGGCCGTCTTGGGCCACCAGTGGGCATCAGAGGTGTGTGTTCTGTGACCCGAGAGTTTGTGGCGACGCCAAGCAGGGAGCGGCTGCTTGGACCTCACGTGAGTGAGACTGACTTAACATGTGAGGCAGCACCAGTGACAAACAAACTTGTACAGAAACGATCTGGAAATGCAATTGATACAAAACCCCAACTAATTTACGTCCCTCAAGTAAACACCAAATTTTAACTTTACCTGCTTACAAACGTCAGCACACTTAACATCGTCCATTGCGGCCACAGTCACCCGCGAGATACAGATAACGTGGTTACTGAGGCGGCAATAAACACTGACAAGCTTCCAAATTAACCTGTGTTGTGCTGGTTCTGTCATGGAGGGTATGTGAACGTACTCGAGGGTGAATATGTGAACATACTCGAGGGTGTAAATTTGTGAATATGTATGTGACCGGGAAAAAACATTACATATTCCCGGCTGTCACATGAATGGTTCACAAACCTCTGGGTAAATCTACACGACAACTTCAATTAGCTTTAAGGTGTTTAATCATCAGGTGAAATAAGCCAAGGTCCCTAATCATCACGAAAACCTACAGTATTTAACTTGTGACGTTATGTGAGACGGGTGTGGGCGGGGAGGCGTTGAGGGCGAAACTTGGGGTACGCTAGGTGGAGGGAGGGTATGGCATGAGGGGTGGAGGTGGGGGAGGGAGGGGGTGACGAAACACTTGATGTGGGTGGGTGACACAATGACACTGGCAGGGGAGGGGGGCACCGTTGTGTCAGCTATCAGGCGGCAGTTATCAACTTATTTCCGCCCCTTTCCTCCCTCCAACACCCACTGCGCGTGCCTCCCACGGCTGATAACACGCCCCTCCCCTCCTCTCCCCCCCCCCTTCCCCTACCACCCAATCAACCCGACCTCTGATAACACAACAAGTGCTACGGTCCAGATGATGACCCAGTTGTACACCACGTTAGCTTACCATAATTTTATTCGGTTTGTAAAAGGAAAAAAACCCCCACTAAATTAACAACAAACCACAATGACAATCACGAAGGTTATGTGACATATCTCTCTCTCTCTCTCCCTCCCTTATCCTTCACCCTTTATTCTGCTTTCTTCTATCATTATCCTTCATCTCTATACCTTCCTATACGTCGACCCTATGATCACCCCCCCAAGATATAGTCTCACGTGAACGCTCGCTCGCTTTTAACCTGTACCCTCTCAACTAACCATCATCCCTTCCCCCTCTCAACTAACCATCATCCCTTCCCCCTCTCTACTAACCATCATCCCTTCCCCCTCTCCACCAGCCTATCATCATGACCCGTGGAGGGGAACTCATGACTTAACGCGGCGTGGGTGGCGTTGGGAGACTGGGTGGGTAGTGGGAGGTATGGATCAATGGAAGAGTGTGGGCGGCGTGGGACATTGGGTGAGTGGCGTGGGGTACTAGGTGGTTAGTAGGAGGTATGGAACACTGTGTGGGTAGTGGGTGTCATGATACACTGGGTGGGTGTAGACTGCGTGAGGGGACAAGTCAGTGTGGGCGGCGGGTGAGGGTGCCGTGAGTCGGGGACACCTAGGGACGCCACACGCACACACATCCGCTGGAAACTCCCACTGATACCACGCCCACGTCCTTAACCCCCAGGCGAGGGCAACAGAGACCGTGGAGGGTAGCGGAGGGTCCGTGTGGAGGGTCGAGGAGGGACAGTGACCAGGGAAGGGACAGTGACCAAGGGTGAGGAAATGCCTTCATGAAATTATAATATGATGATTCTTAAGGAGGAAGTGTAGTGTCTCGGGGAGGGGGTGAGGGTATACACAGGTGGAGGGGGGGGGGGAGTCCAGGTAAGGCTCAGGTGGAGCAATACGAGCGTCCAGGTGGGAAGTGGGAATGTCCAGGTGGAGACAGTGGGTCCTACTGGGAAAGAGAAGGAGAAGGGAAGTCCAAAGTAGATTAGAGAGAAGAGAAGAGAAGAGAGGGGTGGGGTGGGCGAGGTGTGGGAGTTTTGTGGGAAAGGGTGAGTTTACGTATGTAGTAGGTGGGGAGGTGGGTGTGTGGAGAAAGGGGGAGCGCGGGGATTACCTGGCGGGGCCTCTGCCTCCCCCGCAGGCGGACACGTGGACGCTGGTGCTGCCCACACCCGCCACCTACCCAACTCTCACTCAAGTTGAAAGTAATTAAAATGTCCAATTTATTTACATCTTCGAGTCCATTGTCGGGAGGCTTCTGTACCTGTCATAACTAGGTAGAACCTCTCATTGATCTGTACCACGGGATGTTTGTGTGTATCTCACCACCACACGTGTTAGTGACAGCCACATAACCACCTCGTTGCTGTTGTATACCGAGTACTGGGGGGAGGATTTTGTTTTCTGTTTTTGGGATGAAAGGGTTACTTTGTGTGGTATGTGAAGAACTATATTATACCATGTTATGGAAAGATACATTTGTAGACGAGTGTGAAAGGTGAGAGAAAGTTATCCAAGAGTGTGAAAGTTATCTAAGAGTTGTTGTAGTCATTCAGTTGAATAATTTACTGCATTAAGTTACGCTCACCTGGCTGTCTACTTGTACCATAAGTTTCCTCTCGCTAATTTTAAAGTTCCATGTGTCACCCTCCGTGTTGACCCCAGACGTGCCAGACCTTGTACTGTCACATACACCCTCTCACTTTGTCATAATTTCACCCAATCCTGTTATCAGGTGACCCCCCCTCACCTGCGTGTCATTGCTCCTCCCCATTACTCGCCTCACCAGGGGACAAACGCCACAACTCCTAGCTGTGGATGCCATCAAAATATTGCAATTCTTTAGTCCATTTGTATATGTATGCGAGAAATGACCGTGGACTTATATTAAAGGCGACGCAGCCTCGCACACCGGGCGCCCTGAGAGGCAACTTGTGGTTGGGAGCGACACAAAATAATGCTGCCTTTTACGCTATGCTAATCCGCAAACGTGATCGTTATCGGGAAAAACTTGCTGGTTTCATATTCATCAGCATCTTACAGACGCGAGATTTATAATGAACTAGAGCCACATTAAAGAAAAGTAATGAGATAGGTGACAGAATGATAAGGTGGATGTGCTGGTGACGACTCCCGACGAAGGCAATGGAATTGGATCACACTGCTCGCGTACTCGATTCAAGTTTAACATTTAAAAAATAAAAATCGAGCTATCGTGTTTGGTGGAGGGGAAGAGAGGGGGAGATGTCAGTGGTCGAATACACGCGGTAGGTGTATAAGTACTACCTGGAGGTCAATAGAAGGCGACAATAACACAAGATAAAAATATATGTGAAAGCCTTATAATACCGACAAGAATATGAGAGGATTCTTCGCTATGGTGAAGAATCCATGAACAGGAAAAAGAGTTTTTCTACGGCTGTGTCCTCACATAATAAGCAGGAATTTTACGAGTCTCTCTACAGTTTGATGTGTGATTACTGGAGCAAAAGTCGTGTGTGTCATATGTAGAATTCTTTACTTCACATGAGAGAAGCGAAGTGCTATGAGGTAAATGTTATTCAGTCGCCATAATGTTTGTCACCTAGGAAGGGGAAACGTTCTTGGAGGAAAATTCCACGTCGTGTTTTGAGGCAATTCTCGAGTTTTAAGAGTTGTGAAAACTGTGTTGAGGCGCACCATTCAGGAACTGTTACCTACAACACGACACACTCTGTTTAAGTGTTGCACCCGCTGACAGTCAGACACACTACTTGATAATGTTTTCACGTACACAGTTGTCATTATTGTAGGAGTGAGTCTCGTAGACAGCCAGACGCTCTCATTCAACAAGACCGTGACAGCAGGAGTACACAAATCAGCGAGTATGTGGTGTTGCCATCTTGCTCGCCAACATGTCCCCGCCTGGCCACCCTCCCTCCCTCCCCACCACCATAAGCAACATATTAAATATTCATAACCTCGATATTCATCATCTAATAAAATTAAGATTACAATGTACCGCTTTACGTTCGTACAAACAAACGAAATATTATTATGTTCGTTGACTGGCGCGAGACACGAGAGGCAAACCCCCTCCCTAGCTTTACGTCATACTGTATTGGAGTCCAGCTGTCTCGTCTCCACACTACTTGAAGTATCCCACACCACAACACATTACTACAACCCACCACAACACATCACCACCACACTACTAGAAGGATGAGTATGGGGTGCACAATAAACTAGCCGCTGTCACAAAATTTAAAAAATTCAACACAACACCTCAGCATACTACAACACAACAACAACATCGTTACCAAAACAACATACAGGTACAACACACTACTGTACATCCGCAACACAACATGGCTTTAACTCGCCAAGAAACCACAGATAACAACACTTAAGAGGGTGACAAGTGTGGGCTGATGCCGGGGAGTCCATCACACCCACGTGTTCTCTTGTCTACCTGTCATCACTATGGTTTATCATCTCCATGTTAGAACCTCTCCATAGCGATAATATTATTCCTTACTACTGTTCAAGGACTCTCAAAGAACTCCTACGCCCCTCACCACCCTCCTACCCCCCCCCCCACCAATGTCTTAAGTATCACTCCATCCTCACGTGCATGTCATCTCTCTCTTGACACCCGACTTTAAACCCCCTGCTGAAGGTCGTGTAATATAGGCGCTGTTTAACGCAGAATCCGGATTACAACCACCAAACACTTTCCTCTATAGTTATTTATTACTGTTTACATAGTGTTATTGAGTTCCTCGTTTCAAACACTTCATCCTGTCACACACACACACACACACACGCAACCTCCGCCTCACTTGTGATCCTCCTGTTGGTAATTTCAAGCAAATTTATTCATATCACTGACACTACAGTTCCCGCGCATAAAAATTAGCAACTGGCAACTTCCTCTTCAGTGTTCGATACTACTACTACGTACGCTCTTAACGCTGGTGATAGTAGTAGTAGTACTGGTGGTGGTGGTGGAAGTGATGATAATATTAATTGTAATTACTGTAATAGCTGCAGTATATTTTATAGCAGTAATGATACAAATAATAAGACTAATAACAGTAGTGACAACAAGAAGCGATACAGTAATGAATTAAAGTGACAAAAGTCCTAACCATCACGACATCACAACCCGAGATAGACATAACACAACCACCACTACGTAAAGAAACCTCAAACACTGTAGAGCGAGATATTTTCTGTACTGTATATGGGTGAGAGAGACGCCCATAGTCAAGTGATGGTCGGTCATGCGGGTTACTCTAATTCATATTGTAAGCTTCCTGAGCCACTGGTAACTTAGATGCAACTAAGAAACATTATTTGACTCCAGCATGAGTTTATGTGTGTGTGTGTGTGTGTGTGTGTGTGTGTGTGTGTGTTTGTGTGTGTGCGTGTGTGTGTGTGTTGCTATATTATTAATTGGTGAGTCACAGATCATAGGGAAGGTGATATACATGTTGGGTAATGGTACAGTAACTCTATATAGACAGGTGTCGCGGTACACGTGTTGGTTGGTAGTGATGTGTACTGCTCATATACACACAAACCGTATTTGAATCTTTAAAAGAGTGAACTCTAGTTCCTCTTCACAAATATACTCAGATATTCTTTAAGTAAATTGTATCTCTCTCCAAGAAGTAAACATGAGGAACTTACCATCACAACAGGTGTAACTTGTGTTGACGTCTTGTGGGTGTCCTTCGGTAATGAATAACGTCCCGAGCCGTGTCCTGAGTTTGCCGTACACTACAATAGTTCACTATTAACACACCAGGTACACAAGTATGGTCATCTGTTCTCCAGTTCAAAAACTCGTGAGCGACATCTATCACTCAATGTTGCACTCCATCGTCAAATATTTAACCTTGTAGTTGCTGATATAATCTCAAGAATCACTTGTCATCATGGTAGAGGACATGGGAGTGAGCACTGACGCATAAACAAAAATGTTTTGAGAATATACAAGCGTAAATGGGGCGCGGGAGTAGCACCCAGCGTGGTAAGCGAGGGAGCGGGGGGAGCGTCCACCCTCGGCGGGAAGGTGCTGGGAACTGGTGGTGGGCCGCACCACGACCACCACCTCGGCCCTCTGTGTGTGCCTGTCTGCCTGCCTACCCGCCCTCCACCCTCCACCGCTAGCTCCTGGGTGAAGGGGTGGTGGCCCTCTCTCTATCCCTCCTCTCACCCACTCTCCTTCCTTTCTCCCCATCTCTCTCCCTCCCACACTCACTCCCTCTCCCTCCCACACTCACTCACAACGTGGAACTCGCTTGATTTAGTTCTATCTTCCTCTGCAGTTGTTCTAATTACCGTGTTGAATCCAGGTAACTATGAGATGCATCTGACATTTTCTTATGAGCAATGTTTCGTGGTGCTGCTACTGGTGTCTTCGTATCTTTATTTGTCTTGTAGATATTGTTGCCTTGACCTATCTTAAGTGTGTCTCAGTTCTTACCTCTCTCTCTTAATTCCGTCATTCTCTTGTCCTCGTTTTCATAATTTCTTCTTCCTTTCCCCCTTCCTGTTTTTCGTCAGTCTCCCCCTCTCTCTCTTTCTCACCTTATATTTCTCTCTCTCACTCTCTCTCAGACTAAAATCATCTGGATCGAGTTTCATCTAAACATTATGGCAATACAAGTCAACATTGCAAACAGCTCCAGTAGGTAGATAACTCGACCCATGGCTGACACCCACTTGACAAGAAAGTGTTCAGGGCGCCCCTCAACCCATTTACACCTTCCCTGAGGAAACTAAATCTCTAACTTCATTTTACGCCCCAGTCATACCGCCCCTCACCCCCCATGTCTCACCCTCCTTCAAAAATAACTTTTCCTCCTCCTCCTCCTCGTCGTCATCGTTCTTCCTACTTTCTTTTCATTTTCCGTTCTTCTGTGTCCATTTCTCCCCTTTCCTGCCTCACCCTATCCATTTCCACCTTATGACGTGCCTCCACATTCTTCCCTATCCTTTCCTGCCCTTTCCTCTATCCTTCCCTCCCTACCGCATTTTTCCCTACTCCTTTTCTACCTTACCCATCCCTCAATGACCCTCCTCATCCTGCCCCCACCCCACCGCATCTTTCCTTACCCATCCTCGTCCTTCCCTCCCCACCAGTGTCCTCTCCTCCCCTTTCACCTCACACCCCCACACGCACCTGAGCTCTTCTCCTCCTACAGGCATCCCTCTCCTGTCGTGGGTGTGAGTGTGTAGGAGTACCTCACCTGGCGTCTCCCCGGCAGCCGACACCTCACCTGTGTGTTGTAGGTCACCGTAGGATTACCGCGTCTCCTGACCTGTGATATTCATTATGACATATGGTTGTGTGCTGTTGAACCCGGCGACACAGCAAAAGTGGCAGGAGTCATCGCTGGCAGAGAGAGGATCACAGCATGGACACAGAAAGAAAACTGACAGACATAGATAGTACAGCAGTCCTAACCAACTGACAGACTAAAAAAAATACACCCATTTATATATATTCACACGGGCATCAACAAATACACGGCCCACACCCACACACACAACGTCTTGGAAGTAACATCACGCACGAACACATAAGATCTTCTGAAACTGAGATCATGGCGAGTGGGAGAGGAGAGGGGGAAAGTTGGAGGGGGAGGGGGACGGGGAAGGGGAGGGGGGGAAGAGGGATGGGATAGGAAGGTAATACGGTGAATTTCTCAAGCGTCATACAGTGGGAGCACAGGGTGAAGGGGACCAAAGGATGAGTGACGAGGCCGGGCACTTTGGTAAGGGTGACCTGAAGAGGGACGAAGACGGCAGGAGTTGTGTGTAGGGGAGGTTGGAGAGGGGGGGGGGGCTGGAGGAGGAGGTGTGAGGGCTGAGAGTGTAGCCTCCCTATGTTGTAGGAGACTATAGAGGAAGGTGTATTTGTTGACATTTGAGAAGAGGCCGAGTGGGGAGAGCTGTGTGCACTAGAGGAAATTTTCTATAGCACTGGGAGGCTGTGGACGACCCACACCTGGTAGACACACACACGCACACACACACACACACACACACACAAAAGAGGCTTACTGTTACAATTAAAATCTTAATCTCATATGCAAGGCGCCTACCTCATTCTGGCATAAATTATAACGGCACATTTACAAGATGTCTTTTACAATGTATGTGCGAGTATGTATGTATGTATGTATGTATGTGTACGTGTTGTAATGTCTATGTATGTGAGTGTGTGTGTGTCGGTCATAGCAGTAGTAGTGGTGGGGGTGGCGAACGTGTAAGAGCATAACACTGACTACACTAGAGCGGTAAGAGCCACACTCACCTACACCAGCCATTCACGCCACACTCACCACCGCTCTACTCACGTCGTCAAGAAAGTCTCGGGAAAGAAACCCTCTCAGATAGTTTCCTAAGCCGCAGCGCACTTGTCTCCTCTCCTCCCCGCCCAACAAGGGTGGAGGGGGGCGAGAATGGCTGGACAAGGAGCTACCGGGGGAGTAAGGAGGAGAAGGAGGGGGTGAGGTGAAGGAGGGGGTGAGGTGAAGGAGGCGGATAAACAAGAGGGGGGAAGGTGAAGACGATGAGGATCGAGAAGAGTAATAAGAAGAATAGGAAAGGGAAGGAGGAAGAGGAAAGGGAAGGAGGAAAGGAGAGGGGATGAGGGGGAGACAGGAGGAGTTGGAAAGATATTATGACCATGAGGGAAGAGGTTAAGTTGGGGATCTAGAGAGAGAGAGAGAGAGAGAGAGAGAGAGAGAATCATAGAAAAAAGGAAAAGAAAGAAAGAAAAAGAAGAGAAAACACGAAAGATAAAACAAAAGAAAACACCACCCGAATGAAAGTGTAACAGGGAACAGATAAATAAAGAAGGAGGTAAAGCGTAGAGAAGACAAGAGCTTAAAACGAAGAGTGGTACAAAAAAACAGAAGATAAAAGATGAATAGGAAAAAAATATATAATCTGGGAATGAATCAGAGAAGAATGACGTAGGAAAAAACGAAATTACAAATAAACGAAAAATAATACATAAGACAGAGAAAAATAAAACAGATAAATAGAAGAGACATGATAAGAATGAGCTGCGAGGAGGGAAGGGGAGGAGGGGAGAAAGGAAGGAGGGGAGGAGGCCAAGGAGGGAGAGACGGGTCAAGGAGATAGAGGGATAGGGGAAGGAAAAGAAGAAAAGAAAGGAGGCCAAGGATGGAAGAGAGGGTGGGAGAAAGAGGCTAAAGAGAGGCAGGGAAGAAGACAAAAGAGGGGAGAGAAAGAGAGGGAGGGAAGGAGGGAGAGAGGGAGGGATGAGGGAGGGAGAGGAGGGATGGGAGGGAGGGAGGAAGAACAGCAAAAACCTAAGAGAAAAACTTAAGAGGAACGAAAGAAGAACTCCAGACAAGTTAGGGGAGGGAAGGGGGGGGGTGGAGAGGGGAGCTGTGGGAGGGGGAGGGGAGCTGTGGGAGGGGAGAGGGGAGGGAAGATTGTTTAAGAGGGGAGACGGGAGAGGAGGAAGAAGATAAGAGACGAAAGATGATCTAAGAAGAGGAGAAGAGTGGGAGGAGGGGAAGAGGAGAGGGGAGAGAATTGGTGGTTTAGGAGTGGCGAGGGCAAGGACAAGGAGGACGAAGAGGAAGAGGAAGAGGAAAAGGAGGAGGAGGAGGAGGAGGATGCTTAAGGAAGATGAACTGGTCCACGAAGAAAGGATAAGAAGATTAAAATATGATAATGAGATGCAAGGATGGAAAGAAGATAAAAGAGAGAGACAGACAGATAGCTGGGAGAAGTCGAGAGGGGAGAGAGCCTAGAGAGGGAGAGAGAAGGAGCCCAGAGAGGGAGAGAGAAAGCCCAGAGAGGGAGAGAGAAGGAGCCCAGAGAGGGAGAGAGAAAGAGCGCAGAGAGGGAGAGAGAATGAGCCCAGAGAGGGAGAGAGAATGAGCCCAGAGAGTGAGAGAGAAAGAGCGCAGAGAGGGAAAGAGAAGGAGCCCAGAGAGGGAGAGAGAGAATGTGTGAAAAATAGAGAAAAAACTATAAAAGAGGAAGAAAATTGATTCTATAAGGAATAAATGTATCAACTAAAGAATAAATTGAATAAAAAAAGAAAACGGATTAATAAAAGAAAATAAAAAATAGAGGAAGAAAATGAAGTAAATAAAGATAATTGATCGATTAAATAAGAATAAACCGAATTAGGGAATCAGGAAGAAAGAGATAGAAAGAAAAATAGTAGATGAAGAAGGTAAACGAGAGAGAGAGAGAGAGAGAGGGGGGAGGGGTCTTAATTACAGGAGGAGAGTGTCTGGGTGAAGAGGGCCAGGCGAGGGGCCCACCGTAATGAGGAAGACGATGGTGGGAGGACCAGTGTGTGTGTGTGTGTGGAGGAGTGGCGTCCAGGTAAAGGTGGAGTGGCGTCTAGGTCCAGGTGGAGTGGTGGTGGGAAGGATGGAGTAGTGGTGGAGGAGAGCAGGGTAGTAGTGGTGGAGGAAAGCAGGGTAGTAGTGGTGGGGGAAGGGTGGAGTAGTGGTGGAGGAAAGCAGGGTAGTAGTGGTGGAGGAAGGTGAAGGGAGGTGTTAGTGGTGGAAGGCGTTAGTGGTGGGAGGCGTTAGTGGTGGGAGGCGTTAGTGGTGGAAGGCGTTAGTGGTGGAAGGCGTTAGTGGTGGAAGGCGTTAGTGGTGGAAGGCGTTAGTGGTGGTATCAATGTAGGGAGAGGGAGTGGACAAGAGTGTGGGATGGGAAGGGTTAGGAGTGGGTGGTAATAGTAGGAGTGGTATACGGGGAGGAGGAGGCAGTCTGGTGGTAGAGTGAAGAAGAGGAGGAGGGGTGGTAGGTGGGATGTGGGTGGTGGTGGTAGGAGGGGGGGGTAGGTGGGTGGTTGTGTGCGGGTGGAGCGGTTGTGAACAAGTGGGGTCGGGAGGGCGATAATGGTAGGGGAAAGGATGGTGGGTGGGTGGCTGAAGGGTGGGTGGTGGGTGGCTGTGGAGGGTTGGTAGTGGGTGGTGAGAATCGAGATGACGGCATTTCTGAAGGTGATGCCCAAGACGCTAGTTCCTGAGATGACATAACAAGTGTCTTGGTTACGTGAACGGAACTAGGATATTGTGCAGTCGACTCTAATCAACTTGATGTAGTAAGGGTG